TGGAGAGAGAGACATTAGGGGCACCAATGTAACATGCCTTTTAAAATTGGTTTTGTTGAGCAAAAGCAATGGGGGGTTTTAATTAAAAAAATCAAAGTGTAACTTTTGGAATTAGAATAGAGGAAATCAAGAGGATCAAGTAGAGATTTGCTGCTCACAATATCAAAATGTGGTTTAAAAAGTTGCACCTCATTCATATGAATATATAATAAATAAACCCAACCAAACTTTTGGAATTGCTCCACCCCCCACCCACCCACACACATTGTTTCTAAGCTTTGGTGGTACCACTTAGCTATTTAAACAAGTTTTTAGAAGAGGCTTTACTAATTCCTCTACAACCCTTTAATTTGCTTCTCAATAGATCGATTCAAGTATTTGCCAACGGTACTCCTACGAAAAATAGGTATGTATTAGTATTTCTTTTATTACAATAATGCTTTATTCATTTACATTGCCTTTGTACTGTTCTTTAATTTCAAACAACGAGAAGTATCTATACTAATAAAATCTTAAGAAGTGTTGATTAATATTCTAAAGAACATTTTATCATGGCGATAAGCACGCTTGTCGTAAGTGATGTATCTGTGAAGTGACCAATCTTTCTCTCGAAAAGAAAAAACAAAAACATTGATTTGCCATTTGTGGTTTTCATTTGATATTTTCCAAATTCATTCAATCATTTGATGCTGCGCATGAATTTCTTCACTTTGTTTTTCTTTTATCTTTTTAATGTAGACAAAGGGAAAATTTGAAAACAATAGAGACAAGTAAATGTGAAGATGTGACTATTAAGAAAATGAAATGATAAAAGATGATAGCAATGCCAAATAATTGAAATTTGATGATGACCAATGACTTTATGCTGGACCAATCCATGCTTTACAATTTGGGAATGAAATGCCACCACCAATTTGCTTGATGAGTGGGGTTAATTATAACCGTTTGATTCTGTATCAAAACTTTTCTTCTCATCTTTCTTATCCAGTTCCTCATAACCCTCACTTTATATATATATATATAATTTCTTATTATCTCATCCATTCATGATATGATACGTGTCGTATCGTTCGATACGTAATTCGTATCGACGAGTTTACACTAATTTTATCTAAATTTATTATATGGTAATCGTAATTGATATTGTAACCTATCCTATTAAGTCTAGTGAATCCTGATCAATAATTCAATGAGGGTGTGACTCAAAATACTAGTAGATATTATTGTAGAACTTTTCCTCTGTACAGGAATACACTTGAGCAATGTGCAATGAGATAAATAACCCACGAAGTGGGTATCAGATTTGTGCATTACAATAATTTAAAATCCTGATATGATACTACAATAATTTAGTAACTGTTAATAAACTATTTCCTTTCGCTTTTATTCTACTTTTTGTTGCACTAGTTTTGGTCTGATTAGTTGGCGTTGGTCCATTGGAAACAGCAAACTTCTATTATAAATATTTTTTAACATGACTGTCTTTATATAGTATTTAACGACTAATCAAATTAAAGACAACAAAATTACTTTATTAATTGCTATGTAATATCCAACCACAACTCCAACTGATTCTCCTCCAAGTTCTATTACTCTCTCATCCTCTTATCCCGAAAACGTAAAAATAAATATTTTTTTTTTTTTGCTAATTCCCCTTCAAAAAATTGTTCACATCTAAGAAGAGTTACAATAAAATTTGCCAAAAATAATATATATATAATAGTTTTAGTTAGTCAGTTACTCACACATATATTACATAAATTGCTCACAAACTATTTGAACCCTCACTTCCCCTTAGACATTGAGAAAATGACTCATTGAAGAAAATTAGTATATTATATTTCTGTATTTTTACTGTAAAAAAACTAGATATACTTGTTCTTTTAAAATTTGAAAGTACCACTATTTATTAAGGTTTTTTTCTTTCTTTTTTTCTTTTTCCTAGAAGGAATCTTCATCATTTATTCATATATTAATTTTTTCTAGTCATTTTATCTTCTTGCTTAAGATCTTGTGGTTTTATATTAAACTATTTAATGGTGTTATAAAAAGTGAAATAGTAGATGTGACAGCTTTAATTAAATAATTGAGTTTAAACATTAATTTGATCCGACTTAATTATGAAATTTGCATTTGAACCAACATCACAAATGACAACAGTGTTTGCCTTTCATTTCACAATAATAATTATTTGGAAGTTTATGGATTAGAAAATAGACATTCCATCTTTATGATATGATTGGAAAAAAACCAGTCAAGCGTCTCATTCTTGTTTTTGGAATGTCAATGTCATTATTGTCCTCTCATTCTCTTAAACTATACATTGTCTTGCCAAATAAATAAATAAAAATATAAAATTGTACTGTGTTTACATACTTTCCAATATTACATCTCAATGCATTATATGATACGATTGGAAAGCAAGTCAAGTCTCTCATTCTTATTCTTGGAACGTCAATGTCATTGTCCTCTCAGTCTCTAAACTTATACAGTGTCTTACCAAAAATAAAAAAACAAAAAAAAAATTGTACCGTGGTTACATATTGCTCCGTATTTTATAAACTTTAATATGCTAGTCTTGCTAGATTGTTGGGCAGACTGTAGAGCACTCACCAGCTTCTCCGACAGAGGCAATTTCCCCTCCATTTCATCCGGCTCTGAACTTAATGGGACGAATTTGATAGGCCGCGAATAGAATTAAAAATAAATAAATAAATAAAATTCATCTCAGAGTGAGAGCGAATTTAGTGTTTAACCCGGCCTTGAACTCAATTATATATATAAATTTTATTTTATTTATTTATTTATTTAATTTTTAATGTTAAAGGTGTTTATTTATTTATTGTTTTATATCTTTGCATCTTTCAATGAGGTATTGATTTTTATTTTCTACTCATCTCTATTTCATTTTCATAAATGTCACTCACCTTCATTTAATTATTGTACTAAATCAATCCCGGTGTAAGGACGGAATTGGTATGCATAATTTTCTAACGGGCGGAATTGGGTTTAGCCAATTCTATCCCAAACTTGACCTCTTGTCATTCTAGCCTCCGATTATGTTAGTTTCCTTATGCAATGTTCAGTAGGAAAGAATAAAGAGGGGTGGAAAGAAAATAAGATTGGAAGGAACCAATTTCTTTTATTCGGTAGAAATGATAGAAGGAAAATAATAAAAATAAAAAGGATGATCCATCCTTCCTCATTTACAAATTTTTATCGGTAACAAGTCAATTATTAAGTCTATTATATAGAAGTTTTAAATTAAATATTATCTTAAATTATACAAAATTTTAATTATAATATTATCCTCTATAAATTATAATATTATAAATATTATTAAATATAAATAGTAAAAATAATTAAAACAATTATATTATAATATTATAAATATTATTTAATAAACTTATCTTTCTCTTTTATCCGAACAAAAAGAAAAAAAATATATCCAACCTTTGTATGAAAAGGAACTCAACCAAACTATGTGCGACAAACTCACTTGCCTAAAAATCAACACAATAATTTACTTAAATTTTAGTACTAAACTGATCTACAACAATGTTTCCAAGTCCTTCCAAATCTAGTTTAGGCCTCAATTTCATGGGTCTATCAACCTATAGATCCATATATAACAGGTATATCTCAATTACTAATCATTCATCCACAATAACCAATTGTAAAAACAAATAATTCTAAACACGTTAATAATAATTTATAATACAGAATCACCAAATATTTAATTATTCACACTAATACAAGAACTTAACTATTCTCAATCTAAAAAAATAGAATCACCAAATATACCAAATATACGCTCTCAATCTTATATATATATATATATATATAGAAGAAGGTAAAGATTAAACTTGCTTTATTCATGTGACAATTGTTCCTTATCCAACATAATCACTCTTTCAATTTTGCTTTGTAAATTTCCTCGTAATTCTGTCTGACCATAAAACCTTATAAATTCGTCTCTACAATTATCATTTGTAATTCGGAAAAACACTTTTCCATTCCCTATTAAATTTGGTTTTAAATCTAAGTAATAAATTTTGGTTAGAGGAATAGGAAACTCCCTCCGTAACGTGATGCAACGCGTATCGCATATCCTAATCAACATTTAAAATTTAAATCCCTAAACACTCGTATTAAAACAAATATAATATAACTCCACGTAAATAGACAACCATAATATAACACCAAGTAACTATTTAATATGATAGATGGACACTTTAACCACTAAACCACGTAAATATATATACAACTATACATACAAAAATGGGGAATGTTACAATAATAATAGTAGTGTGTGACAACTATATATGAACTAATTATTTAATTTAAAAAAAAAATAAACTGTATCATTCAATTACTGAATAAGAGTAATGTTATTTTAATTGGGAGCCACATATTTGGAGGACCATGGGCACTAAACCGTCATCACTAATGGCCATCATGATGGACTTTTGGAATTCATGATATAAAAGGTTTTGGAAGCTTTTGGAGAAAAAGAAAAAAAAAAGAAAAAAAGAAAAAGAAAAAGTGGACATCGTTGGCTGTCCCTTATTATCCAACACATCACTATATGTCACCGTCAATTAAAAAACAATGCATCACTGTTTGGACTATGATCCATCTTATCGTCTCTCTTAACATTGCTCTCTCCCTCTCTCGCTGTCCAGTCCGTACTTTCTCTTTCCCAAAATCATGCTGTATTATACATCATATAAATATATGAGATCTTGTTTGGATAATTGGTATTAGATGGTATGAAGATCTAGATTGCGAATTTCTGATGCAGTAAATCACGTGAGTTTTGGTTCTTCAATTTAATGATACAGTGTTCACAATTCATATTACTTTACTGGAAATTTCATATTATTCACTACTATATATATATATATATATATATATATATATTAAGATATATGTTCATAAATGCGAATACAATATATGGATTTGCGTATCTCTTTAATTATACTATCATCACTGTCTGTACTGGTCCAAAATCGAGAATCCAATGTTGAGAGCGAAGCGTCTCACTTTCTCTCTCTAGATTTGTGTTTTTATATTTGGATTATACGCTAAGAAGAACCCAAAATTCGGAAACCTGTTTTGAAGGTGTAGAACAGAGGAGAAACAGAGTACGAAATTGTAAATATCTATGGTCTATATAGAGAGATTTTTAGAGAGAGAAAGAGAGATTGTTTAAGCAGTTTAAATGGCTGGAAAACAACTGGGGAACGCGAAGACCTAGGTGTTGGTTTTGGACCCTTCTCGATTTTTAGAGCCCCTTTCTCACCCAACAGCTACGGTATACCTATTGCCACGATACACTCTCTGCCTTTGTTTTCAGCTTGTACGCGCTTCCTAATTCATTTATGGTATTGAAAATGCCCACACATTCCTACTTCATTTATTATATTTCAATTCAGGGTAAGTATCATATTAGTTTATGAGAAAACTGTAAGTTTTTTAGTATTAAAAATGATTATAGTTGGAGGTCTAACCCATAAGAATCTTACAAAATAAGGCTTGTGAGATTTTTAGCCTTTTAAACTTCGATTTTGAGTTGATCAAGTAGGGATGCATGACTATATTGTAGTATTTGCTTTTGTGGACTGATTTCTGTTTGTTTGTTTGTTTTTTTTTTTTTTTTTCAGGTAATTTCTGTTTTAAATTGCTCAATGTGTTTTCTAATTTAATATTGTACTTGAATTTTCTGAGTTTTCGATTTATAATTCAAAATAGTCACTTGGATTTTTATTTTATTTGCTCCACATTTTTATTTGAATTTTCTTATTTGGGTGTGTAATTTGTTTTTTTGGTTCTTGTAATGGATCTTCTCAATTGGGTCTGTGAAATTTAGGCTTAAACTTGAATTTGCTCAATTGGGTATTTTAAAAAGGGATTTTTATTTGAAAGTATAATAAATTTGTATTCATTGACTTTTGTTTGTATGTCTTGGATTTGCAGGAAAGTGTTGAGATTTAATAAAAGAGAGACTTCGCAGAGAAGCAGAAAAACACGTACTCGTATAGCATATGCTAGTAGCATATACTACTGTTAGGCTTCTTTGTTTCTCGTGCTACGCCGTTCCTGTTTGTTGCTCGTGCACTGCTTTATCTTGGAAACCCACAAATCTCGAGGCCCCTATTCACTTATTTACCTTGGCCTTTGGGGTTTTGTGTGTGACTTTGGCGGTTGTGGTGATTAAATTAATTCACAGTTCACACCATCTCTACCTTTCCTTTATCCGCCATTCTTTCGCTATACAATGCCAACCCCTCAAATTTTACTGGCTCAATTCAGAGGACTTGAAATAGTTTTGGTGTGCTGTATATGTTTATCTATGTACCATTGACCTTAGAGGGTAATGCATAAGCCACAATCATAGGAGGGTCGGTGATATTGTTGAATTACGCTGTTGCTTCACATTGTTTCCAAGGTACAGTCTTTGAACCTCGAAGCTTTGGTTTCTGTTTTATTCATTTGATTATTCTACAACTCCCGGTTGTGCTGGGATATCAATTGTAGATTTAGCATGTGTGGACGACATCTGTGATTGCTGGTCCTGTGGGATTAGTAATTGGTACCTCTTACCGGGACATGTTGATTTAAATATTTATTTCTTAGTGGAATTACATACTGTGGGTTCAATTCAATGTTTGTCTTGCATAGTTAGTGATATGCGGTCCGTGATTCGGGCCCTTGGTGAGTATTTAATGGTTGTCTAGTTATTATAATTGCCTGGAGGAAGTGATAAAGGAGTGGGGTTTGATGTGGAAGTTTAGTATTGAAACTACTAAGACATGCTGAACTTTGATGAGGAAGAAGAGGTCTTCTTTGACACTGCGGAATACATTTTGTCTGAGGAGCCCATTGTTGCCAAAGAAGATTTGGTGTGTAGCAGTTTGGGGTATGAGATTTGGATGAGTGAGCTACGGAGTGTTAAGGAAAGACGGGAAAAATTGCTAAGTGAAGTGGGGTTGGTTGAATTCACCCCTTCGTATGGTGTTGTCCTTGCTGAGAAACCAGAGATGATGGGATTGGAAAGAATTGTAGAATGCAGTGGAGCTGTCTCTAGTTCTTGTGGTTCATCTGTAAATTGTGCAGCAGAAGAGTTGGTATGTAATAGCAATAAATTAAATGGTGAAGCCAACTGTATGATTGATGAATTCGATCAAGATCAGTTTGACAAATTGAACGTGGCCCTTAAGCCGGAAGGAGTGCCCGGTTACATTTTCCCTTCTGTTCAACAATTTGGACAGAGGGAGGCTCAGGGTCATGCTGAAGAATGTAAGAGTATTGATATAGATAAAAAGAAATTCTGGAGTTGGTGGAAAAGTTTCACAAGCAAGAGAAGGGGAGATAAAGGTATGGATGTATCTAAGGTATCCAAGGAGATTTCTGAATCACTAAAGGTAAATAGAATGAAAGTGCGTCAGAACCAGAAAAAATGTATGGAGTTCACTGCTGTCTATGTTGGGCAAGAAATACATGCTCATGAAGGCTCCATTCGGGTGATGAAGTTTAGTCCTGATGGCCAGTTTCTCGCAAGTGGTGGTGAAGATGGGGTTGTTCGAATTTGGCGTGTTACATTGACAGATGCCTCTCACAAGAATATATGTGCTGAAGGCAATTTCAGTAGCCAAGGGAAAGAAGGCAAGTCCAGTTCTGGAAGAAAAAAGTCATGTCACGCCTCTATTGTTATTCCTGATAAGGGTTTTTGGATAGAAGAGTCGCCACTGCAAGAGTTTCAGGGCCATACCAGTAATATCTTGGACTTGGCTTGGTCCAAATCCAATGTGAGTCATTGCAGCAGATAGTAACAATTTTTAATTACTTAGCTATAGTCATATGTAAATTTCATTCCCTTTCGTCTTTGGATATGTGGAATTTATTCCCTTTTGTTTGTGGCTCGTGCAAAGCTAAATCATTTTGTTGGTTGCAGCGTCTTCTTTCATCATCAGAGGATAAAACTGCTCGTCTATGGCAAGTGGGCTGTGATGAATGTCTTAGTGTTTTCCATCACAATAATTATGGTGAGTATTAGAAATTTGTATTCTTTACCTTGTCATGTTTTTCATGTTTGTACTTGCTTGTTTAACATTGGAGAAAATTGATATTTTCTCAACGAGATGTGTCCCCTAGATCCAATATATGTTGAATATTCAAAATTTTAATTTAATATATTTTTTTTCTGGATGTGATCAGTGACATGCATTCAGTTCAATCCTGTTGATGAAAATTATTTCATTAGTGGATCCATAGATGGAAAAGTTCGAATTTGGGGAGTGTCTGAGAGGCGCGTTGTTGATTGGGCTGATATCAGAGATATTGTGACTGCTATATGTTACCGACCAAATGGAGAAGTATGATTCAGAATACGATATTGTTACGAATTTATCGTACTATTGCTACTAATATTATTGTCTTCCAAAGTTCATTCCATCATGATATGTTCATGATCTTTTCATATCCTTTTTGTGGAAGCCAGGGGTTTGTAGTCGGTTCCATTATTGGCAACTGCCGCTTCTATGAAACATCAGGTGCATACTCACCCTATGTTGGATATTGTTTCCAGTTCATGTCATATTATTGTCTTTTCTTGTGGAGTCCCTGAATTAGCTTTGTGGATATATAGGTAGCAATCTTCAGTTAAATGCACAGATACATATCCAGGGTAGAAGAAAATCCTCCGGCAACAAAATTACTGGCATTCAGGTTTTTACTCTTCCGGGTCTTGTTGCTACGATATTATGCTTGCTTCAATCTGAGTTATGTATTGACATGAACTGCCACCTCTTCCTCAGTTTTCACCGGAAGAATCTCAGAGAGTTATGATAACATCAGAGGATTCCAAACTTCGTATACTTGACGGGATTGATGTTGTCCATAAATACAAAGGTATAAGAATGATTTACTTCTTGAATGATTCTGTGGGAATTTCTGTTTCTTTACACGCTAGTTTTCCAACATACTTGTAGAGCTTTATCTGCCTTAACTACTTGAGCAAGCTTAATATGCTCTCCCTAAATATTCTAATCATTTAAGCTTGTAAAGAAAATGTTTGTACCACATATAATGTAGTTTTAAGGCTGAAATGTTCAACTGATCATTCAATTTGAAATCTTTGTGTTGTTAGTTTAAGTATCTCTAGTGTGGAATAACTAGCGGATGTAAAACCTGAAACAGTCAATCTTTCTTGTGTGGCACTGATATTTTGAGTCATCTGTACTCTCAATGCAATCTTTTATTTTCCTAAAAGGAGCTAAAGAAATGTTCTTGAATTTCCTCGATTTTTTTCTTGCTTCTGGTCATTATTTTTATACTTAGAACATCAGATTTGTATACCTATTATTTAACTCAGTTTACTCTTTCAAATGCTCTGGTGATCCAGTTGCGTTGTATATACAGAATTGGATCGATGTGTTGTATGCGCTGTACCTAATTATGGACCTTCCCCTTTACCTGGAAAAAATCAGAATTAGTACTTTTTATTAGTTCATGGACTGACCTTCGAAACTAAGCTACACTTATAGCTTCTCTGCAGATTTCTGGCTTTTGTAATTCTTCAGTAAATCCAACTAGATAACCTATTATGCTACTAGGTAACTGATAGGGTTTTATTAATCAGTTCATGTGATGCTATACTTTCCAGTCCTGATCTAAAGTTCCATTTTCCAATTGCATTTATTCTTGAGCTTTGTCAAGCCATACTGTCTTAGAAAATTTCTTTTATCTTTTTGAAAAAGCTTTTATGTTAACAACTATGCAATTGAATCCTTATTTTTACAAAAAATTATGAAGGACCTCCAAAGTTGCAACAAATTTGGTGCCACCCCCTGACACCTTTCTTCTTTTTTTAATTTTATGTTAGTGGGCTGCTTGTTCATTGAAATGATAAGATAAAAATAGAATAAATATAAATATGACTTTCTCTAATATCGTTGAATTTTGAAGAGTTAAGATATACAGGCAACCTTTTCTCAGGGACTCAGGCTATGTGTAGGTAAAATTATTAGAATATCATTTACATTTTTCTAAAGGCCCAATGGACATTCTATAGTATGTGGCATCTGCAGCGTGTGTAGGTGCATGCAAGCGCATGTATTGATTGTTAAAACATTATTTCTGAAGCTGATAGCCAGATTAACTTTTATATATATTTCCATCAACCATGAAAAGATGTACCCAATTCACTTATATAGTAATACCTAACCTGTACATTGTATCTAAACTAATTGAACAAGTCAAGAAGCTGCCAGCCTAACAGCTGTATGCATGCTTCAAATTGTTGGTATTCTCCTTTATGCATGGATTTCTGTTCTCAGTTATATAGTCTCTAATTTATCATTTTACCAATTTAATAATATACATTGTAAGAACTAAATACATTTAACTCAGTACGAATCGTAACCTTATAGAGATATTATTACAATACTTTCATAGTTTCATGTGCATACAGCCTATACTGCTATATTTATACATAGAATTTATTGTGGTATTGTATTCCTAAATAAATGAATTGTATTGATTGCTTCAGGGTTTACAAAGTCGAGAAGTCAGATGTCGGCTTCATTTACTTCAACTGGAAGGCACCTAATATCGGTTGGGGAGGATTCTCGTGTTTACATCTGGAACTATGACGACTTGTGTGTTTCTTCATCGAAACAAACAAAATCTGTACGTTCCTGCGAGCACTTCTTCTTTGACGGTGTATCAGTTGCAATTCCTTGGTCCGGAATGGGAACGGAACAAAATGATCTAGATTGCAGTAGCCTCCAGTGTTGCTCACCAAGACATGAACAAGAAGAGGCTTCTTCCTGGATCAGGGATTCAAAACGTTTTTCGTTAGCTAATTGGTTATCCATGGATGGCTCATGTAGGAGCTCTGCAACGTGGCCGGAGGAGAAACTTCCTCTGTGGGATGTAACAGTTGCAGAGCATGATTATAGATCTCGTGACAGTGATGACCATCATCAGCATCAGAATAACAGCCCCAATCGCGCAGTTTTATCAGCAACGTGGGGTCTTGTCATTGTAACAGCAGGTTGGGATGGAATGATCAGGACATTCCAGAATTATGGGTTGCCTGTCAGGATTTAACAGTTCACATACATCACTCCATAGTTGCACAAATTCAGAGATAATGTTCACACAATCCAGGTCCATACTGTGTTTCTACAATTGGGACCCGGAAATGGATAATGTGAAGCTGGATGAAGATGTGCTGGTGTTCATATTGTGTAGTCGTTGATATTTTAGCTATATCTTTTTGTTTCTCTTTTGTACGTGACGATTTTTTTCCAGTTTTGTTTTTTCTTTTTTGTGAAATACCAAATTCAGTTGATAGCATAAGAATAGAAAAAAAATAATAATAATAAAAAAAACAAAAAAAAAATTGACGACTTTGCCTTGAAATTTTGTCCACTGTCCTGTATTAATGTACTGCTTTTAGAGATTGTGTTTAATTCATTCCTATTGCAGTGCTTTATTTAGTACGGAGTATTCTGCTTTGTTCGTCTGCTGCTTTAATTTGGTGATAATTTTGCTATTTCTCATTAATCTTATCATAAACTTCATGTGTGTGTGTGTGTGTGTGAGAGAGAGAGAGAGAGAGAGGTTTGTGCGTGTTGATTCTGATGGCCTAAAGAGCGAATGTTACGGTTTATTTGAATTTGACATTCAAAATGGTGCAGAAATATAAAATAAAAATGAAAAGAAAAGTGATTTTTTAGTATCTATTTGAATAGAATGAAAATTTATTCAAGAAAAATATAGAAAAATATCATATTATAATTTAGATACTTAAATTGTCTTAGAGAATTAATTAATAGTAATGTATGTATAAAAAAAAAAAAAAAAATAGAGTTTTCAATTAATTTAGACCTTTAAGACTATTAATGATAAAGTTATTGGATGTCTAAATTTAATTGACCTTGTAATAATTTCTCATAATTAATATATGTTTCCTATTTTTATAAAACTTTGAAACTTATACTTTTAGAACTAAATTACCTTTTAAAAAAAAAAATTCTTTCTTTCCTTTTTAAATTTTTTTCCTTTTCTTATATATGTGTGTGTGTGTGTGTGTGACGAATGGATTAGGAATTCTCTCATATAAACTTAAAATTCAATGAGAGCATACATATCGTGATTGATTCTTTATTGGATTTTTATCATTTTAAATTTTAATTGAAGTAATATTATGGGATTGAATCTTAGTTGGTGTAAAATTGTGGAATTTGAGTTTTAATTAATGTTTGAAATGGTGAAAGAGGGATGAGGAGAATTTCTAATATATTCGTCAGACACACACACATATATATATAAGAAAAGGAAAAAAATTTAAAAAGGAAAAGAAAGAAAATGTATTTTTTTTTCCCCCCTTCTCCAAAATAATTGAATTGACCAAAAAGGGAAAGGACAACGATAGACATTATGAAGTGTTTTTCATGATTTTGTCACTAATGAAACGTGACATTATTAACTTTCCTTATACGAGCAAGAGAAAGAAACTCTCACCTAAATTTTCTTTCGAAAGTTGCCAGCGGTAATAGTTCTAGAATTTTGGTTAAACACAGTGTGTGTGGTGTGTGGTGTGTGTGTGTATAGAAGCTATGTATAATTAACCATGGAGATAATTAAAAGATATGTAAATAATTCTTATGTGTTGGTTTGAAACTATAACTCAAAAATTTAGGATTATGTTTGTGTCTCTTTTGCATAGGACTTGGGATTATGACAAAAATAAATAAATAAAAATAAATAAAAAATTAAGGCACTTATAAATGAAATTAGTCATGAGAATTGTTTGATGCACATGTAGAGCAGTAGAGGAGGACTGTTTTGATGGCTTCAATGTTGGCGTGATGATTATGGTAGAAAAAGATTATGGATCTTTATAATTTTAGAAATAGAACATTGACACAGAGAAACTAGCCTAAAAAAGAAAAACTATTTACCATTTGTGTTATAATCTTATTTTTTTTTCTTTTCGTGAAGTCAGAAAAGAGAAGAAATATATAATAATTTATAAGGATAATTTAGTCTATTTACCATTTGTGATATATATATATATATATTTTTTTGCGAAGTCAGAAAAGAGAAGAAAGATGTAATAATTTATAAGATAATTTAGTCATAAAAATGTATTAATTACAGTTTTTATGATTGATTATGCAGAGGAGGACTATTTTGATGGCTTCAGTGTTGGCGTTGTGATGATTATGGTAAAAGAAGATTATGGATTATTATAATTTTAGAAATAGAATATTGAGACAGAGAAACTAGCCTAAAAAAAAATTTATCATTTGTGATAGAGTAATGGTACTTGCACTGATTTGTTACAATGAATTACCTAACCAAATATTTTTTTGAAAGTTAAAACAAATACACACACACCTTACCTCCGCCGAGGTTCGACCTCCCCTTTGAAAAGAAAGGGGTGATACAGCTGGGCCATTTGGTCCTTTGGTAGCTAACTGAATGTTGTTGATTGGTTATTTATGCACAATACATGCACGTGGAAGGCCCCACTTCTTTATTTATGTCTAAATGGATCAATTAAAAGAAATAAGTCTGTCAATTCACTATAACAAATCGCATAAATAAAAAAGTGGGTCTATCCACTTACATGTGCATAAATAACTAATCACAAACATTCGGTTAGGTAATTCACTGCGGTGCAAATATCATTACTCTTGTGATATAATTTTTTTTTTGATATATATATATATATTTTTTCGTGAAACCGATGGTGATGTGTCATTACAGTCGTATTATACTTTAGAAAGATAAAATTTTAAAGACAAAACTATCCTTATAAAATCCTAATTAACAAAGAATCTCAATTACTATTAATATCTTCCATCATTAATCTCTATCTCTATACCATAGTCAAACCATTTTCTCTATTGCCATCATTGATTCTCGATCATAACCATAATACACAAATATATCACTTTATAGGTTTTCTTCCCCGTTATCTTCGGTGTCACCACCGTTGTCGTTGCCATCAGGTCGCCCTGAGAGATAACTCCGTCTTCTTCTATGGTGGCATTCTCTTTCTCTCCTCTTTAAGTTGATGAATCCGGTTCTCTATATCCGTCACTCGATCGACGAGCCCATTCAGTCTATTGTTGGTTTCGTGTAGTATAGCTTATTTCGGAATTTTTATAGCATCTTTTTTATATAAACCCGTTTATTCATCTTCGCAAAATTTGATCTTAATTAATTCATTTGTTAAAACGGGGCCTAAGAGAACTCTTAGGGACAAAATAATAAATGGGATATATGATTGGTCATATAATCGTGGTTACATAGATGCTTTTTATGCAGCATTTTTAACTGGAGGTATAAGAGGATTGGCTAAATTAATTCATTTTTTTGATAGACGGATAATTGATGAAATTACGAATGGGGTTGGTATTATGAGTTTCTTTGTAGGAGAAGGCATCAAATATATAGGAGGGGGATGATCTCTTAAGGAGGATGATATAAGGGTAATTTTGTCTTTGAAAATTCATGTTGTTTTAATGGACATGCTAGTAGGATGGTCTTTTCGTGCCACATATTCGTCCAACGACTCATAATTGATAAAGATAATTTAGTGAACGTATTTATCATCTTATATATTTTTTATGAAGTCAAAAAAGAGAACAAAGATATAATAATTTATAAGGATAATTTAGTCATAAAAATGTATTAAGTATAGCTTTTATGATTGATTTTGGAACAAGTAAAATTCATTTAAACCCAGTATAAAAAAAATAATAATAAAAAAAACCTAAATAAAAAGACTACTTAAACTGACTTGCAAATATAATATAAAATTTCATATATGGGCCTTTAAATTAGGAGCCCAGCCAACTTTTAAAACTTTAAAGATGGGCCTTTAAATTGTTAGCCCATCCAACTCTTAAAACTTAAATAATGACCCACCTAAACTTTAACTAATTAGGCATTGATTTTCTAAGCAGAGTTATTCACATCTTCCATTAAAATTTCCGATGTGGGACAGTGACTTGTACAGAGTTAGCCTTCACAAGCTTCTTTTATCTATAAACTTGTTCACATCATTAGTTTGCTTTCTCTATCAAAACTTCTAGTAACCAAATAAATAAATAAAAAACCATCTATGTAACTGGACTTGTACATAGTGTAATTTTTAATTTTATTTTTGATCTTTTCCTTCTCATATGTTGTATATGATATAAAATTTCATCTTTTTTATAATTGACTTTATTTTTATTCATTAATTTTGTAATAAGTATAATTACTAAGTCTTTTTAATAAAAATAAATAAACTCAAACTCATTAATATGTTATTAGTTGAGTTAAATGATGTTAAAAATTCATTAAAATTCATCAAAATTAATTTAAAAAATTCATCTTTATCAAATTATGTAAAAAAAGTCACGTATCGATTATCATGTGCGAGTTTAAAAAAATTCATGATTACGGTTTGTTACACTACGATCGCAACCGATATCGCAACTGGGAACCATAGAATCCTGTTTCGACTGAAAGAAGAGAGCTCAAAGAACTTGGTGTATTAGAAACCAAGAATAAAAAATTGATTGTTTTGGTAATTTTATTGGGTTGTTTAGAATTTAAATGAAAAACAATTTGAAAAGTAAAACTTATTGGTCCTATGAAAATTACAAAACTTATTTGTGTTTTACAAAGATAAATAGTATTTAGCGGTCAGTAGGATGAAATCTTTAAATTGTTCAACAAAATTGATAAACTTGAAAGAGACCGACTTAAGTATAATTTTAAAAATTAACTGCCAAAGCTTATCTTTGAGGGTGGTGTTTACGTCATCAATGTTGGATCGAGTATTAACATTAAGTTTGATCGCCCATTTCATTAAATTTAGTTAATTTAACCAAAATTTGCGTTTGATGATTTATTTGTTTTTTATTTAAAAATATAAGTATCGAGTTACTCTAATTATTAGTATTGTCCTTGCCTTATAATACCTGTGTTACCATAATAGTCACGACTAGAAGAATCCAAATTACAATAGGAAACTTATAAAAGAATCTAAATTACAATAGGAAACCAATTCTATGATGGTTTATTTACTCCTATATAAAAGGGTGGTTGTGTAGGTTTAGTAGTAACAATGGTGTGCCTTTTCTCTTCTGTTGTTTCTTTTTTTATTATAGAGCGGTTTCTTTTTAATTAGTGAAAAGATGGAAGAAGAAGAAGACATGGGGCGAAAGGTATGTTTCTCTATACTTTTTTCACATGGATACCAATGTAATACTAGCTTTTTATTGTTGGTTTTTGTTTTCAAGTTGTTTAGTTGATTGATTTGATGTGTTTTATGATTTTCATTAACTACGAAATAATATTTATTTATTTATTTATTATTATTATTGGTGGATGTAATATTCACAATCTATTAAGAATGATAATCCAATCACATTGAGATGTGAGCGTCTAAAGACAATTGTTGAAATCGGTTCAAGTTGAATTGAACTATTTTGGTTTTTGTTTTCGGTTCATATTTCAAAAATAATTTTTTTTATTTATCCTAATGGACTTGTAAACTATATATTTCAATTCGGTTTGGTTTTTATTTTTCTAAGCCGAATTTTTTTTAACATTCTTAAACAAGAAAAACGAACAACACTATTAGCGGACAATATTTACATAGTGAAAAAATTGATAGCACTTACATGGGGATGTCTCATACCTGTTTAGACGTATTTAGAAAAGCATGAGCGCCAAGAGGGTAGGCCACTAAGAACGTTGGGTTTCAATAAAAGGTGATTGTGACGTCCCACATTGTTTGGAAAAAAAAAAAAAAAAAAAACGATAGGGGAAAAATTAGTCATCGACACTTGTAAGAAGTGATGTCTCGTGCTTGTGTAGACCATTTTGAAAACCATGGTTGTCATGAGGGTGCAAAGAAAACAATATCAATATTTGCACAACGTGTTACTTAGGGATAAATTGGTGGCATTTATAAGGGGATGTCTCTTCATTATTTAGATGTAATTTGAAAGTTCTGAACGCCAAAAGGGTACAAAAGCCTATGTGAGTCAAGCCATATGTGAGTCAAGCCATATGTTTAGACGTGTTTTAAAAGTCATAAGCACCAAGATGGTGCACAAGCCTATGTGAGGCAACTAAGGACGTTGGGCAGGGGCGAAGCCATTTCATGCCTAAGGGTATGTGTCCTCTACCCTCAGAATCTCTCCTAGTAGCGTGTTACTTGGGGAGAAATTGGTTGCTAACACTTATAAGGAGTGATATCTCATAGACGCATTTTGAAAACTACAAGTGTAAAGAGGCCATAAGTGTCGAGAGGGTGCAAAGTGGATAATATTTATATCATGTAAGGGTTCTGATAGATGGTATTAGAGACAATTCCTAACCGTAAAATAGGTGGCATGCATAGGGATGGCAATGGGGCGGGTTGGGGTGGGTTTATCATTCCCTATCTCTATCCCCGTTTAAATTTGGCACCTTCAAAACCGCCCCATGACCACCCCCGCCCCATCCCCGCTTGCCCCCCCCCCCCCCCCCCCCCCCCCAATAGCCGATCAATTTTGAAAATTCCAAATCTTTTTATTCAACAAAAGTTCTGTAACAAAACCACATAAATCTTAAAATCCCTAATAGATCCACATAAATTTGATATTTCAAGCAACATCATCCAACATCATCATTAATCAACCAAAAATAACATTTTTCCAAGAAAAAAGAAATTCCAAAAAAATAGCCAAAAAACAAACATAAGAGTTTCCAACAATAGCCTTAATTAAGAGGAATAAAACTATTCAAAACAGTAGGCCATAATCTAAGCCTAAACAGCCTGAATCTGAAGTCATTCTCTGTAATCTCTTCAAAACCACCAATTGTCACCAACCTAATCTGAAATAGAATAAAAACAATAATTTTTTTAAAAAAACAACATTAAGTTAAGAAAAAATAACAAGGTATAATAATAAAAAAACTAATGTAATACCTTAGTCCAAAACTTCATAATTTGGAGAATCATTTTCATCACAATCACAAAATATATTGCCATTGGATGAGTCTTTTTGTCTGAATGAGCTCCTAAAAACAAAACAAAACATTTTAAATAGTCATTACATTAAAGAGAATTTATTTAACCAAAAAAATCAGATTTAATTACCATTCGGTCCATTCTCTTCACTCAAGAGCCAACTTTGAGCACACATCAAAGCCTCCAAAGTAGTTGGATGAAGTCACTACGATGAGGACTGACCAATCTACCACCGGTGCTAAAAGCAGACTCCGATGCAACTGTAGACACCGGGATAACTAAGATATCCCGAGCAATCCTTTTCAAAAGAGGATACTTAATTCCACGAGTTTTCCACCAACCCAAGACATCAAAATCAATTTCTCTAGGTAACACTTTTTCTTCCAAGTAAAAGTCCAGCTCAGTCATTGTTTGCACTTCATATGAACTCGAGTCTACAAATCAGTCAAACTTTAACAAATCATCCTCCTCCACAACTTCCACTTGTTCAGTAAGAGAAGTAATATTGGAAGATGAACCACCCACGCTACTTTTATTTGAGCTTGACTTGTTTTGGTACTCGAAAAGTAAATCAATACAAATTTGTTGAACTCTTTGAACTTCAACCAATGCTTCTTGTCCATAAATTTTATTAAAATAATATTCAACTAGCTTCATCTTGTATCGTGAATCTAAAACCACCACCACCGTTATCACCTCATGACAAACATTCCAATATTTCTCAAATTTAACCAACATTTTTGATGCCATCACTCTAATGATCTCAAGTGGGCCTTCAAGCCAAGTAGACAATGCAACTCTGATTTCACAAACTCTTTGGAAATAACAATTTGAAGTAGGATAAGAAAACCAAGAAAACAACTCTGTAGTAGTGTGGAATAATTTCAACTTCGCACAAATTTCTTTCCCCCTTTCCCAATCTTCATTAGTTGGAACTTTAGTGTAAAGCCTATCGCGTTGCTTTACCCGTGGAAACACATCTTTATATATTAAAACGACTTGAAGTATAAGATATGTAGAGTTCCAACGGGTTTTACAATCCATAGCTAACTTTTTCTTATATGGAATCTTCAATTGGCGAGCTGCCTATTCAAACTTTTCAAGTCTACTTGGTGTTGCTGTGCAAAAATACACACTATCACGTATCCTTTTAATTCCATCCCCCATTACTTCTAACCCATCTTTCACAATCAAGTTCAAGATGTGTGCACAACATCTCATATGAAGAATCTTCCCATCAAGTAAAAATGTACTTGAATCAACCTTGTCTAAGATAGAACCAATGATGGCATCATTTGTGGTGTAATTATCTAAGGTAATGGTGGACAAATTTTTATCAAAATTCCAATCTAACATGGTATCAATAAGTAACTGAGAAAGAACTTTCTTATTGTGTGGAGCAGGCACATAGGTAAATCTAAAACATAATAAAATGAAAATATGCATAATTAATAAGCATATATGAAGTGAAACAAAAAATTGCATTATATGAAATAAACAATAAACATATATATTGCATTATATGAAATAAACAATAAACATATTAAAATTATGAAAAAAAAATAAACATATTAAAAATTAAATTAAAATTACCTCAAAATTCTTCATTGCAATCTCCATGAGTCATCGATAAAGTGAGCTGTTACTGCCATGAAACCTTTCTTTGAATGGTTGCAAGTCCACATATCAGAAGTGATTGCAACCCTACAATTAAGACTCTCCATAAATGTTAATGTTTTAGCCTTCTCGGAATTGTAGATATTTAAGATGTCACTCTTGATTGTGTTTTGAGAAGCCATGTTAAACATAGGTTGAAAGCTATTAACAAAATTTCGAAAGCGACAATGGTTAACCATGGCAAGGGAATACTCATGTACTATGATCATGCAAGCAACCTCATGTCGGGAGATATTTTGATCAAACACAAAATTACGATATTCCACTTGATTCACTTGACCTTCAATCTTTTTAAGATTGCCTTGCAAAACATATTGTCTCAAGTCACCATTTTTTTTTATGTCCCATACACCTTTTTAAATGATCACGCAAGCTACTTGTTCCATAACTAGGTGGTGCTTTCAACTTTTTTTTTACCATGATTGCAAACACCATATTGTATACCATCAATTGTTTCCCTAGAAAAGTCATTCCAAACAATTGACGGCAATTTTCTCTTCCTACTTGTATCATCTGCTACATCTTCATCAGGGACATCAACAAATGAGAAGACAACTGGAGTTAAATTAGCATTGTTGAAGGCTCTGTAGTTCTGTAACTATATTTTGAGGTTGAGAAGTCACAAATTTTCCCTCCAACTCCGACTCCAACATCTTTCAACTTGTTGTTTTTAGATATAAAAAAATGCAGACCAAAATATAAAATTAGTAGAAAGATATAAAAATTCCACAGACATACATACAAATAAATAAACAATACAAAATTATATATATATATATACACACACTGACGCACACATATATGTATCTATGTTAATTGTATTATAATATATTAATATATTATATTATATAATTGCATTGCCAAAATGAAAACGTCAAGACTATTTGGGGCCATTATCATTTTCAACAAACTTCTACTACCATTTATTTGACCTTTATGCAAAAAAGACAATATCACAATCATTATATATATATATATATATATATATATATATATATATAACATCTCACATAACATCAAAATATATTAATGATTCGTGACAGTAATGAATTTTCCCATTTGATATATATGATACCAAAATTTGCACTCTATTTAGAATTTGAAAAAAAAATAAGTAAAAAAACATGGATATGACACCCTATTGCAAGAAAAACTTCAAATCCGAACCAAAAAATTGCAAGAAATTTTTTTTGGCTTAAAATAGTATCAATTGATGGATCTTATTGTTTGAACTAACCTGTGATTGAGAAAAAATATCTGCAAAAATAGGGGGCGTCGGCTCAGGCGAAAGTGGGCTCAGGCAGTGAATCAAGATGGTCGGTGAAGGAGGCAGGAAGGAGTGTAGAACGGTAAGACTGTAGCCTGTAGGAATACCTGCTAATTGCTTTATAAAATCTCCGTGCCGTTGGGAATATATAATATGCCGCCTTACTATCATTGGGAATATAGAAAGTCTGAAAGAAATCATTAGGAATATAGAAAGTTTGAAAGAAATCATTAGAAAGCTGTATAGAAATATAGAAAGTCTAAAAAAAATCATTAGAAATATAGAAAGTCCGAAAGAAATCTTTAGGAATATAAAAAGTTTGAAAGTGAAAGCAGTATAGTGTTTATAAAATTATAATAAAATATTTTCATTTATTAATCGGGGCCGGTTTTGGGGCGGATTCGGGGCGGGGACCTGAGTCCCCTGCCCCCGCCTTGAAACCGGTAGGGGTTTTTTTTTTAAACCCCCATCCCCACCCATTTAAGTAAACGGTTCTTTGAACCCGTTTTAAACGGGGCGGTGGCGGGGCGGTTGCCCACCGGATTGGGAATTTTTGCCACCCCTAGGCATGCACAAGCCCATGTAAGTTAGATCAGTAAAGATGCTGGGCGTAAAAAATGATGATTGTGACGTCCCTTATTGCCACGAGGGAAGAAATTGATTACTAACACTTATTAGGAGGCAGGTTTGGGTTAACCTCAATCGGATTTAGGTCATAAACGGGTTGACACAATTAACTCGATTAATTAATCGTGTCGTGTTAGGGTTGAGGGGTTTAACTCATGTAACTTATTAATACCCGTTTAGTAATTTGGTTGGATTGAGACTTACAATATATATATATATATATATATATATATATATATATATATATTTATTTATTTATTTATAATTATAAATAAACGATTATTAAACGGGTCGGGTACTGACTTACCTAGTAGAATATCCTTACATCGACACGACACGATTATGACCTGTGAGCACAAATTGCCAACCCTAATTGCAAGCATTAAAGGGTGCAAAGCAAATAATACCTGCCAGTGTTGAATAAGTTCTAACAAGTTGGTTAGTAGAGATAAGATGTGATAAGTGGCGTCAGCCTCTGCCACAAGCACAGAGGCTTGAACAGCATTATCCTCCCGTTAACAAACGTTGACCATAACAGATTAGTGTCAGTGAATGTTTTTTGGCCCTGATGACGGCTACTGTAATATGAGAATTTTAGCTACAACCACATTTTTAAAATTTTCCCAGTATTTGTGATGTTTTATAATTAACATTAATAAATAAATCTACCAATTTTTTTTCTTAATTCTGACTAAGTGAAAAACTTTTCGGCAAATAACGAGTTCACAAAAAAAAACCACCATTGTTATTTGCTACCGTGGTTCGTTTAATCAACATATTAACAATAAGGATAATCATGTCATTTTTGTTTAGTCAATGAGAACATGTCTTTATACAGATACTAAGGTTGAATGTGACAGAAATGTGAATGTTGATATGGATGTGCAGTAAGACTAGAAAGAATAGATTCAGAAATGATTACATTTAAGAGATGGTTGGACTAATAGCAATTGGAAATAAGATGAGAAAAATAGAGATAAGATGGTTTGGACATGTGTAAAGAATGCCTTTGAGTGCGCTGGTAAAAAAAAATGACATAGTCCACATTGAGGATAATACTAGGGGCAAAGGAAGACCAAAGTCAACGCGTTAATAAAGAAAGATATGATAGCATGAGGAATAACTGAGGTTTTGAGCTTGAATATAGCATAATGTCGCTGGAAAAAGGCTTAGTTGTTGTTATTGTACATTTGTTAAGGCTCAATGGAAAAAGGCTTAGTTGTTGTTGCTATAGAGATGTCAAGGGTAAAAATGTTATCCTATAAATTCATTTTATTTATTTGTTGTTTGGAAACAATCTTTAAATTAAGCAAAATTTCTAACTTCCTTTTTTAAAATAAAAACTACTTTGAAAATTCAATGAGACATGTTTGGTATGTTTCAAAACTTGGTGAATAAAATAAAGTAAGGTGTTGTGGTTTTTGAATTTTAAAGTGCCAGTGAAAAGTGAAGTACCACCTACATAAAATTTTGGATAAATTATACTCACATCTCTTGAGATTGGGTCAATGACACTCAATGCAGCGGTCAATCCACTGGTTTACATTGACACCCTAAAAATTTCAAAAGTCATATTTACCTGTTAATTGAGAAAAATAATCCCACTCAATATTCTGTAATCCCCTTACCCACCACCGCCACACCTACACGCGACTTCGACAATACTAACTTTCGGCTTCTTCAGCTTTAACTTCTTCTCCTCCGTTTTCCCGTTCTCGACAACACCACCGGCTAATTCGGCATTGCTATCGTCCTCTTTGTCATCGGATCGAATCTTCGATCTGATCGGTTCCGCATACGAGGCAGAAGCTGCTGTTCTTTGAGATTCTATACTGTGGCAACGCTCCTCCTACTGCTTCTCGAGTGACCGGAAAACCTTGTCACCGCCGGCTGCAGCGGATCCGTTGGGAAAGATATTGCCGACATCTGACGGTTTTGCTCCACCTTTTCTTTGCCGCTTGGTGTACGTGACCTTTTGTCATCCGTGAATGCGATCTCGGTCATTTCGTCATGGTTCGATTCGAAGGCGAAGGACTTCTCTTCCATTGTTTTGATTTTCTTCTCTTACTAAAGAGCAGAATTGAAGACAGAATAGAGGGATCCCTTTCTAGATAGAGAAAATGAAGGAAAATGAACTGTTTAGAGAGAGAACGAAAGATTAGAACGGAGGGATTCATAAGATGTATGTCCTGTTGATGTGGGTTAAAGAAAACAATCGGTCTCGTCGCTTTTTACAGAAGGCTTTTGCCTCTATTTCGCTAGCGATATTGATGGTGGTGGTTCTGATTGTTAGTGGTGACGGCGGCGGTGGGTTTCTCTAATTCGCGACCGATGATGGTTTTTGCCTCTGATCTCGTCGCTTTTAATCGACGGCAATGGTGGTGGGTTTTTCTGATTGTTGGTGGCGATGGTGGTGGTATAGTAGGTCTCTCATGAAGGGGGGGCGATGATGGTGGGTGGTGTTAAGACAGGAAAGGTAAGGTATAGAAGGATAGAGATAGAGATGAGAGGATATGTTGGGTATCAGGTGGTGTATGTAAGAGACAGAGAGGGTATGGTGGGTTAGAGGGAGAATGTAAAATGAAGGGGATTTTAGTCCTTTAAAATTTAGTTTACAGGATTATAATAGTAATTTACACTTCTACTAAATCAAAGGTTAAAATGGTCATTTTTTCAGGTAGAGGGGTGTGTATGTAAACTTTTGAAACCTTAAGAGTATCCATATAAACTAGTGCATTGACCATCCGCTTAGTGGCATTAACCCAAACCTCAGAACTTATGAGTGTAAATTACCTTAAAATTTTACATCATTAAATAACACTTAGGTCTTGTTTGATAACCTTATCCAACATTTAAAATTGAAAAGGATAGAAATATATGTGATTTTGGCCAAACTTTTAAGCAGTATTTTACATCCCTAAGACACTTATTATCCACTGAGATTTTGGTAAATCTTACATGGATGGAGCATTTAAGGTTTATTACTCTAATCTCTTTAAGACTATAAAAGGTCAATTATATTCTTATATGTAATATATTTTTATAATACAAAATATATTATAAAATCAAAAAAAAAAAAAAAAAAACTTTTGTATCTCATCTCTCTTATTACTTCTCTCTCCTCTCCACCACCGTTATCCTATCCTAAAAAAAGTATTGTAAATAAATAAAGAATAAGTGAAGGGCAACTTGATCATTTTATGAATTTTCTTTTTTACAAGTTTTGATGGAGGGATAGAGAGGTGGGTTGTTAAGCATGCACCCAAAGCTAAAAGGAGGTCAAAATAATAAACTGAAACGCTCTATGAAATTTGTCCAAACTTCGTGGAGCTCTCAATGTAATTTACTCTAAATATAATTAAGAGTCCGTTTTGAGGTAGGGTCCGTTTAACGTTGAAGTAGCTTACAGCTGTCAAAGGAAAAATCGACACGTGTACTGTCATGTGCCTAAAATACAATTTCACAGCCACAAACCGAGTGAGTCCGAGAGTCTGAGTCCGTTCAGTTTCTGCTCTCTGTTCTCTCCTCTCTCCTCTCTCCACACAGACACACATATAGTACACATATATATACAAACTCTGTGCCTGTACGTCTTCGTGCGAGTTCGAGTCCGGGTTAATGGCGGTAATATGTCTTGCATTTCTATTTCTGTAGAACACCATCTTTATTGTGAACCTAAATTTGTTGACTGTAAAATACAATTTCACAGTCCCAATCCTGAGTGAATGTGAGACCGTGAGTCCGTTCAGTTTCTGCTCTCTGCTCTCTCCTCTGTCCGCACAGACACACACATACAGTACACATATATATACGAACTCTGTGTGCCTTTACGTCTTCGTGCGAGTTCGAGTCCGGGTTAATGGCGGTAATATATCTTGCATTTCTATTTCTGTTGATCACCATCTTTATTGTGAACCTAAATTTGTTTGTGGATTTGTAAATCGATGTATATTCGTATATGTATTAAATCACAGAAGTAAGAAACTGTTGGAGATTTTGGAGTTTTATTAGTAGGATTAATAACAGAAGTAAGTGTTCTATTACTAGATTAACATTAGTTCATTCATTTCAATTATACTTTTATTTCGTTTTAATCTTCACATTTATGAGTTAATATATATATTCTTGTGTTCTATAACAAATTTTATCCGGTAATTAGGTTTTGTAACATTTCCCTTTCTGTAATCCTTAATTTGTTTCAATGTAGCAACCTTTTTGCATGCGGGGTAAGGCCAAACCCCCCGTGCATTGGATATGTTTTTTTTCACTGTAATGATTTTTTTGGGATTAATTTCGACCTTTGCTTTTGGAAATTTTGCTTTTCTTAGTGTATTTTCTGTTTGATTGATGGGAAAATTGTTGGAAAAACAGAATGAATCGGGTTTCGAACATAGCAGGTTTTTATATCCGTTGATAATTGTTGTATAGTATTGTATGAGTTGTCACTTACCCCTCGTTACCATATATAGATTTACCATGTACAGGGTTTACTTGTTCTCCACTCACCTACTCATGTAGCTTCTCCTATATAAACACCATTGTATTATTGTATTACTTAATAAGATATACGAAAATGGTATCAGAGTTTAAAATTTTTTAGTCTTATTCAAACTCCGATCTTGATTCCATCTCGACTTTCTCTCAGTAATCGCTTCTCGGCGATTTCTCCTCGGTGATCTCAGTTCTCGTCTCGGCAATCTCTTTCGGATCCCTCCTCGTCTTTCTCTCAGCAATCTCTTCTCAGCGATCACTCCTCAATGATCTCAGTTCTCATCTCGGCAATCTCTCTTGGATCCCTCCGCGGCTCTCTCCTCGATAATTTCTCTCAGGTTCATCTCGGCTAGATCTTGGTTCTCGTATCTCGGTTCCCTCTCGCTACTATATCTCATTTGTTCAGCAGCTCTTGTGATGGGTACTAAGGAATCTCATCTACTTGGGTCAATCACCAGCACCAAACTGAAAGGCTCAAACTACCTTCAATGGTCTCGAACCATAGAGGTGTTCTTACGGGCTCGAGGAAAATTGTCATATCTTTAATCAACCAAATCCACCAGTGATGAAAAGATTATTGAGGCTTGGGAGAAAGAAATGCTTAGATTATGACTTGGTTATGGAATAGCTTGGAGCCTGAGATCTTCAACGACTTGACAACTCATACAATACTGTACAACAACAAGGTTGCTCATGAGGGTGTTGGAACTTGACATTCACAATACATTGCTCGACCCATTCTCAAAGGGCTCAAGTTTTTGGAGTAATTAGTAGTTTAACAAAGAGCAGTTTTTATAGCAATCATGGATTTTTTTCTTTCACTCTTGTCACTTTTTTTCCCCCTTCTTCCAAGTATCCAGAATAGGCCATATGAATGCCATAATGTCACAGGCTTATAAATTATTGCTGAATCTTTGTTGATTACATATGTATTATCATTATTATGAGATTGTTGTCCTACATTTGCTTATAATGTTCTCAGACCTAGATTGGCTTTTATTGTTCTTCAATTCTACAACAAATATAGTATCAACTGTAAAAATAACTTTGACATTGTTGTTTCAGGCGACTGTTTGTCTGACTTGTGGCGACAAAGGGGAAATGCGCCTTCTAATCTACTGTGTGAACTGTAGGGATTCTGCCGTGCATCAGTATGTTTGATCCTATAATTTGTTTAGATGTTTGTTTACATATCATTGATGTTTAATAATCATATTTTTCCTTTTTAATTATTACTTGGAGGTGGTTACAAGAGATTTATTCATAACAAAGACAGGAAGTGTCTCTGTCTTCCATCTCTCTGCCATAGATTTATTAACATATGTTTGATATTCATATTATTAATGAATATTTAACTACATATTTTTCCATGAAACTTGAAACAATACTTTTATTAAAAAGGAACCTTCACAATTTAACTACATATTATTGAATTTATTGACGATAATTCATTAATATTATTTTATGAAGTTGTCTTTTTTAGTGACAGAATGTTATATTTGTTGAGTTTATTGACCTATAGGAAGCACGGACACGCCCCGACACGTGTTGGACACTTACGAATATTTTATATTTTTTCGAATATCCGGACACGCTGTAGACACGCTTCCGACACGCCATGGATACATGTCAGACATGCGTGTCCCACTCTTTGGGGATTTGTAAGAAGCTTTTAGAAACAATGTTGAGTTGAAGTGTAAATATTAAGATTTGATTAATTACATAATTACTTAAAAATTTGTTGTTTCATAAACAATTTTATATTCAAACAATTAGATATTTATTATTATATATTTTAGTTCAAAGGTTCGAACCCTTGCACGATCATCTTTGACTCTCTTGTTGTCCCACCAACCAAGCTTCGCTATCGGTGAATGGTCTCTATATCTCTCTCTCCTCGTTCTCTCCTATTCTCCGTCCTCTTTTCTTTCTTCTTCTTGTTCTTCGCAAACCCTAAATACTTATTTTTTCTTTTCACAATAAATTTCTTTTTGCTTCTTTTTCCTTTTTTCTCTATTCCCCATGAATTTTTTTCTCTTCTATGGATTACCTTTATTTTTAACTAAGGCCTAATTCTTTTTCTAACAAAACCCTAATCCTTGTTGTCTCTTTTTATTTATTTATCATTCTTTCTTTTTTTCCGGCAAAATGCATTTTTGTCACTATGAAATTGTAAAAAATAATATTACTCTAAATTCTTAAAGTACAACATCATATATATATATAGAAAATATATTTCTTATTTGCTGTGTCCCCGCCGTGTCCGTGTCCTATTTTTTTAGGAATTGCCGTGTTGCCGTATTCGTGTCGTATCCGTGTCCCATATCCGTTTCCGTGCTTCTTAGTAATTGACTGTAATTAATTAATACGATGTATTATTTTATGAACTTGTCCATTTAGTGAGAAAAGTCATATTAAAGTTTAGGTTTCATACTAATAGTAGTTAAGCTTTAGTTTGTTTGAAGAGAGTTTGTTCAGAGTTGATGCCCCCACACCCTTCCTTGAGCTGTATCCTGGCTCTGCCATTGCTCATGACAATTTTTTTTTTTTTTTCCCAGTGGTCTTTGGACTTTGATTTATTTCTCTCGCATTATGAACAGAATTATTTCTTTCTCAGAACATTTTTGTTGAACATAGTTGTTTTGGAGTTTCAGCGTCTTTTATTTTTATTTTTCAATTTGTGGCATTAAAATTTTTGTGGTGGTCTATGTACATGAAAAAACTTGTGCATTTATCCTGGAGTTATTAAAACTTAATGTCATCTTTCTTATACATTTTTATTGTGCTTTACTAACCTATACTTTATTGTTGTACTTGGTTAGCTATTGTCTTGACAATTTTTCCCCCAGTGATGATAATATCACCTGGATGTGTGAGGAATGCGAGCCAAAGGTAAGAAAGTTTTCTATGTTTAGAAAAAGTGAACGAACAACTTTGAAAAATGACCAAGCTGTTGATGTTCGAATGAATCGGAAGAACAACCTAAAGAAGGAGTGCAGTTCCGTAACAGGCAATGGAACAGTTTTTATGAAGGACAGACTGGCTGAAACACCTAAGCCAACAAGTGATTGTTCTCTCCCATGTGAGGAGATGAAGGACCTGCACTCAGTTGATGAGACTTTTGGAAATCAAGCTGTTGAAGTTCGAATGAATCGGAAGAACAACCTAAAGAAGGAGCGCAGTTCCTTAACAGGCAATAGAACAGTTTTTATGAAGGACAGACTGGCTGAAACACCTAAGCCAACAAGTGATTGTTCTCTCCCATGTGAGGAGATGAAGGACTTGCACTCAGTTGATGAGACTTTTGGAAATCAAGTGCTTAGAAAAAAAAGAAGGCTATTGCTTGATGGAGATAGTTCAGAAGAAGATTTTGAACCAGTTAAAGTTGAAGCCTCTTTGTTAGCTTCTTATGACCATTGTGGTCAATCAAACGTATCATACAGTCAGCCATATTTGGAATCTGATAACCATGTCCACTTTGAAAACCAAGAGCTTAGGAAACAGGAAAGAATATTATTGCTTAAAGACAGGGATAGTCCAGAAGAAGAATTGGAAGACCAAGCTGTTGAAGTTCGAATGAATCGGAAGAACAACCTAAAGAAGGAGTGCAGTTCCTTAACAGGCAACAGAACAGTTTTTATGAAGGACAGGCTGGCTGAAACACTCCCATGTGAGGAGATGAAGGACCTGCACTCAGTTGATGAGACTTTTGGCAATCAAGCTGTTGAATTTCGAATGAATCGGAAGAACAACCTAAAGAAGGAGTGCAGTTCCTTAATAGGCAATAGAACAGTTTTTATGAAGGACGGACAGGCTGAAACACCTAAGCCAACAAGTGATCGTTTTCTCCCAGGTGAGGAGATGAAGGACCTGTACTCAGTTGATGAGACTTTTGGAAATCAAGTGCTTAGAAAAAGAAGAAGGTTATTGCTTGATGGAGATAGTTCAGAAGAAGATTTTGAACCAGCTAAAGCTGAAGCCTCTTTGTTAGCTTCTTATGACCATTGTGGTCCATCAAACGTATCATACAGTCGGCCATATTTGGAATCTGATAACCATGCTCACTTTGAAAACCAAGAGCTTAGGAAACAGGAAAGAATATTATTGCTTAAAGACAGGGATAGTCCAGAAGAAGAATTGGAAACAGTTACAGCTGAAGCCTCTTATGGCCATTATGGTCCATTGAACGTGTCATACAGTCGGCCATCTTGGGAATCTGATAACTATGTCCATGCACAACCAGTTATTGATCCAATTTGGAGGTAATGCTTTATCTTTAGTCTTTAATGGTTAATCACATATGGGCTACGCACAACCAGTCTTTAACGCTTGTGTTAACCATTTATTTGCTGCTATGTCTCACTTTTGCTGAGTTCCATATGTTTAGGGGATCCCTTAATATTACCAATGAAAAGAACAAAACCCATGTTGGACTCGTGGCCCATTTATCTAGTAAAGCTTGCGATAAAGTGTCAAATGCTGCAACTTTGCTGCCTCAGGAACTTGATGTTGAAATTCTGCCTAGGTGTGATGCATGGCCAAAGAGTTTCAAGACATTGCCTCCCACCGATGATAATATTGCTCTCTATATATTTCCGAAGTTTGAAAGGTGGTACCCATTGATTTTAACATGTTCCGCTTAATATTACTCTTTTCCCTGGATGCCTTATTTGATCATTTATATATACTATTGAAGGGATGAAAAAGTTTTCGACAATCTGCTGGATGAGATAATAGAGCACAAGCTTGCTCTAAAGGCTGTGATTAATGATGTGGAGCTCTTGGTTTTCTCGTCTCTTGAGTTGCCACAAGAACACTGGAGTAAGTCAAAATAAACTTTTGATCCTTTTTGTTTGTGTTGCAAGTGGTTTGAAAAAAAGGTTTATTGGATGTAGTAGTAATATTTCGAACCAATTGATTTGCAGGATTTCGTAGGAAGTACTATTTGTGGGGTGTGTTTAGGCCTAAGAAGTATTCCCCAGCCCCTGTACCAACTATACATCCTGCTATGCAAAGCCGCAGTTCTCAATGTGTCGCACTTCCCAAGCACACAATTCAAGCTGTGAGGCAAGGTGCAAAGGGTCTTGCTAGAACGATGGCAACTCCAAGTCACCACAGTCCTCTAAGCACCGGTGGTAGCCATGTATATAATAACCCTTCTCATTCAATTTTCCTTGCCCGATCTAAAAGTTCCTCTACTGATTCTCTATCTTCTTGCGCCTCCAAACTCAGTAGGGTTCACAAGACAGAGCAAGGATATGATGAACTATGGCACTTGAAAATGCAGCACAGAAAAGGAGAAAATAGGGAGAGAATGGAAGCATTGGACTTGAAACTTATCGTAACCTAAGGTAATTTTGCACTATCTTTTGAGGTTTGATAAAGGCTGAAATTGGTTTGGGACCATTTTCGTTGGATGTGGGGGATAAAGCAGGAAGCAGCAGTAAATTTTGAGCTGAAGTTGGATGCGTTTAGTACCAGTCACAGTCCCACGGCTAAGCAGGAAGCAGCAGTAAATTTTGAGCTGAAGTTGGATGCGTTTAGTCCCAGTCACGGTCCCACGGCTACTCAACATCCTCGTATGTGTTAACCATCACTGCACAATATGAAACTTGGATTTGCTGAAATGAAGTTTAGCATTTGGTGTAGTGGAGGAGATTTGCTGAAATGAAGTTTAGCCTTTGGTGTAATGGAGGAGAGGGTTCATTGGCTTTTGGAAAGACGGTCTAATTCTCCAATGACTTTGTACAGTTTCGTTCTTCAAATGTAAGCAACTGATGGTTTTGTAGTTGACTTGTGGAATGCAAAGCCTTGGTGTTAAATTGTTGTGGTCAACATGTTTTTTTTTATAAATTTTTTGTAATTTTTTTTCCTTTTAATCTTATATCCTCCTTGAATAGCGAAATAGCGAAACTGTGCCGACTAGCTCTTACTAGGTTTTGATTAAAACATAAGGATCTGAAGAATTGATAAATAAATATGCATCAGAAACGCTAAAACATCATAGATATAAAATAATAATATGTATCTATAAGTACAACCATCAATTGCAGATGATCCTTGTCTATGAGAAATAATATCATCTGAAATAATTTTGTAACCAAAATCTGGATTCAAAATTTTAACTTAAGATTAAGAAAAATTATGTAACTTTCTTATAGGAATAGGACTACAATATCAATTGAGGTTTAACCCATTGTAAACTAATATTTTGGGCCTTTATGTTTGGGCTGATAATTTTTAACTCATGTCAATTATAATTAAGATTTGAACAAATGGTAACCAGTAATCCAAGTCTAATCTGAGTCCAATTTACTTTAATAATAACTACATATAAGACAATTGTTTTCAAGTGTTTAGTTGCATTTAAACTGTTACAATGTCCGTTAATAGTTTAAACTTAGAATATTACTTATTCTTTTTTAAGTGCTTAACCTGAGATTAAAATGTCTTGTGCTCAAGTAAGCTCATTAGGTCGAAAATTGGATTGAAGGTTTTATACTCCAATTCACGTCGTCCGCTCCAAGTCGCATCTTTAAATTTGCGGGTTAGGGACTTAGGGTTAATAAACAATTTAGGTTAATTATCATTTCTTAAAATAAATAATATATATATATATATATATATATATATATATATGGGGCAAATTACATAAAACCCTCCTCAACTTGTAGTATTTTTCAGTAAACCCCCTCGTCTAATTTTTTTTACCAAAGAACTCCCCCGACTTGTAACATTTAAAAATAAATCTTCTTGTCTAATTTTTTACAAAAGAGCCACCCTCAACTATCTGAAGGTGTGTAAGAGTTGATATTTGGAAAAAATACCTTTTATTTAAATCTAAATTTTTTCGAACTTCAAAAATTTATGTCTCACAAATCGTACATCCAAATATTGCAAATAATATATGCACAGAAAGCTTATAAAATAAGGATTTCAGAAATATAAGATTTGTTTAACAAAACTTCATAACCAGAAATAGTCAATCGAAATATCTACTGCAACACTCTTAGTTTATTTTATTTAAAAAAAATACTTAGGTTATTTGCAAGAAAATTTCTAGAATTGTTCATTTTCATACGGAGCATAACATATAAAAAAAATTAGCTCCAATAGAGAGTGAATATTCATTTTGATTTTTTTTTTTTTTTTAAAATGGTGAGACTATAAAAGAATGAAAATACTTTGACGCAAAATATGATATATCATGAAATCGATCTCTACTGGGTTTAATTTTTTTTTTTTATATATATATTTTGCTCCATATGAATATGAATAATTCTAAAAAATTTCTTGCAAATATCTCGAGTATTTTATTTTAAAAAATAAAATAAGATTGTTGGAGTAGATTTTTAGATTGCCTATTTCTCTCTAGTTAATAAGTTTTGTTGCACAAATTTTATATTTCTGAAATCCTTATTTCATAAAATTTTCATGCATATATTATTTATAATTTTTAAATCTATGATTTGTGAGATATGAATTTTTAAAGATCGGGAGAATTAAGATTAAAATAAAAAGGCATTTTGGTCCAAATATTAACTATTTTACCTCCCTAAGATAATTGATCAGATAATTAGGGGAGTTCTTTGGTAAAAAATTAGATAAGACGGATTTATTGAAAAAAATGTTACAAGTGAAGAGGGATTGGTAAAAAAAATAGACAAAACTATTTACTAAAAATGGCTACAAGTCGAGGGGTGGTACTGTACTTTGCCATATATATATATATGAACAAATTAGTTTGTCTTGTGACCATAATTTTATTTTGATTTTTGGACATTAAATCTTTGCTCATTCTACCATTTTTTCCCACAGTATAATATATAACCAACTTTAGGCTCAAGAGGATTGCTAGTGGCTCTCGACACTAGTAGTTATGATTAGTTGCAAAATCAAACCCAATTAGAAATACTTTCCTCTTTTTGAGGGAAAAAAAAAAAAAACAAAGATAAGAACTCATATTATTAGATGACGTGGCGCATGCAAATATTGACATCTGTCCAAATTTAAAATATTATTAAAAAAATCTAAGAATGAAATGAACCGGTTTCAGGCTGCAGGGCCGTCCATGTCGGTGACGACAGCCACGAGAACTAATTTGGCCTGCAAATAGGAGCGTTGGTGTTGTGTTGTTTGAATTGCAGTTTTGGGTTTTCATGGATTTTCCTTCTTATTGAGACCGACTAACCAACCTTTGTTTTTGTTTGCTAAGCTTAGAATCTGACTTGGTGTTTTAATCGAAGAAGTTCTTGGTTTCACGAATGCGTCATAGTAGGGTTCCGCCGCAGACGGTGGGGAGACAGCGGGGGGAATTCCATATGAAAAAAATGTCGCTCTCTCCCACGCACCCTCAACCTCCCTACCTTTCCTGCAACTTCTCAATCCCCAGCCGTAGAGGTGGTGCCGGACATCCGGGAATGGGAGTTACCGAATTAAGAGAAATACCTAGCCTTTGACAGAGAATCGGATGTCTCCTCATAGGGGTGGGCCGCCGACGGCGAAAGGTGCGGCGGCGGCGGTCGAATGGAAGAGGTACTGAGAGAGATCCAAATGGGTTTTCACTTGAGACCCCAATTAAGGGCCACATCACCTATAAGGAGGAAGTTTCTCCTGATAGTTTTTTTTTATACTGCAAATTATTTAGTTATTTATTTATTTATTTTTTATTAGATAAAAATTTATAAATGTGAACAACACGACTTGACTACTAACCCCTGAACTGATCTGAAACACATAAATGTACACATAGTTGTAAAATGATAAATAAGGGTGATTAATTTTATTCTAAATCAAAAAAAAAAAAAAAAAAAAAATCACATACTCAGGGTGAGTAGGCAAGCAAGTCGGAGAAGCTGGACTAATGGTCCAGTGATAAAAAACTCATCATTTTACTTGTACACTATGAAATATTGGTATAGAGTATATACACACACAATCAAACACACATACACTGATGATACACAGTCATGAAAACCACGAGAGAATACTCACTTTATAGCTTTTATGGTGAAGCAAATGAAAAGGTAAAGAGTAAGAAGCAAGCATCAAGGCCAAGAAGAAAACTAAAAAAGCAAAAAGAAAAAGTACCACATTTGTACAATCAACAATACGACACTACCCATATAACACTATCCTTCAGGAGATCAGGTTTTGTCTCCCTAAATCAAATCCTTTTGATAGTCAGTAACATTGTAAATTGTTAGCTCTTCTTGTTCTTGTTTATTACACTAATAGCAAATCCCAAGTGACAAAGAAGAGAGAAAGGAATATTAGCTTTTTCTTTGGTTGTTTTTTTTTAAAATTGTAGTTGCTAGTTTCCTGTAAATTCTTTACCTGTCAATTGCCACATCAATAGGGTAAACTTCACAGGTAAAAGCAGCGAAACTGCCCCGGTAAGTAGCAGATTTGCTATGTTAACTGAAATTTCTTTTAGCCAACTTAGATGTCAAATCTTAGGTTTTGGTTTAGCTTCAATGAAGTCAGAAACTGTGGTTTGCTTGTTTGTGTTTGTTAAGCAATTACAATGATCATTTCAATATTTTCTTCCATTTATATATTTATTTCCTGTACATTTTTTAACATATATCTAGTTAAAAATATGTTAATAGGGTAAGTGCTCTACAACTATGTGGTGGGAACTACACAATTTATTTCGTAGTTATTCGGGAAATGTGGAACATTTGGGAAACGAATATCATAATAACTCATGATAATAAGAAAATATATGTTCATCATTAGTCTCTATCCATCTTCCTTGCAGCATTCATGGTCAATTTTATTTATTTATTTAATTACATCAGCAATGTAAGTGTTAACATGACATTGCAAAGTGTATGTGTGATTAGGGGTGGATTATTATCATAAGGTGAAAATTTAAAAGTAAGAAGTAAAAAATATAGTGTGTGGATGAATTTCTATCAAGAAAAAGGTGAAGCTGGACTATATTCTTAATTATATGCTTTACCATTATCATTATATGTGCATTTGTCTGACACTATTTTCCCTCTCTCTGATCTTAGGAAGGAAAAAAATGGATGCTTCTGATGATTCGAACCATAACCATGGGAAACAAAGTAAGGAAGTACCGCATAATTTGAGCATCAATTCAGACAACAATGATGACCAAATAAGCCAGGAATCACAAGGAAGTCAGAGCACTGAAGAAGGTAAGAATTAAAGAGCTCTATTCAATACACACTAATATTTATATTTTTAATATAATGGTCTAGTTTTTTTATTTTTTTCCCAAAGTTTATACTTATTACAGGAATATACTTATTACAGGAATATACTTATTACAGGAATAGGTAATTGAACTATGGAGGTTATAGAATTATGAAAAAAAAAACTATGGAGGTTATAGAATTATGAAAAAAAAACTATGGAGGTTATATACTAAAAGAAAACATGAAAATTGGCATCAATTAAACTTTGATTTAATACAAATCACATTCTTTGCAATACTTGAGAAATAAAATGCTCTTTGTTGATTAAGATACCAGTCCAAAGGGATGAAGTACAAATAGACTCCAAACTCAAACAGACTTGCAAGGATTGACAATGATGGGATGGATAGGTAAGAAAATAATCATTTTTCTGGTATGGTGTAAGGTTACTTGAACAAATTTGAGGTGAGGCATTGATCCAAATAAATAAATAAATCAGTCAACAGTTGATTTTTACAAATGAAAAATGTGGTATTTCTGTCCATAGTTTTGAAGTTAGTTTCTTTGTTGCCAAATTCCCAACAATTTTGGACCTATTTATTTATTTTCCAGAAAATAGTTCATTGTTTTCATTTAACAGAAAAGTAAACAATTTGAAAATTGTTTGAGTTGAATTTTCTAGAAGTTGATAGAGAGTTAAAGGAGGCAGAGAACAAAAAAAAGGGCTCTGCTCCAATACAATTGCACAAAGAAGACTTTTATATTTCCCCGAAAACTCTTTTGTATATTCACTGTTCTTGAAATCTATTCTTACATGAACCAAAAGTAAGAAATAAAATCTCTGAAATGACAACTAAATGATGCTTATATTTGTTTTTCCTCCTCCAAACCAAAGGTAAGGAAATAAAGCCTCTAAAATGCTAACTAGTTAGATGACCCCTATATTTTCTTTCTCCTCCTTTTTATATGGTTCACCCATTATTCTTAACCCAGATGATGTTAGTCCAATTTTATGACTTTTCTTGGGCAAGGCTGAACCTAGTTAAGACAAAAGTTCCTTTTCATCATAAAAAAAAATTATAATTGGTTTTTAGTGATTTAATTGTTAGAACCCAGTTTTTGTTTTAACTTTTTCCTTCCTTACTTTTTTGAGAGAAATTTTTTTAATGGAAAAATTATGTGAGAAAAGAATGAAAGAACGATTTCTTGTCTTTAGGGGAAGACAATGTGAAAATGTGTTTGACATAAAAAAATATGATTTTGAAGTATATTTGTGTTTGTGCTTTCTTGTTATGTTTTGGCACTCTCTGTTCTATTAATCTACTCTTGTTAGTACTGGAAATTGGTCACCAACAAAGCTTCAAAGTCTTTGAACAAAGTTTTAGGTCTTCCAAGTCTTATAACATGCTTGATGTAATTTAATTTTAACTGCACTGAATTAGGTCACATTCATGTAGTTAAGACTTGGTTTTGTCATGAAATCAATAAAGGGCGGAGATTGTTAGGACTTAATATCATTGACTCATTGTGTTGTCAATTTCGGTGTCAAAGACCTAATCGAATAATTTTCAATTTAAATGTGCTTCTAAAGTCTTGTTCTTGTTTGAGTTGAGGATGTGTTGAAGTCTTGTTTATGTTCCAGTTGAAGCACATGTTGAATTTGCATCTAAACTCTAAAGTCTTCTCCGTGTTTTAGTTGAAGATTCATTCAAGCTGCATTAAGAAAAAACTTCAGCTTGATGAACAATTGGATAATTAATCGCACACTTATGCTGCGTTTGGTGTGCGTGAATGGAATGGAATGGAATGAGAATGGGAATGGAATGGAATGGCCATTCTCATTCTATTGTTTGGTTGTAAATATAAAATATGTAGGAATAGAATGATATTAACCATTCTAGTGCTTGCTTGGACCAATTTTAAATTTAGAATAGAATACATTTCAAATTGAGTTCTCCAAAATATCCCTCTTAGTAACAAATAAATTAAATTAACAAAATGAAAATTTTCTATAATTTTTTTAAAACAAATGGTGGCAATGGCTGTGGTGGAGGTGGAAAGCGGTAGTGGTGTAGGTGGTGGTGTTGGAAGCCAACGGCGGTGGCAATCGTGGAAGGCAACGGCGGTAGTGGTGGTGGCAGTATTGTGGTGATGATGGTGGAAGGAGATAGTGGTGGTGGAAGGTGGTGACGATAATGGTGGTGGTGAAAGGTGGTGGAAGGCAGTGGTGGCGGCGGCGGTGTAAGATGGTGGCGGCAGTGGTGGCTGTGGCAGTGGAAGGCAACGGTGGTGGTGAAAGGTGGTGGTGGAAGACGGTGGATGTGGTGAAAGGCGATGGCGGTGGCGGAAGGTGGTGGCGGTGGTGAAAGGCGATGGCGGTGGAAGGCTGTAGCGGTGGTGGTGGTGAGAGGCGATGGTGGTGGAAGGTGGTGGAGGTGGAAGGCAGTAGTGGTGGTTGCGGCAGAGGAAGGCGGTGTTTGTGGTGAAAGGCGGCGGCAGCGGAAAGCGGTGGGCGTAGGTCAAAGTCGGTGGCGGTGGTGGTGAAAGGTGGAAGTGGTTGTTGTGGAAGATAATGGTGGTTTTTGGACTTGGAATATGAGACCTTTTTGGAAAGTTGATTTTTAAAAAAAATTTACTTGGGAATGGAATGACCATTCCATAAGTTTAGTTGTGGAATGGATTTTCATTCCCAATAATGAATTTTCATTCCAATGGAATGGCCATTCCCACTTTAAATTGCATACCAAACAAATGAATGGTTGGAATGGGCATTCTATTCCATTTCATTCTTGCACACAAACTCAACATTAGGGTGTTGATAGTCACTTGAATTTTTATAAAAAAAATTCAAAATGATAAAAATTATTTTTGAAATGAAGGACGTTATAATCGTTTCAATAAATTTGGTTCGGTTTTATCTCACAAAGTTTGGTGATTTTTACTCAATAACTTCAATTTGCTGCTGAGTTACCTGACTTCTAAACATTGATCCATTTGTTAAAAACCTGCTATTTTAAAAGCTTAAATGGTTAGAGTGGGTCTCAATTATTTATATAATTGGCGAAATATTTGACTCTATTGTAACTGAAGTGTGCATATGAATAATATTAAGTGCAACAAGAAACACAAACATAATAGTTTGTTTTTTATAAAAAAACTTTGCAGGTACTGTGGACAAAATTTATATGATGACTCTATACAAGGCTGTGCATAAGGGTGACTGGGAATCTACCAAGTACTTCCTTGAGTTGGACCCTAATGCATTGACGGCTCCAATTTCAGAATATGGGGACACAATTCTGCACATTGCAGCTCTGGCCGGACATGTAAAGCTTGTTGAAGAGTTGGTGTATCGGACACCTGAAGAAAAATTGAAACTTACCAACAAAAGCGGAGAAACGGCACTTTCTCTTGCTGCTGCAGGAGGAACCACCAAGGTTGCTAGGGCATTGGTGAGGAAGAATCCTACATTGCTTAGCAAGCAAAATGATTATCAGCTCATTCCTGTTGTTGTGGCAGCTCAATTTGGCCATGTTGATATGGTAAATTTTCTTTATTATATGACTCAAGAAGAAGATCTAGACCCAGAAAATCGAAACAGCGACCAAGGCGCCAAGCTTCTCAATGCTTGTATTGTAGCTCAAATCTATGGTAAAAGAAACATACTCTAAAATATACAAACTCAAGGAGGTTGTTACTTCATACTCTCTTACTGTTAGTTTTAAATTTTAATATATTTGCCATAGATATTGCTTTGGATCTGGTCCTACGTTACCCAGAATTGGCTATTGCTGAATATAAGGACTCTTCAAGTGAAACTAAATCAATACTGAATACTTTGGCTACTAGACATTTGGCATTCCCTAGTGGAAGCGGGCTTGTATTTTGGCAGCAGTGGATCTACTCATGTAAGTACTTTTTCAAATTTTCATGCTAAAATTACAAACTAGAAAATAATTTTATCAACACATCATTCTAGATTGAGATTGTGTATACTAATTATATTTTTGTAACATTTCTGTTGACATCTTATGTTGGCAAGTGCTTCACAGGTTTTATCAACTCATCTCACTTAAATTTGAATTCAGCATTCATGCTACTCATCTTTAGTTAGAAATTTGAGTTATTGGTTAGTCCCTTTGATTTTGACATTAAAAGCTAGCAGTGTCATATCTTGAAGGTATTCCCGTGCATTCACTCCGTGTCACCAACAACCGTAGAGACATTGAAGCACATTATGAAGGATCGGCTAATCAAGATAACATCATCAAACAAGGTACATATATAATGTATATGTACATTTTAATACATCAGAAATATTCTAGATACTTGAGAATAAGTTTTACACTCTTAGAATCCGTCTTAAGTTTCTGCTTTGTATACTTGCAGCATTCTGTAAATTGTATGGACTAGTATGGAATGTCCTAAAACTCATGGGTAAGAAGAGTTTGTTTACTGCAAACCCTTTTTTTTTTTAATCTTGTTGGGGTCATCACTTTGTTTTGTCTGCAGTGCCTTATATGAAGTACATGTCTGATACAAAGTTGAAACATTTCCAAGTACTTGAATTGTTAAGCCATGTTTGCCAACAAGTATCCGTCATGGACCACGAACAGATAAAAAGTATTCCATTACATCAAGCAATTTTCAGTGCTGTTAGGCATGGGGTGGTTGAGTTTGTGGATGAGATGCTTACAGCTTACCCAGATATCGTATGGTTTCTTGATGGTGATGATCGTAACATATTTCTATATGCAATTAAGCAACGACAACAAATGATTTTCAGCCTTTTACATAAATTGGGGCCAAGGAAGAACTTGATAGCAGCTAGCATGGACAAGGATGGTAACACCATGTTACATCATGCGGGGTTTCTTGCTCCTTCTTCTAGCTTTGATCACATTTCTGGTGCAACTTTGCAGATGCAGAGGGAGCTACAATGGTTTAAGGTGTCATTCACTCACTTTTTATTGCAACTGCTTAGAGTAGCATCTCATTTGCTTTCTTCGTTTGCCTACTTATTTGGAATCATCATATTAGGAAGTGGAACAAACTGTCCAACCAATGTTTAGGGAAATCCAAAATGCAGAAGGTGAAACGGCTCGCTCTCTGTTTACTTCAGAGCACAAAAAACTCAGAAAAGAAGGGGAGAAATGGATGAAGGAGACGGCAACATCTTGCACTGTCGTGGCTGCTCTTGTGGCCACTGTTATGTTCACAGCAGCCTTCACCGCGCCTGGCGGTTACAATCAGACAACGGGTGATCCCCTTCACTTGCTTCAGAAATCCTTCATGATTTTCATACTATCAGATGCCGTATCTTTGTTTGCTTCCTCCACTTCAGCGTTAACATTTCTAGGCATCCTCAAATCGCGGTACAATGAAGAGGAATTCCTCGTCTCCTTGCCTAGAAAATTGATAATAGGTGTTTTCAGCCTTTTCTTCTCTATAGCAACCATGATGCTCTCCTTTGGCACTGCCATTTTTATAGTGCTTCATAACCGATTATCCTGGATTTCCATTCCTATCGTTTTGTTAGCCAGCATTCCAGTTATGATCTTTGTATTTCCACAAGTTCCACTCATTTTCCAGATTTTAGTCTCAACATATGGACCTGGCATTTTTGATAGGCCAAAGAAGCGTTGGTGTTTAATGTAATTGATCTATTTCCCAAATGACTATGAGTGTATTAAATTCAAAGAATGAACATATGTATTTAAAATGAATTTGAGCTATATAATGTCCTTTTTTTTTTTTTCTTCTGTATTTTGTATGATTTTCTATTCTGCTTTCTTCCTTTTTATCTGGTTAGAGTCCTTGAACTCTTATCCACTTAGGAGCTCTCAATGTTAACATTATGTTTTCAACTGCCTCTGTAATGAGGACCACAAGCACCACTATGTTTGCATCATAATGCTTTCTTGACTTTTTCATGTCTCACTCTCTATTCTCTTCCCTCCTAACCCCTTTTTTTGTCCTTATCTTTTCATCCTATGGCTGGGCTACACAAAAGTTCTTCTGCTACAGGTTAATGTGTATATATACTACATATATATATATATATATACATATACTTTCTTCTTTATGCACTCTTTGTTCTATTTGTTTGGACGTAAAATATTTTTTTCGGTTTTCTTTTTCAGGTAAAATATATTTTTTTATTTTAATTTTTCGGTATTTGGCGAAGACCTGATTCGAGGTTGAGGTCAAATCCATCGATTGGGGCTTGTAAAATAATTTGTCGAAAATTGATGAGCAAGTTATTTTTGTTAAATTTTAATTTTTTTTTTACTTCATAAATATTTTACAATAACCAAACACCAAAACATAAAAAAAAAATTAAAAAAAAAAAATTTACATCCAAACAAATGGAGTCCTAGTATCATTGTCTTTATCTCGCACAGCTCAAAATAATTCCAACCCTGCCTACTTAACTGTTGTTTAGTATGTTCACATGTTTTTTTAGAAACCATTGTGATTGGTGATGTCCTTTCTCTTCCTTCATAAACCAGATATGTTTCTAGCTAGTATTCTACTTACACTCTTCACTCCACGACTCTATTACTAGAGAGGACTTCATGTAAAAGGTAATTGGAGAAGAAAAGTGGCCAAACTGTGTCCAAATCAATCTTCAAATACTAACATAACATATAGACTACTAGAATTAAGAGAAACAAACAATCTTATGGTCATTCATGATTTTTAAAGTAACGTTGCTATATTTTGGAAGTAATGAGTATCACATTCTAAGAAATGACAATATTTAATTTGATGCATAGCAAAAACCGTGTAATGGCAAGGATTCAATTCTGCCTCATACTTGACCTTGCAAAAAATCATTAGTATGAACTGTATGATACATATTCATTTAGTCAGTATATATATTATAAAGAAATTACAACTAGTTGAATGAGAATGGAGACCAAGTCTATAGTCACAAATTTTTATGTAAACGCTATCCCATAATTAAAGGATTTCTATAACATCATCCACACAAAAATAGAAAATCTCGTTCTGTATTATGATATGTAATTAAGAATTTGAATCTTTATCATATATATATATATATATTTTAGTGACAGTTTTAACCTTATGGGCAAAACCGCATTTGAAAGTTAAAAGGATTTAAATCTCCATCATTAATATTTTTTTTATTTTTTTTCAAGTACCTCTAAAACATCATTCAACCAACATGTTCATGATGGTGTAATTATCTACCATTTATGCTTGCATGCGCAACTAAATCCAAACAAAAGCGAGCACATGACATGTTCATGATAGTTAAATATTGCCTTAGACATGTTTAGACACTTAAATACACCCAATATTATATAACAACATGCATAAGAAATGACATTATCTAGAATAAAATGGTTATTAATTAGTATTACTCACGGTGATCCTTGTCCATCAATACTAAAAGTGAATTTGAAATAAATCTTTTACTACTGTTTAAGGAAAAAAAAAAAATTCTATGATATCTTTTGGAGACAGCACAAATTTTTTTTTTTACTCAAAGGAAAAAAAAATAATAATACTGTAATAAACTTTATTTAGCAAAAAAAAAAAAAAAAAAAAACTTTTCGTACTGAATTCCGGTTTGAAAATTTGCCACAGTAAAATTACTAAAATCCCAACCAAAACCATAGTTTCGGCCTCCTGGCAAGGACCGCAAGGTCCATTTTAAGTCTTACCAATTTCCAAACGGCTAAAAGTAGGAAACAAGCTCATTTTAGAAGTGTGCGCACATTGTAGTTTGTGAGCACAGTACGCGCACGTTAGCGACCAATCATTCTCTCGCCACCTCAGCGTAACGTAGCCACCCGCCCTCCTTCCCATTTCTCTCTCTCTACATTTTCTCTCTCCATTTCCCCTTCTTTCTTACAATCTCTGCAACTAATCCACTGTAAAAATTTCACAGAGTTCCAAATCTGCCCCCGGACAATCTTTCATTTTCCCATTTTGGCCGCAACAGATGGCTCCGTCCAGCTCGGCGGCGCGGGCGGCTCAGAAGCTCTTCCCTATCCGCCGCCGGGAGGCCCTGTCGCCTCCATCGTCTCCGCCGCCGAGGAAGTACCGGTCGATGGTGGATATCATGAAGACGGCCAAGCACGCCGTGATCGATCGCGCCGACTACAGCCACGTGTCCTGCGACCAATGCGGCTCCGGCCAGCAAGCCGACGAGCTGCTCCTCTGTGACAAATGCGACCGAGGCTATCACATGCTTTGTCTCCGGCCAATCGTCGTTCGTGTCCCCATTGGATCGTGGTATTGCCCTAGCTGCTCCGATCATCGACCCGTAAAAAGTATGAAATTGTTTTTGTATTGAATACATATATATATATATGTGTGTATATTTATGATTGCATGTGTATATAAAATGAGGTGCTGGACAATGTATGTTCTGTTTTCTCAGGTTTCCCGAAGACTAAGATTAAAGATTTTTTCCGGATTCAGAAATGTACTGATGCAGCTAAGAAATGTGCCTCCCCCCAAGGTAATTTGTTATTTTATGTACCATATTAATAATTAAATCTGTGTTTACTGCATATTATCGTTATTGTTGTTTTTTTTATTCTGGTTTAGACAATTGATATATAATTTCACATTTTATTTGAAATGTTACTTTTCTTATTTGTCTTAAACCAATGATGTTATCCTGGGAATTATAGTGGTGTGAAATTTAGAAGAATAAAACTTTTTTATTTTAGTTGGGTTATTTATTCGTAAAGAATCTTTATGACTTTTACAGAGTGCACCCTTTTTCTCCCATAAAACAGATTCTTCACATTACATCGTTGTTTCTTTTTTTAAGCACTGTTGGATTTTGAACTCCTAAAAAGGGATTTGATGAGATGACAATTAAAAAAATATATATTTTGCATCAAGTTTGAATTTATGGGATGCGATAGATTTAATAGCAATGTATCTTTTGGATCACATCATATACGTACGTATATATGTGTCTGTGCGTATGTGTTAGACGATGTTTATGAGGTCCACTGATGTGATTCATTCAGAAATTTCAGTTGAATGTAGATATAGTTCACACTCATATTGAATCTAGTTAATGTTCCGTAGATAGCATAACTGAATTAAGAAATGAACTCCGGGGATACAGGATTGTTGCTATTCCATGTTTTGCACGTGTTCTATACCGCATTATTCTCAAATTGCATAGAAGGGATGGGTTGTATGAGATGAAAATGCTATGTGCGGATTTTGCAAGGAGATTCTTAGTATATTTATTTTAAATTTTCCGTATGGCATAGCTACTTAACAAATCTAAAGTAATTGGCCATGATCACATCTAACAAAAATCTTCTATTATAACTAAGCTCATTTAAAAGCAATTATTGTACTTTCAGTATTGGTTATTGAGAATCGCACACTCTATACACGTGTGAGATGTTTATCATAGGTGTGTGTGTGTGAGAGAGACAGAGACAGAGAGAGAATCAGTTTCAACGATGAACAATTGAGGAAACAATTATTTCAAGTAATGAGCAAATCGGTTTTAAAAGTAAAATTCTTGATTTTGGACACATGATCAACACTTAGACATGTGCTAATGAGTATAATTGCAAGAAATGTCATATTAAATGTTTTTATAAAATTAATATAAAGTTTGAGTGTTTTACCATTTTAAGAAACAAAATATATAAAACTATATATATATATATATATAGAATGGATTTATTAACGGAATGATCATGGTAGTAGGAGAGGAGTCAAATTATGTGTGTACATATAAATATCCATGTCAATTTATGCACATAGAAGCATACTGCATACATACAGATTTTTGTTGTATCCTTGCTGTGTCTTTAACTTCACAACCTGAGTAATTATGGTTACATGATTTATTTATTTTTGATAAGTAATTATGGTTACATGATTTATCAGTTACAAATATAATGTTATAGTCATGGAATATTTAAATGTTGTATATAATATATTTTTTTATATAAAAAATATAAACTATTGTCGTGGCCTCAATGTGTTTGTGTTGTACTTTTTAAAGGATGTTGTGTCTGTGTGTCTCATGGCATGTTTGTATCTTGTATTCATGCTTCTTAGTCTCATATGATCTTTTTTCCTTTCTCGTTTGGGGTGGGGTGGATCGCAAGAGATACCCTCGGCATGTCAATATCCTATATATATATATATATATATATATATATATATTTGAGGTCTAACACGTTGAATGTGTCTGTGTTATGTTGTGTCAATATTCTATATCCATACCCATGCTTGCCCTCCATGAGCTTTTTTCTTCTCTTTTTTATTTATTTTTACTTTTGTGGGTGTCAAGCGGCATCTTGTGAGCTTATCTGTAGTGTTTCTTGGGGGTTTCCTTTGTAGTTCTTTATAATGGAGGTAGAGACTAGAGGCACTGTGGGGGATGCATAATATTCATTCTATGGTTTATAGGGGTAAAGGAGATATTTGGGAAGAAACAACTAGAAGAGGAACTTTTCCAGACAGAGTCATCTCTTTTGATTTCTTATTGGGCCATTGTAAATGGGGAGTTCCCTAGAGTTCCTCTTAGCATTTCTTTCTCATATTGGATTTTTGTTTGTTCAAACAGTATTCCCAAGTCAGAGCCTTCTCTCTCACAGGTTCTCCCTCCTGGGAAAGGATTAAACTTAATTTCTATGGTTTCTGTCTTGGTCATCCTACCCAATCAGGGATATTATTAAAAACCAATTATTAGAGGACCTCGGTGTGCAATTTGGGCATCCGTGTCAGACACATATCCCATATCAATACGCATGTTGTGTCATGTTGACACAGGTACGTTCAAGTAACATATAGTAGACGCAGTTTCAGTAAACTTATATGCCATCTCTTGTGCCTTAGTCTAGGTTAAGTAGAACTATTAGATTCTTAATTCTCTCTCTTGTTGAAACTGAGCATCATACACGTTCTTGATCTCAATATAATCAGTTGATACCTAGACATCTTAAATATGCTTTTCTAAATTGATGATATCATTTGCAGGTGCTTTTTTTTTTAAATTTTTTTTAAATTTTTTTAATTCTCTAGACCTCTTATGTAACTGCTAAGGTAAGACTTACTTCCATGCTTGATCTTCTAGGATTTAATCATTCAAATGAGTTGATTTATGATACCTCAATCATGTCTTAGCCTTTTGTTGTATCCTCATTCACTCTCTTCAATGTCTTCAGAGGTTCCTATAGTGCCAACCATGACATTTGACACCAAAATAAAATTGGTGCCACTTCATCTAAGACTTCCCTTCATTTTGTATTTTTTTAGTGCAATCCTATGTGACAAGATAACTAACCGGACTACAGCGTCATTAATTTTGGATCTCAGTGAGAAAAGCATCAAGTCCTATAGCTTCCTTCCATCAGTCCTTTTATCGGTTCAGTAATTGCTTTTGGTGTACTTCTCTTTTCTCTTGTTTTTTTCTTTTCTTTAGACACTTTAATCCCGCTTTTCTAAGATGAATTCTTCCGTGGTTTCATTAGACAGTATATTAACATAATTAGTCCACCTAGTCATAATCTCTATTTCATTTCAGTAATCTCTGAAGTCCTTGGTTAAAATTTGTGTTATTCTTAGATATAATGCACTTAATACTGTTCTTTATGCCCTATTCCACCATTAAGATTCATATAATAAATTCACACGTACATATTACATATATATTGACTACTGATTCTTCTTAGAATTTCTAAGGGCCTCTTTTGCTACTTCGACTATAATCAAGAATAGCATTCATCATAAATTGCTTTCATGATTTAGTACTTGAGGCCTTTATGTTTTTATTTGAGTAGATGTATCAAATGAAGAACCATAAGGGGGTGGAGAATTAGTTGATTTCGAAGAAAAGATATAGTGGTATGTTCTACTTGAAGTTATTTACCATCAAATGAAGATGCGAAGGATTATGTGTTCCTTGCTAAGGAAGTTTGAACTTGTGCTCCTTGAAATTGGCTTTCTTGGGAATAATTGCTCAAGTAACTGTAAGTCATTTGATTTGCAGGAGGTTATTATACGTAGTTGTTGTTCTGTTTGCAAGGTTTTTGGAGATTCTACCCTCCTTCGTTGTGCAGCTGTGAGGGGTTTATGGACCCTTTTTCTTTCTTTCTTTCTTTCTTTCTTTTTTTTTTTTTTTTTGGTTGCATTGTCGGTTGTTCTTTGGCTTATGAATTATTTGGTGCTCGATCTCTTCAGCTGAGCTGCAATATGCAAGGTAAGAAAGTGGAAATAACAAGATAATTTAACAGGTGGCTTCGCTGTTGTTCTTTTGATTCCTCATTATTCCTGTTTGGACCTCTTCTTGTTTATGTTTCATTTGGCCCATTTTTGGAGTTTCTGGAGTAATTTAGCCCTGTAAACCTTTGGTTAAACGTTTGCCTGTCAAGAGCAGAAATATGGTTTCTGTAAGTTTATTCATTCTAATGTCATGTTATCTGGGAACACTGTTACTAAATCTCCTTTCCTCTTACACCACCTCATTAAGATGCTTGACTCTTAAATTCTCTTTTTCATCTCCTTGTGCGTATGCCTAATACCACTAACTAATGTTCTATCAATGAGCTGTTTCTTGTAAATTTTAACATCATTAACTTTGCGTTACTTGTACCCTAATTAAGTACTTGTTTGACTATCATCTGATCGAATTCTAAATTTCATTTGATAGGGGCCGCACCATCATATTTGAGTAGCTAATGGATATTTTGTGTTGAAATCCTTTAAACTCTCTGGATCATTTGAGTGATACTCATTTATTTGCATTTGATTGGTCATGATTACCTTGATGCCTTTAATTTTTTCATGTTGCTTGAATTTTTAGATGCTAGAAAGCGTCGTAGGCATTCTGGTACAATAGTGTTGTATAAGAAGAAGCGAAGAAGACTATTGTCGTATATTCCAACAGAAGATCCTGCCCGGAGGCTAGAACAAATGCGCTCCCTTGCTTCTGCTTTAACAGCATTGAACATGGAATTTAGTGGTGATCTCACTTACTTGCCAGTCATGGCTCCTCGATCTGCCAATCAGGCCAAGTTTGAAGATGGTGGCATGCAGGTTTTAATTGAAACTTCTTTCTTCATTTCAATTTCCTCCTGGAATTTTTTGGTTTACATTGGAGGTGCTGATCGGTATTTCTTTTCCCTGTAACTGCATGATGGTTATGTTATGTGGTCTTGTAAGGTTCTCTCCAAAGAAGATACTGAAACTTTGGAACAGTGCAGAACCATGTATAAAAGAGGCGAATGCCCTCCTCTTGTAGTTGTTTTTGATTCATGTGAAGGGTATATTTTTTTCTTCTAAAGTTCTACTCCTGGAATGCTAGTAATTCACTATGAATAATGCATATTGAATGTGATAGTATTTTTGTTCCTGGTGCAGTTTTACAGTAGAGGCTGATAGCCCTATAAAGGATATGACATTTATCACAGAGTACACAGGCGATGTGGATTACATTAAGAACCGGGAACATGATGATTGTGATAGTTTGATGACCCTTCTTTTAGCAACAGACCCATTTAACAGTCTTGTTATCTGCCCTGATAAACGTGGAAACATTGCTCGCTTTATCAATGGCATTAACAATCATACTTTGTAAGCCCGTGTACCCCCTATCTCTTGTTATCCATATTGCGACTCAAAAACTCTTTTTCCTTTCCTTATATTTTTTTACCATTCGATGGCCTTTGATTTCTTTACTCCATAATTCTAGTTATCAAGGTTGGACTCCACTCAAACTCACATTACAAGATTCCATGTTTTTTTTCGTGTCAAGTTATTTTTCAAAATTGACATTCTGTAGACCTGTTGTTCTTGAAACCTATCCAATTTTGTGCAGGGAGGGTAGGAGGAAGCAGAATCTTAAATGCGTGAGGTACAATGTAAATGGTGAATGCCGTGTGTTTTTGGTTGCTACTCGTGATATTGCCAAGGGGGAGAGGCTATACTATGACTATAATGGATATGAACATGAATATCCAACCCATCATTTTGTTTAAGTTTTTTACATAGATATTACTGACGAATCTGCGGAATTATCGTCTGATTCTAGATTCTGTTAGGTTCATCTGTTGTTGGAAATTTTTATTTATTTTTCAAAGCTTACATTGTGTTGGAGAGTCAACACATTTTTTTTCTTTCTAATTGTATGCATGGGCCATCAATTGTAATTTTCCCCGTAGCGCTGGCCAAGCATGTGGCCATAAGAGAAATTGAGGCGGCATTGAAATTTTGTTCGGATTTTAGTTTGTGAAGGCTCGAAATATTTAGAAATTTGGTTCAACAAACATTATCTTTATGTATTACAAATTTCAATGAAAAACTTTAATATTATCTGTGGATACCATCCGGATTGCTCCCATTATGACTTACTCTGACAGGATGTTGGAAGAAATTTTCCTTCAAACACTCATTTCCCTCGCTTTATTGATTTATAATTAGTGTTATTAATTTTACATTTTCATTTCTCCCCTCTGTAAGCTAGAAAAGTGATCTATTACTATTGTTCTTGATCTACTGAACCACCCCACGAGTGTTTCAGAAGATCTCAAGGAGTTCCTTTCCATTTGCCACTCCATTTGTATATTTCTTGATATATATTGTTGAATCCTACCTAACAAAAGGAAAAGTATTTCTGCATTTGTTCCACCATATTTAGGATGCCATTTGACCCTTCACATTTGAAAGCATTCCAATGCCTTCGTTTTTTTAGAATTGGATGGAGTGCCTTTTGCAGGGATCTTTTTGGAGTGTACTATGATTGTCAGTCTATGCTCGACACTCACAATTTTGGGATCCTCATACAACTTATAAGGTGAAAAATCATTTTCTCTGTGTTTACTTTTAATTGTGAATAGCAAAAAGTTCCTTGGAGGATTTTCTTCTTTCTATTTTTCCTGAAAGTTCCCATAATTACTAGTAACATTCCTCAGATATAGATATTCCTTCACAGCTCATTTGCTTTTGCTGTCTTGCTTAAAATTTAAGAAGATTTTATGATTGTATAATCATTCCCATGTGTGAACGCCTAATTTACGATGATATTTTGTTGCATTTTATTTTCATCGTTGTTGTTGTTGTTTTTGTTGCTTCTGCTGCTGTTGCTGTTTCTGTGGTGGTTTGTTTTTTCATTACTAAAAGAACACCATGATCTTGTGTTGCACATAGTGTTTCTTACAAATTAATTCAGATTTTTGTTTTGTTCATTAAATGTTTTGGGTGGTTGTTCCGCATTTTAGGAGAAGTATGTCACCTATACTTAGAACAGAACCATGTTTGGGTGCTTGGTATAATCATTCTAAAGGTCAATTATTTAGATGTCATGCGGGATAGTTGATTTAGCAGTTTGTTAGTTCCACATTTGCAGTACCCTTATTGGCTGTATACCAAAACCTAGTTTCTTCTTAGTTCTTTGATCTTTTTCATGCTCCATAATTCTTATGAAAATGTTTTTAAAACACTGGAATTGTGGTTATACTTCATTTAGTTAATGTGGCTTTCAAATGTTACAAAAACTTTCACCCTTTGTTTTTGCTAGCAGAAATGAGCTTGAACATTAGCTTCAAATCATGAACATACATGTTTTTGTAAAATGATTAGATTATAGTGGGATTAACGATACACACTGCGTGAGTGGAATAAGAGTATATCCAACTGACAAATTTCCTGTTTCAGTAAGAGAGTTCAACTTAAGACCTCAATGCAGCCCCAGAAGCATAGGTAACATTTTAACTATGCTACTTTTTCTTTCATTGCACTGCAGAAACATGGGAAATAAATTCTCTTGCCTTCTGCATAACAGGAAAGTTAGAGCATTGCTGAAGAATAAAGTCTCACGGATGCATTTAGTAGATAAAAAGAGTGCCCTAGGCCCTGCATTGAGAAAGTTTGAAGATGCTTTTGGAGTTTATGTTATGATGTATGGTTTCTCTATGAAGCTCTGGGGCTAATGAACAGGAAGATGGTTTAGTGAAGCTCTGTTCTTCCTTCCTCAAGGATTGATGAATTTTGAGATTAATCGACTTCCTTGGAGGCACTGAACTGCCTAACCTAATGGAGTTGCGATGTGGAGTTTGTAGCTATAAGATGAAGTGATTGCTTTGGGGACAAAACAGGAGCATCTAAATTCTTGTCCCAGTCCATTGACTTGTGAGCAAGATATTAGGCTGCTGGGCATGTAAACTTTTAATTGATGGCTGGAAAGTAAAGATTGCAGATAATATTGGTTGTGTATTTGGAAGAATGTACATTAAAAAAAAAAAGAAAAAAAAAAAAAGAAAAAAAAAAGGAGCAATTATTGAAGTTGTAATTGACATTCTTTGTGGATAATTATCAATGGAAGTGAATGATTGGGAGAATCTTGTGCCAATTATCTTAGATGCTAAAAAGTGATTTTATATTGGAGGACAGTGTCAACATTGTTAGAAACAAAAAATTTCTACTTTATATTTGTCTATTGCCTTCTCCCTTTAGAGGCCAAAGCCTGCGTTTTCAGATACGAGTGAGTGAGCACTCTTTCTACTATGAATGAATGACCTTTCCATTTATTTTCAAGCTTGCTCTTCAAACCAGCCTATTCCTCTCATTTAAGAAAAGGTTCTTCCCTAATCACTCTCAATAAGGTATATTCCCCTTTCAAATGAAAAGAGAACTAGTCCAGCCATTTTTTTTTGGTTTTGCTTGAAGCCGAATTTGAGAAATGATGCATACTGATTCCTTTAATGACAATTGCTTGATTCTTACCAAGTTTTGTTAAAATTATTGACACTTTATAGGAATGAAAGGTTCAGATTCTACTAGAATGAAATGATTAGGGCTTCTATATTCCATGTAAGTCAACACTCAAAAACCACCTAGTTTTGGGTTACCATCCTAATTTGGCTGCCAGAAGTTCTCTTGTCATGCCATTTCTTGTTTTTCACCAAGAAAGATGCAAAAAAACAGGGCATATATTTTTCATTTTGAACATAAAGAAATTCTCCCCTTCTACCACCAAACCCTTGGCTTGAGTGGTATCTCCTCCATCTCCCCAAAGGGTTGGCAAGTCCCACTTGGCACAAAAAGTGTATGTGAGTTGCTACCTACCAAATAATAGATAAATAAAAATTCCTCTCCTCCTGCCCATTTTCTTCATTTTCCTCCATATTTCAGTACGAAATTAGCTATTCATTTGTGATCCCATAATTTTTCTCAACTAAATTGGTAGTAAATTCTGTTGCTTACAGAATCCCTTTAATGGACATGTTCAGCCTTTCTATATTTAGACCAATCGAGGCATATAATTACATGTCAATTCAGTCCAACTATTTGCCCCCAATATTTTTACTCATAAAGTGGAAACAATTTCATTTCATTCTTCAGTTATTTTGAATTGAGGCCAATATATGGCTGAAACTGATAGTAGTGACCGTTTCTCCGCATTGCAGCATATGACATATCACAAATTATGGTCATCTTATGGTTTTCATCTGCATTAATTCCTACTCTGCTCATCAAGCATCTTTTTCCATAAACTATCCTACTAAAACCGAATCGTTGTCATGGTTCTTGAGCAGCTTTTTCGAGGATGGGCTGAGAAACCATATTATTGTGTGGCATCAAGATAAGGTTTGTAGTTACCATTCTGATATTGGAAATTTGAGTCAGTAGATGAGAATTTAGAGGAGCTGTTAGTGCTATTACAGAATGAGTTAGGGCTAGGAATTAGATAAAACGTGTGCAACTGTTACCCTCCCCTTGAGACATCAGAATGCCACTTCATGTGTTGTGGACACACAAAACTGATTATGGGAATTGAGATATATACATTTACTTGGTGTTAGAGGGAAACTAGATAATGTAAAGAAGTTTAGCAGCATAGCAGACCCCGCCATTCTTACCAAACTTTAGTCATTAGTTAATGTAGGACCACCAAGTAGATAGCTCTTAGGCTTAGTTCAGAAGGTTGTTATACCTTGAAGTATCATCTCACATTGGAGTATTCTTTACCGAAGTTTTTGCATTTTAACAGTAGTCATATCATTTGAGATTGTTGAATTTTTTATATATGGACATTTAAGCATTAAGTAGTTTTAATTTTTAATTTCTTTATTTATTTTTTCTCTTATGCTGGAGCAAAATTTAAGGTTTCATGAAGGGGTTCTTATTCCTACTATGTTACAATAGTTGGTAGGAATTGTTGGTTGTTATAGGATCTTCAAAAGCGTATAATAGGGGTTTGTTAATGTAAATCGTGATTTCTGATACTGATTTATTGGAGGTGGATGAGGCTGCTGTGCAAATGAAAGAAATGCAGTAACCATTCCACATGAAGAAGAGCATGATAGGAATGAATAGTTATAAAGGGGTTGCCAGGCTACGATCACAAGTAGGTTCGTTATATTTCCGTCATCTACCATTACAGATGAGCTTGGTATGAACAGTGCAATCCATTGTCAACAAGAATCATAGATAAACTCAACTTATCAACAGCTTATGTTGGAAGTACTTGGGATTAGAATTCTTTCCTCTTCTTTTAGCTCAACTTAGTCCACTGTCTTCTATAAAATCATGAATTGTCATGTGTTTATTTTTCACAACTTGGGCCCATGTAATTTTTTTTCCCTTTTAATCTTGTTCTTTTACTACAATTTGAAATTAAATTGCATTTTTTTAAAAGTATAGTTATTATGCTTGGTTGCATATGTTTATACCATCTTTAAGTTGATTACTCGGGTTGTTTTCTTGATTGCATTCATTTCTTATTCCATCTCTTATTTTGATGCTACATTTCAATGACACCCTCATTTTCACAAACTCGGGCAACCTTTAAATCCCAACACTATCTGCTGATAGAATCCTTTGTCTCTAATCAATTCTCTCTTAGGTTATCATTTCGATTCAGCAGAAGGCTATATGATTTTCCTTCTCATATTATCAATTCACTTTCTGTTAGGCTTCCAGGCTTGTAGTACCTTCATCTTGAATGTAATAAGTCCTTATCCATGAAATATTTGTCTCCTTCATATTAACCAATCATCTTAGATTAATTTTATCATCGGGAATTTAACTAAAGCCAACTTCTTACAAATGCATGCAATTCATGTTCTTTCTTTCTATATTATCACTAATCCATCTTAACACCTTAATTAAGTTATATGCTCATTTCCTTGAATTTGTTTCTTGAATAACACCCTTTACCGTGACCTCGTGAAGCATAACCCAACTCATTGCCACCTAATAAAAGTTATTTTTAAAACATAGTAACTTTTCACTTGCACCAAAAAAAAAAAAAAAAATTACTTATTAAGTATTCAGTGATTGGATTCTCTATAAGCACTTTTCAACTTCATCCATCTTGCTCTAATTTAGTAGCAGCATCTTCTACTTCTCTTTTTCCATGTATAGTCATACCAAGAGCGCCTTCAATAGCTACCATTTATTAAATTTCTACACCAAGTTATAGTAAAGTTGCATCCTTTATAATCTATATCATACTCAAAATCTTGTAGCATTTCAATTTTAAGGCATCTTTTCATAGATCTAACTCCAAAAGATATCCTACTTCAGTTTTATTTACTAAAACAATAACCAACAAACAACATACACCATATATCTCTTCTTATATATCTATATTATGTTCATCCACGACTAAAGTAAGATCTAGAGCCCCGATGCTGACCCTTGATGTTAGACTATTTCGATTGGCAATTGTCTCACCTCTAATCATTCTCACAACTTCCTCATTTCAAATATGCTCATATTTATCATTGTCTTTCCCAACATTCTATAGCATAAAGGTTCACTTGCTTATACCTATGATCCGATCCGATCTTTTTCTTCTCCTTCTTTCCTATTTGTCAAAAATGTGGGCTAACACAATAAACTTCCTACACATAATCAGTGCAACTCCCTATTGCCGCGCCCCAACCTCTGACCCTCTACTAGGACTCTGAATCCCTGCTTCTTTCTCCCAAGGAAAAAAAGGAGGTAGCACATGAGCAAGACAGCTGATGATAAATCTTGATTCAATCTGCTCAGTTTGCAATGGCCACTCAGCACTTCTAATTTCATTTCTATCTTTAACCGTTCCATTCTATTTTGTGAACAACATTGTTTTCAATCCCTCCTTTCCTAATTAACCAAAGATAGCAACCTTGTGCATAATTTATTTGAAATAGCACAAATAAACAATATCAGGGTTTGTCCATATATGATTCAAGGATGATTAATGCAGATCAATATTTTATTATTATTTTTTATTTTTTTCCTTTTTGCCTTTTCACTTAAAGTAGCATGCTGCTCCTAAGCAATGTCAATGTCTTCAATACTCTGAAGTTCTGGAACAAAAGCCTCCCGTAGGCACTAATAGTCTAATGTGCTGAGATCATAGGTAGGTGGATGCATGGGATAAGTTGATAACAGTTTCAAAGGCAATCTTACCGATCATGTTCCAAAATTATTGATGGGGAATTAAGAATCCTCTTATTGTATGAAACAATGTCAGTTTGTATTTGGATTCAAGAGTACCATGGATGCCATTGATTTATTACTCTCTTCTCTAAACTTGACTTGTTAAGCATAATCAGTTTGTAATTTGCAAGTTGTGTATGCATGTTTTTATATATATATACACATTTTAGAAATTGAATAACTAGTGTGTATAGCTTTCCATGGTTAAGATAAACTGTGAATGCAGAGGACATAAATTCATGGAAGGTGTAAATTGTTTTCTGATAAATCATAAATATATATAAATATATCTTAACTATGGAAAGCTATACACACTAGTTATTCAAATTCTAAAATGTGCTCTCACTTCAACAGTAGGCAAGAATGATATACATCGCAATTAGCATCGAGATGATCATAACAGATGAGGGTTTTTCTTGATCTTTATTCTTGCTTTAGACTAATCGGCTTTATTGAAGACGTGGGTGGTAAAGGGCTTCTCTGATTAAAAAAAATCATTTTTCTAAATTGTTAGGTTTCTGTGTATCTGTATGTGTAGTTTCCTGAGGCTCTGGCCTCTTGTTTGTTTCCTTTGCTTGGCTTAATAATTGATGTTCAAACTGAGCTATAAGCTCAATTGGTACCTCGTCCTCTCACGTGGGAGGTTGAGGGTTCAAGTTCCCACTGGTGTATGTGTATCTTACCTACCAAAAAAACGAGGGAGAGTAGATGATACAATCAATCCCTTTCTTACAGGCTCAAACTAATGTTCAGAAACACTATAAATGGTTTTTATCGAGTCATCTTTCTGTCGGTTGAAGATCATTCAGTGAATATCATATTTTGGTATCTCCGATGTTTTATTAGTAAAAGTTTAATTGCAAAAGCACCTAGTGTAAAGCTTTTTGTAAGTTCTCATTAGTTGATTTGTGTACTTTTTTGTTAACAAATGTTTTAAATCATTGCTTAGAAGTTTCAATCAATGATGTTGGGCATAACCAAAGTGTAAAGTTTTTTGTAAGTTCTCTTTATTAGTTGATCTGTGTACTTTTTTTGTTAACAAATATTTTAAATGGTTGCTTGGAAGTTTGAATCAACTATGTGGGGCATGTATTTAGTTATAATCCCCAGTTTGATCAACATTATCATGCAATGTACCCTCCTTTTAAGCATGATTACATTTTAATACATTCGAAACTCTTATACAATAGTTTAATCATCTTCCTCCTTTTATGTTTGTGACAGGTGACCACCATGACTCTGATGGCAGACACAAACAACTATGGCAGGTATGTGCTTCTCTTCCATCAAAATAATGCAGCATAGACAAACATAAACAAGTATATTTACGATATTGTAGCTTGCACTTTCACTTTCAAATCTTATCTAGAATTGTATTAACTAGACACAAAAATAAGTGACCGATTCTTAAAAAATGCATAATAAACATTTATACAAGCATGTATTTAGATGTGATATCGTATACTAGTTTACATATGGGTTGATATATAAGCAAGTATGTATTTGAGTATGTGCAGAAAACACGTTTATATATGCACTTATATATTCATATATATAATTTTGTATATATGTATCTTTGTGTGTATAGTTGTATATAAGTATTATGTTCTTGTATGGGTGTGTGTGTCTCTGAGTGTATGAATATACACGACTATCATTTGAGCATATGTTTTTTCATGTAAGTTCAGAAAATGACTCTTATGAAAAGAAAAAAAAAGATAAAAAATAAAAACCTGTATGTCATTTTCCGGTTTTCTAAACTATTTTTGTTTCCCCAAAAGATTGTGCAGAACATTCTACAATTACAAAACAACGGGAAGTGTTTTCAATATTGAAAATATTTTCTGAAAAATATTTTACGTCAAAACAAAAGCAGCCTAAAACACAAATAATTTGCTCTTATTCAAGCTTAATCAAACTCGATAAGGTTTAATCAGACTCAATAATAACATTTCTCTTATCAGTTATAGTCGGCTAAATAAATTTAAAGTCATCTTCATGTTAAATGATCTGTCTAGCATGCCAAATTTTACTGTAAATTACACCTTTTCAGTTCCCATTTAGCAACACCTTCAGCATGAATCACTCCTTTCCTAATTATCTTTACTAATTATATCCCACATGAATCTATATACATATTATGGATAATTTAATTTAGCATGATTTTTTGAACTTACTAAACAACCCTTTCTCCCAGCACATATCAGGATTCTAGATGCTTAGGATAATTTAATTTAGCATGTGTTGAGGTTTTTTTTTTTTTTTTTTTTAATGTAATTTATCTTATGATGATCTGATTCGTTAATTTTTGTTGCAGAGTTTTAATTTTTATTTTTTTGGATGAAGAATCAGATGTATCTTACAGTGAGACCTAACTCATGAATGAGCTGGAATAGTTACGAGCACAACATTGATCTTGCACAAAATCCAGTACATGATATGGTGCGATTTGCGACAACCCGGTCATCACTCACAGTGAATATAATTTTTTGGAGATGAGACATATCCGAGGCTCTCTGTCTACCAGAACTTCCAGCAATTTCACCCTACACTCCTAAACTGTGATTGAGGATATCCGATGATGAATATGAAAGTAACATGGTACAGCTGCAATAGAAAGTGTGGAGAAAAAAGGGTTAAGTGCAAAAAAAACTCCCATCTACTGTCGATAGTGTGCAAAAAGGTCCATGTGGTATAAAACCTCCTTATACTATCAATTTGGTGCAAATAGGTCCTTGTGTGGTATAAAATGGCGATAATACCCTCACTTCAGTTGAATAATTTAATAACTATAAATATAGGCCATGTAAAATGACCTTTTTGTCCAATTTTTGTAAAATAAAATAAACCTCAATTTGTATAAAATTCAGATAAGTCAATTTTTTTTTTTAAAAAAAAATTAACACCAAAGTACATGAAACTATCATCTCTTTGATTATCTCTCTCCAGCTAGCTTTGCATCACTATCCTCTCTTTGATTCCCATCATTATTGATACCAGTTTGCATGAAACTCTTTCTTTTCTTTTCTTTTTCTTTTTCTCTATAAACACCACCCAATTGTTCATCATTTATACACCGGTTATTTTATCTTTCTTTCACATTGACCTAAATCAATTAAAAACACTGATTAGAAATTGAGCTCTATTTTTTTAAACTTTTTTTTTTTTTTCCCCTTTTTTGGTACTGGCATCCCAAATATACACACACTTTTGGACAACCGCCGCCGCCATTTTCTAACCAGAGAGAGAGAGAGAGAGAGAGAGAGAGAGAGGGGGGGGTAGGGGGCTATATGCACATATGGGTGAGGGGTAAAATGGGAATTAAAAGGGTAAAATAGGGTTTGAATAGTTAATTTTTGTTAAAAAGTGATCGGAGGGGCTTATTTGCACATTTTTTGAATTTTATGAACTAACATGCACATTTTTAAAAAGTAGGGACTAATTCTGCACAAACCCTATATATCAGGAGGGTGGTTTATTGCACTTAACCCGGAGAAAAAAAGGAGAGTAAAAGAAAGAGAGAGAGAGAGAGGGAGAGAGGGAGGAGAAGATATTCAGTGCACTAGACATGTTGTATCATTGGTATGCTTAGCCAATAAAAAATACAACATTTTATGAAATTGGTCTCACTTATTTTAAAAATTGTTTTTAACTAACCATTATATTGATGCTCATTGGTTGGGCATACTAATGACCTGGTATGTTCGATGCACCCAATATTTACTTGAAAAAGATAAAGGGAGAGATTTTTAAAAAATACATAAATTTTTGTGATATCGCCCTTTCAACTTCTACGGTATTATGAACACAACCTCACATGGATAAAATGGGCATGCATGATGTTCATATTTTTTAAATGAAAGATTGAGGATACAAGTATCCATTGGAATATATTAATATAATAGGTGTGTATTCTTGCTTTAAATATATAAATATATATATATATATATAATAAAAAAAAAAATGAGACTTTTTTTTGGTAATTCATGTTGATAAAGAGGAAGCTAAATTGAGAATTATATTAAGCAGTTTGCAAACACATGTTGTAGAAAAAGCTAAAATATTATTAATAAATGAATTTAAAATGTTGTCGTATATTTTCTCGAAGGCAATGTTTCAAGTGACAGAAGGAAAATGATTTTTAAGTTGAATTTCAAAACTTATTTGTATAGGTCAAGAAGTTCTATCTTTGATATAGTGGATATGAATCACATTAGAATTTATATGGATAAAAAAATTAATTGGTTAGAGTGGTCGGCTAGATAAATAGGTCTAAATATCATCATCCTAAAGAGAAATTCTAAAAATATAAACTGTAAAAACAATTCACTAAACTAAGATAATTATCAAATTTTTTAAAAATCTGAATCTGTTATTTCAACCAAAATTAGGGAATGGTGAGGTTTGAGTCCTCCCATGGACATATGGATAGGTGATTTCTCTTGCCAATGAAAATAAATAAATAAATAAATATATTGCAAATGAAAAAAATCAACAATTTATCATGCATCACATATTGCTCTATTGCCATTGCGCTCGTTAAATTTAAAAACCAATCGGGCTCTCTGAAAGCCCTAGTCTTGTTATTATTCCAAGGCCCAACCCAACAAGGTGTAATGGACTAATTTGGGTCAATCGGGATCGTATTGAACCCGCCCAACGGTGCATCCATCGTCAGCCTAGTTGCCAACACCGAACTGTTCAGCATTTATGTTGGGTCACTGACCTTACCTAGGGTTTATCATTTGCAGTTTAACTCCTCCCCCTCCCTCTCTACGGACACACAAATCAACCATGACGAAGTTGAGGAAGCTCAATCGTCCCACCGGTCATCGGATGGCTATGCTAAGGTTTAAAGTCACCCATTTCTAAACATAGGGTTTGAAGCTTACTGTTCTGTACCTATGTGTGTATTTGCATCTTAAATTATGGGTTTTCCGATGTTTGCTTGTATATGCAGAACAATGGTGTCGCAGTTGGTGAAGCACGAGCGCATCGAAACCACTGTTGCTAAGGTAATTCATTCAATTTTAGCCTATTATTTCTGGGTTTTTCTTAGATCATGTAGCTCGTATTAATGATTTTGATTTATACTTAAAAATGTATTGATATTAGTCATAGTTTCAGCTTACTGGATTTATTTTTGCCCAAAAAGAGCGAAAAAGTTTTTTTTTTTTATAAACAAAATTGTGTTTGGTGCCTATTCATAATATTTTGAATTGTGTCAAATTCCATTTAGTATATTCTGAATTAGGATTTTCTATATATTTATGTATGTATTGTTCCATGTATTATCATCCCCTGGTTGATATTGAGATGATATAGCTTTCTTTTCAAAGCTTCCGCGTGAACTTTGGATCTGGCTCGATGCGTGATTGAAGCAATGTGTATTTTCTGTTACTTTTTATGAATTTGTAGGCAAAAGAAGTTCGGCGGCTTGCTGATAACATGGTACAGCTTGGAAAAGAGGTGTGTATAAACTTGATGCCATTTGCAAAGGGTGTATATTTATACCAGGCCAATTTTTCTTTCTTCTTGGAATACCCAATTCCTAAGGCATTGGGCTAAAATCTGATGATCTTATCCTTATTAATTTTGAAAAGAAAATTTCCTCAATTTTTTGGAAAAATACTTACTCATAGAAAGACCATTACCCAGTCCCGGCTTTATGGGACTCGGAGGTTAGAGTGGGTATGAATTAACGCAATCACTAGGTATGCAGAAAGTTACAATCTGAACCTATGAAGAAATGTTGGAACAGATGGGGGGGACTATGTACTAGGATGCATTTAGAATCTTAAATTAAGAAGTACATATCTAATTGGTAATATAATAACAGAAGTATTGTCAAAATGTAGACATAAATAAAGTACTATGAGACAACTAATTACACTCAATGCTACTTTTATATACTATTTATGTCTTTGTTAGTGGAAGAAACAATCTTTTTTCTCATCTTAGGCACAAAAAAAACTGAAATACTGGAGCAGAATTGTATATTTCTTGAGGTGTGAACTTTGTAAAGAAAAGCTCCAAATCAATTGAAGAAGAAACAATGCTGTATCATTGACCTGATTTTTTTCTTTTCTTTTAATTTTTCAAAGCTCTGAAAGTAAGTTGCTTAATGCATCTGAAATGTGTTTTTTACCCTTTGTAAGAATTTATTTATTTATTTTTTTTTTTTAAGTAATGTAAGAATATGCCGTTTATAGGTTAGAATTAGGGATATGAAATAAACCAAGCTACATGACCTTGAGTTGCTATTGGACTGGTTAGAGGCTCTCTTGAGATCGCTTATGAGATAAATGAGCCAAGTTTATCGTATTTTGAAGCTCATTAGTTTTATTCTGTTTTCCTTGTGTTTGGCTCGATGAGCTAATGAGTGTCCCGCGACTAATAAAAGCAATATACTTTAGCAGAGATCAAAATAGACTGGATGGATGCTCTTTCATGTAATAAGATCTTCATTTTGGAGCTTGTTAGTTTTGTAATCCAAACTTGAACAAGCTACTTGGCGTACGTCATTTACTGCACTGATGTGTTTTTTTTTTTTTTTTCCCCTTAGTTTTTGTTTTTGTTTTTGGTGACTAGAGGGATGTCCCCATTCTTTGGGTAGGACTAATCCCTTTCAGACAGTCAGACCCCAATACCACGTGTCAATTTCAATTCAGGAAGAATCCCGTGAGGCTGGCCTCTAGGGAAGGGAATAGAGCTCAAGACCTCTAGCATATAAGTGGAGTTCTTAACCAACTCTTCCACTCCCTTCGGTTAGCACTGAGTTGATCATTTATGAGTGATTGGGGAAGACTTTTGTTAAAAATTATTGCTGTCTAATACAACTTTTAAATGATGATTTTATTGATTTTTGAATGCAACGAAATGGTTGTATGCTTAGACCCAAATTCGTATTAAACTACAGGGTGAATTACCCAACCTCTCCTGAGGTTTGGACTTATTACCAGTCGATGAAAGTTTTGAAAAAATTTGAGTCAACCTCCCCTAAGGTTTGATGAAAGTATCTGTCAACCCCACTCTGTTAAAGGACTGTTAGTGTTGCTAAAGATTTTTATTTAAATACCAAAAATGCCCTTCAATAATTTGTGTGTAATTTGTTTGTTTATTTTATCCCACTAATTATATAATTAATATACATATTAGATTATTTATGTTTATTACAGACTCTATGTACGCGTATGTGACACAGTCACACCACCACCATCCTCTCTTCTTACTGTTCCTCTCTTCTCCACCACCTCCACCTACCATTGTCACCACCAATTCATCCCGCGTCGCACTCATCCAACATCTCCACTTGTCCCTCTTGATTGTGAGGATATGCTTATTCTTAGAGGCCATGTAAACAAAGCATCGACAAGCGAAGTCTTGGAGGAGATGCAAGAAGCTTTGGGACCCAAAATCTTTTTAATGTCCTCTCAATTGTAGAGCTTATAGTCGAAGCCAAGAGGGACCTTGAAGGTCTTGGAGGGGTCCTGTTCCACCACTTTGTGTCTCTGTAACGTCAAATTTTGTGAACCAATTTGGTTGAGTTTGGGAGTTTCGGCATTTGGTGAGCAGCGGTATGGTGTGGTTAAGGAAGGGGAGGAATTGGAGGGTGGATCGATTGTCTGGTGAGGGATCGGAGGGTTGATCGATGGTCTTGGTTGATGGGATTGGAGGGTTTCTTGTGTTTGGGGCGATAATTTGGTGAAGGGATGGACATAATTGGAGAAGAAATGGTAGATGTTGCTGAGATTTGGAAATCCATTAATGTTGCCTGTGTGATTGATGGTGTGTGTGAGAGAGAGAGAAAGTGAAGTAGAGTGTGTATGAGAAAGAAAGAGATTGCGTTTGGAGGAAGAGAGAGAGGTGGCTAGTAGTGATGATGGTGGAATGGTGGTTGCAGCGGTGGATTATTGTGGACTGTGGAGTATGGCAGTGGGTTATATACCTTTATATGTTTTTATATTATTACTATTCATATTAATTTTTATTTAATTTTAGTAATTTTTTGCGCACGTCAGCATTGAGGTACTTAAAATATAAATTACTAAGTGTGGGTGAGGGTACTTTTGTACTTGTTATAATAAATTTTGACGGTGTTAAGTGGACTAACTCTGATAAGGGGGTGTCAGAGTAATAATTAAAAAAGTTTCATCTACTGGTGATAAGTCCAAACCTCAAGGGAGGTCTGGGTAATTCACCCTAAACTATTTGATAAAACCTTTCAAAATTCGCTGACTGTTATTTCTTAAATAAGCATTACTTTCCTGGATTGCACAAATATATCGAAATTTTATGTTCACTTAATTGTTTCTCATATCCAAAAAATACCTTTCCAAAACTATTCCAGGGTACTCTTTGTGCTGCAAGGCGTGCTGCTGCCTTTGTGCGAGGGGATGATGTCATTCACAAGTTATTTACAGAACTGGCTTATCGATACAAGTAAATCTCAATTTTATTTATTTATTTATTTATTATTATTATTATTATTATTATTTTTGTTGTTGTTGTTGTTGGTAGTGTTGTAATCTTTATGGATATTTGTGTGTGACAGAGATAGAACAGGTGGTTATACAAGACTGCTCCGAACTCGAATTCGGGTTGGTGATGCTGCACCAATGGCCTATATTGAGTATGATTCTTATTCATTTTATATTGCAATCATTTGAACTCATAAACTTGGCTTCCACAGAAATCTGTTTTGTTATTGCACAATCTGATGGGTTCCTTTATACCCTCTTCTGCTCAACAAATGTGGAACTGGTTAGCTATGGTGCTTCAATGGAACAATGGATTTATAAGGACCATTCTAAATGTGTAAAAAAAACTCTCTAGAATGCTTTTCTCTATTTACATTTGGAGGATCTGGTGGAATAGAAACCAGATTCTTCACTCTGAATCAGGACAAAGTGCTGTTCAGTTAGCTAAGAGTGCCCTGTTATGCTTGTCATTTCTGGGTAATCTTTGGGACTCGGGATGGTCTGGTTTCTTCCTGGTCTAGTGGTTTGTTTTCTTTGATGCCTGGGTGTCTTATGAGGGCTGGTATGTGGGTTTTGGAAATGTTTCTTCTTCAGTTGAGTTTTGGTGTTTTATTTGAGGGTGATTTCTCTTGGAAGAGGCATTTGATCTGAAAAATGAAAGCATTTGATAGAGGCATTTGAGTTTTGTTGTTTTCCTGGATAATCAAAAGCTTCGTTTTTATTACCCGAGGTTATCAACTGGATCATCTCGCATGATTTAATTATGTGTTTTCACTTGTAACAGGTTTATAGATAGAGAGAATGAGCTTAGACAGTCAAAACCACCAACACCTCAACCACCACAGAGAGCACCTTTGGACCCCTGGACAAAATCCCAGCTTAGCAGGCAGTTTGCGCCGCCTAAAGAGGAAAAAAGCTCCGATCCTGAGAATTAGAATAAGTGGCTACTAAATTATGGTTTGAATGTTTTGTTTTCATTGTCTTCTGTCCTGCAATATTTGTCCAGTTTGTCAAAGGTTGAAGCACTCAAATCCTAAATCAAGTATTACAGGAACTGTGAAGCAGAAAAAACATTGAAGGACAAAAATAATATTGGTGCAACAATTTTTGTTATTGCTACTTAAAGTTTTCTGTTGCCATTTAATCTCCTTCTGATTTGATTTTAGGATTTGCAGCTTAATAATTCAGATCTTGTAGGGTCATATTCATCATATTGTCGGAGTGATACAAAACCAAAATTACCTTCTACTTGATTCTTAAGAACATTTGAGTGAAGAAATAAAGAGAATAGAAACACAAGTTTTATGCGTGGTCAACAGTCACGAATATATTAGACTATTCATGTACTCCCTCCGTTTCATATTAGTTGTTCATTTTGAAAATTTTGACTCACTATCACATTTTATTTTTACATTATTTGATGTCATCCAGGTGATGAAAATAATTTGACAAAAAAAGCAAAAAAAAAAAAAACGGCTAGAGAACTTTCTGATGGCAACACCAATATAACTTAATAGTTTAGTGTAGGATGTTGTTCTATAACTTTCTAAAACTATTTTTGCCACCTAGTGGCCGCTTGCATAATTTTACAGGGACAAGGCGCCCTTGGTTTGCAAAAATAAAAAATACCATTTGTTGAAATGGGTTACCGTGAAAATATACTAAATACAGAATTATTTTACCAATATTTTTTTTTATTATTGCAATTATATTTTAAACAAATCATTATAACAAATCAGTACAAATAGATAAATAGATGCATACCTACTTAAAATTGAAATTATATTACACCAATACCAATAATACCAACATCATTCTTGAAATTAGACTATCATAAAATACTTAAAATTCGGAACATCCTCTATTAGAATGGAAAAACTTTTATAACGTTAGAAATTACATAATTACACCACTTGAATCCAATGAAATTATCTCCAAGATTTATTAATTTGTCTAACGGGGCTGGGAAGAGAACATATAACATTGATTGCGGAAGAATATTAACTATACATATATATACACAACACTACCATTCACATTTGGACACACTTTGTGCTTGTGGAGCAAATGAGTCATCCCTCTATTTATAGCTAGTCATTCAATTCACCTAACGATGCTGAAATCTTCCACCAAAATGACCGATATTTAGGATATACACATCTCTTCAAGATTCAAGAATCCTTCAATACTTCATACAATTTCTTACAAGTTACAAGTTACACCCTTGTAGAAAATTTTAGAAACTACTCTGAAACATGCTATGTAGTATTCGATAAAAGGTCTTTTTAGAAACTATTCTTAAACATGCCATGTAATATTCGATAAAAGGTGTTGATTGTCATTTGCACCGCCAAATCAATAATACTTTGTCACCAATTAATTATGTCGTATATTTTATCATAATAATAAATATATCATTGTTAGTAATCGTATAATTACGTGACAATATTTAATTAATAATACTATATTATGTGTATATTAAAAATAAATAAAAATTACCAAGTGGAATTAAACTTATAATGAGTTAAGAGGCAATCTGGTAATCACTTACCAACAAATCTAAAATATAGTAATTTTCGAAAGAAAAAAAAAAAAAAAAAAAAAAAAATCGAAAATATAGTGCAGCTGTACTTCGGGTAACTTTATATATATATTATCGATGAATCAAAAACAAGAAAAAATCAATAAAAATCCTTAGCCCATCTAAAATAACTATCAAATATTAAGTTATATTACATTGAATGAATTAGTTATCTCTTACTATGTGTATTTTCGGTTTGAATCTCCAACTTTAATTTTGGAAGACCTTCAATTTGAATCAATAACAAACCCCTTTGGGCCTGTTGGTTTGGCCCGTTTCTTTGTGCTTGTTTCTCTTTTGTTTAGTTTCTCTTTTCTCTTATATTAATTAAAATTATTAGAATAACATCTTTGAAAATCGTCAGATTTATTTGACCAAAACTCATGTAACTAAATTGGTGATATTATGTATTTTAGTACTGTAGGAGAAGAACTAAAGTAAATTTTCGAATTTTCACAAAACAAATTTTCGTTACTAAATACTCTTAACAACAAAACGATTGTTTTAATATTAAAAAAAAAACATAACGCCTATCGCATGTCAAACGAACCTAAATATTTGTTGATATGGTTTATATTTTGGTCCAAGAATTAGACAGAATACTTGAACCGAAAACATTTAATTGGTCATTAATAATATTACATTTAGAAATTCTGCCAAACTACAACTCGTCTCTAAAATCATTTTTCTTAATTTATATTCTGAGACAAAGTTTCAGTTCTTAGAATAGTTTCAAAATGATCATGGGATTAAATCTCTCTCTTTTACGTTAAAGATCTTCTCAGGGTGAGCAGCCGGCATCAAATGGTCAAAATGAGATAGACAACCATGCCATGAGTCAACTGTTCCTTGTTTGGTTGTGACAGATAATATATAACCCCAATTGCCTAACCAAAAATCAAGCCTAGTGCCTAGCTTCTTTTGATTGCTTTGCTTTCAATACAATATTGTACATACTATCGATCTCACATCTCCATATATTCAAATACCACTTTGGGTACGTAGCTTAGATTGTATGAAAAGATTATACTTCTCTGTATATGCATGTATGTGTGTGTATATATATATATATATATATATAAATGCATATATAAGGTGGAATGCAGTAACAGATAGATACGTAGCGATAGGTGCAAGGTATACTTCAAAAAAAAAGATGTCCCAACCTTTTGTCTCTGAAAAAAGCATCTAGTTTTCATGTTGACACGTACGTGTGATCGATGATGCTTCAGGTTTGACTACTAGATCTGCTAACTGGTGGTTGATACTTGAAGCTTAATTAAAAGTTAATATATACTACTTGTTATTGTCATCATTACTATAATTATGCTCTCTTTTAGCTTTCATAACTTTCTATTAGGAAAATTTTTCCTTTAACTTTTTGAAATATATCTCAAAACTTGGATGCATATAGAGAAGGGATAAGGAAAAAAGAAACAAAATGTTACTTGCTTGTGAAGTAGTGATGATACAAATCAATCTATCATGGATATATATATATATATACATATGTTTTTGAAAAAAAGCTATATTGGGACATGCATTTTCACCCTTACTTTCTTCTTCTTTTTTTAATAAATTAAGAAAATTTGGTCATGCCCGATAAAAACTTTTTATATTCAATAAAATAAAAATTATGCCAAATATTTATTCAGAATTGTAATTTAGTAATATCTACTCTCACACTAGAAGCTTTGAGGACTCAAATCAAAATGAGTGTGTATGCTATTTGTTAAAATAAAAGAAACAAAAAGGTTCATGTGTCACACTTGCATAATATTTTTGTCTAATATTGGTTTATATGATTTTCTTATTTTTGATCTCAAAATTCAATGGCATAAAAAGAATTAATGGTGGTCTCTCTAAATGGTTATATCAAAGTTTTGGTACGCATGAAAAACAGGGGGGTACATATTGAAATTGATATTTTCTCTTAACAAAAGAATAATCTATGTTGTTTTTGAGTCCCATATATTTGTAAATAATCCCCAGCTAATGTACGTTTGTTGAGATAGTTTGTGAAAGGACCATTAAACCTTTATCATAATCAAAAAATATATATTGCTTATACAATAAGAAAATTAGATACATAAAAGAATGAAAAACACACATAAAACAAGAGGATCTTCCTTGGTGCACGTGATTATGTGAATATTCATATGAATATGAGTAGTTGTTTGGACCATTCTTTTTCTCTTACTCTCTTATTATTTTATTTTATATATGTTTATATAATATATATATATATAGAGAGAGAGAGAGAGTTAATTAGGTTTTGACTTGATAATTGAGTAGGCATTACTACAACAACATGATAATGTGGACCACTTAACTAGAGAACAAGAAGGACCAAGGAAAATGGAAGGTTTCTTAATTAAGTGGTAAGATGAAATTAATTACTAGAATCATTGTTGTTTTATTAGAGATGAGCTTCTATTTTTAGGGTTTTTTTTTGTAGCATATATATCACCAACAAAAAGAGATTGGCTTCCCCCTAGCTATTGGGTAAGTAAGATGGGACTTATAATCCACATTCCCACTTTTCTTTTTCTTCAACCATCTCGACCCATTATTATCATTAACCTAATCTTGCAACTACTTTCCAAATAACAACACTTTTTTTCAACTTTTGTTTTTTTTTTTTTCGGTTATATATAAAGACAAAAGCAAAAGGATATATATATATATATATATATATATATATATATATATATATATATATATCAAGTTGAAACAGCATGGTATCGGTCGCGACGGTATTGCTCCAAGGTCACATTGTAATGGATTCCGACAAATATCAGTATAAACTGGCTGAATCGACCAGTTCATAATGGAAGTGTATAATAATATCGGATCTTTGAAAAAAGATTATGATCCGACCAATATGTTGCGTATAAGCTGATACAGCGAACCATGAATAATAGTAAAATTTCATTAGATAGCTTAGAACATATTTTATTTTCTAGTAACAGATATCTAATTGTTATGATTTAATTCGTAATAAATTATTTTCATACGAGTTAAAGGTGAATAATTCTATACAATGGTTGTACTTTGTATGCATGGTGATTCTCGAATTATTTAATCATACTCTCTTAGTATTATTGATTTTAAATAAAATCCTCTTTTCCATAAAAAGGAATAAAGTTATATTATATATATATATAAAAGATAAATTATATATATAATTTATCTTTTCTTAAAAGCCTAATCAATATAGGCTTTTGAGTACATGGTACTGTACTTTAACTTAATTTTCATAGGCTTTTCAACCAATGTCCTAGAGCTAATCAAACTATAAGTCGTTAGGATTTTGCTTTTTATAACACTCCATTGATAAATCTGTTAATAAACTTATAAATCAGTACCTAGTGATTATCGGAATAGGAAAAAAAAAAAACCAAGTGATTTGTCGACAAGTTTAAATCAAATTAACAATTCTTTAACAGAATCAATGAAACAAATGAATGATTGATAGTTACAAATGCCCAGTGGAAATATTTAGACCCTATCACACTCCTACAAAATAAATTAAATTTAACTATAGTATAAATCACATCACATTTAAATATCAAGGTATGTTAACATGAAAACGGTGTGGTACAGTGGTACTAATGTTCTTGTTAACTTGTTCAATCACTATACCATTGAAATGGAGCGAAAAGGATGAGGCATTCTCGTGCATACTCGCTTTTATAGATGTTCATACAAGTTTTTATAAGAAAAATCATCCAAAAAATTTACATCCCTAAAAAAGTTTTATATTATAGTTTTTTATTTTATTATTACCTTACTTTCAAAACATTTATATTGACTCCATGCGATTGATGGGTAATTTTTTTTTTTTTTTTTTAAAAAATCCTTAGAGTACGTATGTCGTCCCCATAATACATATACCATTCAAGTTAAAAATGCGACTCGGAAGCGATACCTCGAACATTTACCTCCCGTATTTCCTGCCAACGCCACTATATGTCTGAATGTTGATGAGTAATTGACATTATTGGTTTCATGTAAACTTCATTTTGTACCATACTATTATATTTTTAAAATATATTATTGGTATTATGAAATTGAAGAGAAATTTGTCTTTGGTATTATGTCTCCATATGTGAATTTCATCTTTTGAAATTTAACTAATTTTTTTTCTAATTTTAAATCGGCTCCGATTCAGAACTTCTAAACTTTACCTTTGTAACGATATTGAAAGTATCGCAAACTTAAATGGTACTTTTTAAAGAAAAACTAATATCAACCATGGTGATCCATTTCAGTGAATTGAATAAAGTTTATATATATATATATATACACACACACAATTTCATGCCGTCCAAACAAGTTTTCAGATCCTACCACTTGAAAGGCACACTAAGTAAACATGGGTGAACAAATGCCAATAATAAATGTTGTGAGAAAAAGGATAAAAAAAGGTTGGTGACACAGACAAACTCAAAGTCGAAATTAAATATTAAATTGATTCATCAAAATAGGAAAGAAAATAACTGCTTATACAGTGAAAAGATAATAAAACAAAGAGAATTCAAACTGACGTTACTTTCTCTATATTGTCTACCCTTCCATGCTCAGCTTCTCTCTATCCGCCTTCTTCTCCACCATTAACACAAAGCTCCAAAAATTTCTGCAACAAAGCCCTCTCTCTCTCTGCATTCAAGGTTGGTTGATTTACTCATACAAATATGATTCAAAATTTTATATGCAGTTCACGTATGTTGATTCTTTGTAGCCATTTATAATATATATATATATATGTTTCTATCACTACCTTGATTTCTTCTTTCATCTCAGAAATATTGGTTCAAACATTTTATTCAAAGTGATTTTTTTTCTAATTAATCTTGTAAGGGATGTTTTTGTTTTAGTTATTGCGAAGTTATATTTATTGCCGTTATAGTTAGTATATATTTGTTTTTGTTATTAAATTGCTCATATGTATTTTCCCATTGTTGGAAGAACTTATATATATATATATATATATATATATATATATTACACACGCACTGGACATATTGTATGATATGGTTTGTTTTGTGATTTGTGATGTTATGTTTTGTAGATCATATGTTCCCTTCGCTCAGTCCCATGGAGGCTAGACAAAGATCATCTGTGTCAATGTGAGTTTCTCTGATTTTTTTTCTACCATTATTTCCATTAAAATCTACCAACTGGTTATATTATATGCCAAAATTCTCATAATAGCAGTAAAAGTTTTTTAGTTTTAGACCATTTATTGTTTTTTTTTTTTTTTTTTTCTTGTTTTGTCTGATCTTTGTTTCACCTACTAATACACACATTCTTGAATCAGTGAAGAGATGAACAAAAGAAGATTACCAAGAAGTAAAGTTAAAGATATTGAGAAGCCCTTCCACATCCCCATTCAAGACAAGAGTGTGAAATGCAAGTTTCATCCACTCAAACTTGTCCTGCTCATCATTATATTCGCTACTTTTGTGACATTTCTACAAACTCCATGGATTTGTCACCACGACCATATAGCGCACTCTGTTTCTAGGTAACTTTGCTTCCTCTTTTGCTATGTGTTACTACTCATATTCATATCACTTCACTTCCCAATATATATATATATATTATATATATATTAGTTGTTCCTCTCTTAGGTTTGTGCACCAGACATGTATTATAAAATGGAATGCTGTAGATAAAATGTCTCAATGGGATGCAGTGATAATTGTTGGTTTGTGAGGTCTCACATCAATTCGTCTCATTTACCTACCTCTCTGGTCTTCTGATATCATTTAACAAACTGTATCTTCTATTGTATTACTTTCACACGCTTACGAATCATTCGATGTTCATTTGCTTTTCTAGATTTTTTTTTTTTTTTTTTTTTTTGAATCTTACAATGTCTTGAATGGAGCTCTGGAGCAATGGGGGAGTCATTTATTGACTAAGGAACTCGTTTTCAGAATTATAGAATATATTTTCTGTTTTATTCATTTTAGCAACACATACGAGGCAAATGTGATCAAACAAAAAATGTTTCATGAAAAAAAAGATTAGCCCCTATTTAATGCATAGCTATTTAATGCAGGCCACATTTTGTGAACAGGTTGATATGGGGAGCAACTGATCTGCGATATATACCACATTTGGACATTGATTGGGATGAAATCTCCAAAGTCATTGATAAAATAGAGAACAAGAATAAAATTCATGGAATTGGTCTTCTGAACTTCAATAAGATCGAAAACAATCACTGGAAACAAGTTCTCCCTATTGCCAATCACACTGTTCTGCACCTGGACTACGCCGAACAAAATGTGACATGGGATTCCTTGTACCCGGAATGGATTGATGAAGAACAAGAAGAAGATGTCCCCATTTGCCCATCTCTGCCAAAGCTTGATGGGGCAAGAAAACGGCTTGATCTCATTGCTGTGAAACTTCCTTGTCGAAATGAGGGGAACTGGTCTAGAGACGTTGCTCGGTTGCACTTGCAGCTTGCAGCTGCTGAGTTAGCAGCCTCTGCCAAAGGCTCTCACCCTGTGCATTTGCTATTCGTTACCAAGTGCTTCCCAATACCGAACCTCTTTACTTGCAAGGAGCTTGTTAAACGTGAAGGCAACGCATGGTTATACGAACCAAACTTGAATGTGTTGAGAGAAAAACTCCAGCTCCCAGTTGGATCATGTGAACTTGCTCTTCCACTAAAAGCTGAAGGTCAGCTCTAAACCAGTTTTCTTTCAGTTGCTTATACTCCATGTCACCCCTCTCTCTCTCTTTCTCTATCTATCTATCAATCTATAATTCAGTATTAAACTCAGCAATATGGTTGTTCTTCATTTTGTTATCATGATCCTCTTAGATATTTCATTTTTTTTACTCAAATTGTGTAAAGGTTTGTTTTGCTCACGGAATTTTGTTGATTAACACTTGAAAATAGAACCAACTTACTCTGGAAATGTTCACCGAGAGGCATATGCAACGATCCTGCATTCCGCTCATGTATATGTTTGTGGAGCCATAGCTGCAGCCCAAAGCATCCGCATGGCAGGATCTACCCGAGACCTAGTGATACTTGTTGATTCGACGATCAGCACATATCACAGGAGTGGACTAGAGGCAGCAGGGTGGAAAATTCGGACAATCCAGAGGATAAGGAATCCAAAAGCTGAGAAAGATGCATACAATGAATGGAATTACAGCAAATTTCGATTATGGCAGCTGACAGATTATGACAAGATCATTTTCATTGATGCTGACATGCTTATACTTAGAAACATAGATTTCTTATTTGGGATGCCAGAAATTTCAGCCACGGGAAACAATGGCACACTCTTCAACTCTGGTGTAATGGTAATTGAGCCATCAAATTGTACATTCCAGCTTTTGATGGATCATATCAATGAGATTGAGTCTTACAATGGCGGAGACCAGGGGTACTTGAATGAAATCTTTACATGGTGGCATCGGATACCAAAACACATAAATTTCTTGAAACATTTTTGGATCGGTGATGAGGAGGCAGTAAAACGAAAGAAAACTTGGCTTTTTGGGGCTGAGCCACCAGTTCTTTATGTGCTCCACTATCTAGGAGTGAAGCCATGGCTGTGCTTCCGGGACTATGATTGCAATTGGAATATGGACATTTTTCAAGAGTTTGCAAGCGACGTTGCTCACAAGAAGTGGTGGAAAGTGCATGATGCAATGCCAGAGCCATTGCACCAGTTTTGCATGTTGCAATCAAAGCAGAAGGCACAATTGGAATGGGACCGGAGGGAAGCTGAAAAGGCAAACTACACGGATGGGCATTGGAGAATTAAAGTCCAGGACAGGCGTTTGAAGAAGTGCATTGACAATCTGTGCAACTGGAAGAGCATGTTACGCCACTGGGGTGAGACAAATTGGACAGACGATGAAGCTTTTACCCCGACACCACCTGCCATTACGATGTCATCCCTTTCTGGATTGTGAGTAGCAACTTCTATTTTTATTTCACCATGTTCAGATTTTTAAGTAAATGGTACAGACTTACAGAAATTGGTTCACATTTACTCTTTCTATTATGCATAAAGGTGTTTTAGACACAATTAGGAATTTGAGTACGGTGGATTTTATTACCTCTGATTATTCTGAGGCTGATTCATAAACAGATTTGATTGGAATTTCCAATCATCTCACAAGAGAAAAATCACTTGCTTTTTTCCATATTATGTATATTTTGTCTGTTTTGTTTGGGTTACATTACCAGTTACAAAGGAAATCTGCTAAATAGAATCTGTTTAGGTACAGAAAATTTATCTATGAAGTGATAAATTATTCTAGAAATGTAGTGTCCTGATAAGTACCCTTAATATTCAAATGAATCCTACATATATAATTGCTGGTTTGCTAGATTGTTTATACAGTCATAATGTATTTATAAATATATAACCAGTAGACAGAACTATCTTATGCACTTTATGGATCCTTATCTACCTGTACCGATCATTAACTTACAGTATTTCTTACTCTTACAAATGTTTTGGCCAAATGTTATACTTAGAAAAGAAAACTTGACAAGAACATAAAGATAAATGAATAAATAAAAGAGAGAAAAAGAAAACTATATATATTATGATTAGCTAACCTTCTTGGCATGCTGATGGTCCACATACTGCTGTGTTGGGTGGTTTGTGTGAGCAGATACAAGAACATATAACTTAAAAGAGAATCTACTTTGTAAGTAGTGTCAAATTCTCATAAACGCAAAGTATTATGCTTTATGGACCAACAGGTCTGTGTGATATGCGGTTATACCCTATTGTGATGAAACATAAACCTTCTTATTGATGTTTAATTATTAATTTTTTTTAAGAAAATAAAAAATTATATACACAAAATTATGATGTATATGGAATAAAAATATGTGATTGTTTACACATACACAACAGACAGTGGTCCACTGTTAAAGCATTATTATCAGTTAGGGGACAGAATGGAAAGTTTTAGCAGTAAAGAAATGAAATGAAATGATTAACTGGATAAAAATGTGCACTTGTAAAATGTGTCTAAGATCAGGGTTACCTGAAAGAGATGGAAAACAAGTTAGGGCGCCCGCCCTCTGATTTCTCTCATTCTTCTAGTAATCAAGCAAACTAAATATTGTAGCACATGAAAGTACAGAAGCCGTAGTTTTCAATTGGAAGGTAGTATTAATCCGAATTGTGATGAATCTCAATAACCAAGAATTCACAGTGATTACTACATTAGAATGAAATTGATTTCGGTTTATTCTTATTAGATCCTTGCAAAAAGGAACAATTTGAGCAGAAGATCCATATCCAAAGGGCACGTAGAACATGATTATAAAAAGTTATAAATTGTCATCCAGCCCCATTCATGCTCAAACTCCAGTATATTTGTGAAGTTTATGATGAAACAGAGCCAGAAACTAGAATCTAGCTAAATCTACTTGCCAGGAAATTTATTGTATTGTCATCTTCGAACCCAAAATACTTGGACTTTTAACTATCTCCCAAAACCGACTAAATGGGACAAGAAAATGACCTGCACTAATATTCTATTGCGTATTGGCCATCAGCAATTTGTACAAAACGATGGCAAATTCTTGGTGGTTGTGATTTTCCCCTTAAACCTCATAGGTGTCAAGAAACGGAAATTTCCAAAACCATTTGCCAAAAACTAGTCATAATATTCAGGAACTCTAAGAATGGCAATCACAAAAGTCAGCATATTGCCAACTTATATCACATGTCTATACAACCCACACAAAACAGCAATATCCTTGATTAGGACCTAGTTGAGGATTTTATAAATAATTCCTCTTCAATCAATCCAAATTAGCACAAAATTATTAATTGTATGACATCAGTTCCCATATCTTTGGAAGCAGTTCAGCACAAAATGATTCATCACATAGCAATTTTTTAGAAAACGTTTTCACCCTGACACTAACTGCAATATCCACAGCATTTCCCTCTACCCATAGTTCTTTATGTACACGACACAAGTTCAAAAAAACAGATTACCCATTTTAGCTTGTTCCTTATGCAAACAAGCTACATCAACCCATGTTTCAATCACAGGTTAGTTGCACCATTAGACACTTGATTAGTTAATTTATAACAAATTTGCATCTGATTTGCTTTTCTTCTAATCTTTATATCTTTACTCTTATTCTATTAGAAACTTTCCTCTCTCCCTTGGACAATTAGATTGTCATTTACCTACTAATATATTGAAACTAGAGATTAGCTAGTACAACCCACTTGCAGATCGGCGATTTTCTATAGCAAGGAACCACATAACTGCCAACTTTTGATGTGATTATTATGTGTCAACAAGAGTATCATAATGTAATGTGCAAAATAGGTGGTTCAAGACCAAGTGGCTGTCTAAATTAACAAAACTTGTGCACGTAAGGAAATGCTTGTAGATAGTATAGTAGGTGATGTGTTCATTATTGCTTAGAGGTATATGTATATGATTATTTTGATGGGAGAATTTGGAAGTTATATGTGGTGGATATTGGAACACTTTTAAGCCAAGTATTTAGAAAACAATCAGGAAAAAAAAAAAAAAAAAAACAGTGTGTGAACATTGCGGGGCTTAAAAGAGGATTATGGCAAACAGTTGAAATGGATGTTCAATGTGCATTTGCCACTGATAGTGGAAATTCCACTTGTGGGGGGATTTTATAGTGGGTTGTTGGGTAGGTCTCACTTTTTGGAGAGGAAGTATATAAAGAGCCCAAACTGGCTTGCTATTTTCTTTAGTTCTTTTTCACAAGTGATGGTCGGTAGTTGACTAGTCGGTTAAGAAATAATTAATATACTTTTAGATTGATCGTAGTCAAAATGTGAATATTGAGAGAGATGTGTGGAAAGGAAAGAAAAGTTGAAATTTTAAACATATGCATGGTAAAAGTCTCATTGATTGGACATAAAATGAGAGTAGAACTGAATCCGTGAGAAAGGGTGATGTGGTTCACATTATGGATAATGCTAAGAGAAGGAGAAGACTAAAAATCAACACGAATTGGAACAGTAAAGAAAGATGAAATATCATGTGGTTAACTACGTTGTAGGTTTATAGACTTTTGACGAAACAAGATTCATGTAACCAACTTCAAATAAATTGAAAAGACTTTCTAAAGTAGAATCAATGATTGATACTGAATCACTGATGGTATAGTTGAGTGTAATTCTAGCAGAAAGTTTTTGAGGAAGTTCTTAATTTTGCTTTTCAGAGTGACATAGAGACAATATGGTAGAATTCATGAAGGAACCTTTCTTTGTGTTGGTAACACTGAATTGGAAATTTTTTTTTTTTTAAAAAAAAAAAAAAAACTTTTAGAAAAACGCTGAATTGAATTTAAAAAGAAAACAGCAGCTAGGTACCAATCCTGCATGGCCTTTGGACCTGGACTGTTGTTAGAGGTGCTCCACATCGGATCCGGATGGGAAGGAAAACAGGTATACATGGGTTGGATGTTAGCTCTCCTCAATAACTTAAACTTTTGAGTTAAACCGCGAAGCATCCGACCCCTTGCACCAAGGTTCACTCCTGAACTCAATTCTTAGTTCACATGTGAACTTACAAGGCTCACATTCAATGTAAAACCAAATGTTTTGACATTTTCTGCAGCATGTGATAGAAGAGACATGGGTATCGTATTTTTGGACCCTACCTGCACAGCCTCATGTGACTCTGGGAATTATGTACATTCTTGACAAAAAAAAATTGGCTTGGAAAGCCAAAACTACCCTCCATTACTTTACTAGATCACTTGTTTCTTAGCGTAAAGGGACAAACTTCATTATTAGTTCACTCTGGTGACCACCCCTAGCTCCCTTTTATGCAATTGTTGACTAATGACGAATGAGATGGTCTTTAATGACATCCTTAGCATTTCATGAAAACCATAGGGTATTTCTGTAATTCAAGTGACAAACTTATTTACTGAAATTGATTGTGAGTGACAAAGAGCTGAAAGTGATATGTGCAATTTCGGTGTTTGGCTTGCGATGTTGCCATCGTGTCTTTAAGTCGTGAGACGTCATTCTCTCATTAATGGCAGGAGAACACTCCATGTGACAAGTATCGTGAAGGCAATAATCGTGAGTATGACCGGACACGCAATCCTATCAAATGAAAACTCCATTGACAGAAGTGCAAGGTTCAGACTGCTGAGTCGATGGAAAATTTTCTAAGTCGCATTAAACTGCCGTCAAGGCAACCGAAATAGTTGTGGTCATAGTGCTTCCTTTATCGAAAGTGTAGACAAATATGTTTGCTAAGGTTTAGATCACCACATTTGTTGCAAGGATAGTATTACGAACGGGTGGTCATATTATGTCTCTTATCGGTGGTCATGAGCTTCCTATGACTAGTGCTTTTGAATGTGAAACTGAGACAACAGTCTTGAATATATAGTTACAAAAATAAAAGTATTGTGTCTATAAAGAAACAAATGTAGTATCTAAAGGGGTTAGCCCAAGTGATATCTCCGCTTTCTTCCAAGTGTTATCAGACAAATATAAACACGAGCTATTGATAAAAATTTTGAAACTTCTTACTCCAATATTATTTGAGATTGATAATTGGTAAGTACTAATTTACAAAGGGACCTCAAACTTCCTATTGATATACTAATTTCTAGAAATTCTGAAAAAGTAAAGCATAATATAATAATCATTATAATCGGATTAATCAAGAAGATGTTGGAATCCATTGATCACCTTGAATGAAATTCTGCGCTGAGTATGAGTAAACATGCTCCGCCGGAATTTTGCTACTCCAAGTTACTCTTTTTGATAAATCAGCTCCGGGACCAGAATTCTCGAATTCCCCATAGTAAAGTGTATTCAAGGCGAATTCGCCATCCCAAGGCAGCCACCCTTCTGGTGTAATAAGAGCCTCCAAGTTACAATGTATGAACACTGTCCTCGAGTACTCCTTCCACGGCCGCCCCAAATAAGTCAGGTGTACTTTAGGATTGCTACGGTATAGTGCCATGTATTCTTCAGTGCCATTGAGCATACAATTTTGGAAAACAAAGCCTGTTGATTGAGCAGGGTCAGTTCTGCCATGTGCTGTCACAGCATTTTTCTCACCCTTTTCTGGATTGACTTGCCGGGGGCGAACCAAGATGAGGCAGTCTTGGAAGATGGAAGCTGAATTTCCAAAGATGAAGTCTACATTGCCATGGATGCGGCAGGATTTGTAGAATTGGCGAAGGGAGTGGGCATATAAAGTGTCTTGATTGCCGATGAATTCACAGTTTTCAATAATAGATAGGTCACTATCTGATAGGAAGGCTACTGCTTGATGAGCATCAGGCCCCGCGGTGTTCTGGATAGTGAGACCACTGGCCATGAATCCATCACCAAATACACCTGCAACATGATTGAAATATTACAAACATCCCAACTTGCATAAATTTCATCAACAGGTCTTTTCTATGCCTTCTTCGGTAGACAGTCTACATCTTTGTTTCGCATTGCTACACAGTGTCAAACAAAAGGTAGGAAGTCCAAAAATAACTGTGCCTTTCGCTATGGTCATTGATTAAATATGAAACCACTAAAACTATGCATCATATAATTTCAATGAAAAATATATATATATATATATATATATATATATATATATATATATATATATATTTTATTGTTCATCACTATTGTCACTGATTTTTTATTTTTTATTTCTTTCAAATTTTAACTAAACATGCCGACACTAAATACAATATAATATAGAAAAAAGAATAATTATTTGGATTAAAGTGAGACTGATGTCATTAATATTTTTAAAATGTCTTTTATTCACATAAAATTTTATGTCATTACCCTGTAAAAGAATAACAATTTAATAGGATTAGGGGCAAAAGTTTTAAAAGTCCACTTACCAACCGTAGCTGATTTGTAGGTTGAGATCCCAGGCTGGCCCACATTCAATGACCCCGTAATGACCGTTTTACCCATGCCATCTCCCAAAAATACTACATTCTTTTTCTCTAGTGGGACCCGAACCGTTTCCTCATACACCCCTTCCTTGATCCAAATGACAAACCTCCGCACCCCCTGATTGTTCGGGGCAGCGTCCACCGCAGCCTGCACGCTCTGGTAGTTACACTTCTCACTACCACCGCCCTTGCACACCGTCACGTCGGCCTTCAGACCCGACGGAATCCCACCCTTGTACCCCAATCCGGCTCCATCACACGGGCCACTCACTCCCTCCCAGAACCCGGCCCGCTCCGTCATAGGCGGAACCCACTTCCCGGTGTCATTGCCAAATCTATCGTACGACAGCATCATACTCAAAGCGTTACTGCTCAACCCAATCAAGGAATTTAAGAACGCCATTGTTTGGTTGACCTGTTGACTATCGTTCGCGTACTTCAATGAGGACCAACAATCATACTGGTACAATAGTCCCGCGCTCATCCAGGCGCGGGCGTCCTTGATCCTGCCAAGTGGCAGAGCGTCAGCGGTCTGTGTGGTACGGTACTCGGAGTTACGGAGGAACTCCACACAGTTCTTGGCTGCGTTCGAGCGGTTGAAATTGCCTGCGGAGGAGTCCAGGATATCCTGGACCATGGACTGGGCGGTTTTGAGGTTTTGGTCGGAGACCCACATGGCTGATTCGATAATTTGGGTCGGGTTTGGGTTTGGAGGGACGTGATTGGAATTGGCCAATGAGGATTCACACGTGTCTGGGAATCGTGTGGCCTTGCATGCGAGGTGAATCTCAGGTGGGACTGAGACCATCACGGAACGCTTGGGAGAGGGTGGATTTGATATGGGTCTGGTGAAGCGCGGTGAGGATGGACGACGGTGGTGGTAGGGGGCTGCATAGGAGAGAGAGAAAAAGATGAGGAGAGAGAGTAGAGCGAGAAAGAAGACTGAAGCCATTGAAATGAGGAGGAATTTCAATATTGGAAGGAAAATAGAGGGAGTTTTAATGGGTTCCTGTGTTGGCTTTATATGTATATATATATAGTGTGTGTAAATGTGTGGTTAATATGCAAAGATTTGGAAGATAGTGGAATGTCTGGATTGTGAGGAGGATTCGGAAAAGTTGTTTTTGGAGTTACGGGTTCGTGATTATCGTTAAACTCTCAAGAGTGGGAATAATTTTGTTAAATACCGTTAAATACCGTTTATTTATAGGAATAATGTATACTTATTAATGATAAATTTGTATAGAATATTAAATTTGACTCCCTAAATATTTTTCAGAATTCTATTAACACTAATTATTAATGATAATTTTGTATAAGAAAATTAAAGTTGACCTTTCAAAATTTTATAAAATTCTCATTTATAGTTACTTATTTATGGAAATTAGAGATCGTTTGTGACATATATTATTTATGACTCTTTAAAACCTTTTGGTCTTGTCTTTAAAAATTCAAATTTAATAATAGAAATGTTTAGTCCAAATAATAATAATAGAAGCGTTTATTATTTTGTTAGTCAATAATTTATATATAAGTATATAAATTATTTATTATGATTTAAAGAGAGAGACAAAAGAAGAAAAAAAAAAAAACAAAGAATATTGAACAATGACAATTTTATTAATGGACTGTTAATTAATTTTCTTTCTATTTATTAATGGACTCACAATTTCATTAATAAATTTTTTCTTAAAAATATACAATAAAATGCACTCGAACAAAAAATGATTATAATTATTTTATAAATTTATTAAATTTAACTTTATATCAGGCCCAATTAAAAATTTTGAGTCCGCCGTGGTATTTGCAAATTGAAATGCTTGTAAATTCAAATCTGGTGGCATTAAATGAGTGATAGAATTCTGAGGTCTGGCATAAGTATTTAATTATTTTATGGGAAAATTGATCTTCACTTTAATGTGATGGTGCCCAGGATGGAAAGTTGTGGGTCCTAATACCTAGAATGTTAATTTACTATCCTCATCACCAAACATATGGGTCAGGATTCTCCATTTATGGACCCCATCATGAAATTAAGTTTATTTTGTGGGACAATGTTTGGGCCCTCTTGATGAAGTTTATCCTTCAGCTGATATGGTTTAACGTCATTAGAATATGTGTATAAAAAATAAAATAAAATTTAAATTTAAAGATGGACATTACTTTTTTTATATAGTCTTCAATAAGTGTAAAATCTTTAATTTTACACGGAACACTATAATATAAAACTATATATATATATATATATATATATATTTTTATATATATGTATATATATATATTTATTTATTTACTTTTAAAAACCTAAAAGTTTTGGTCAAAAACTAATGTATAATTTGTTTATTAATTGTTTTGTTAACCGGCCTTTCTAATTTTTTTATCTTTATTTTCATAACTTACAACTTGATTGCTTATGGAATTTTATCAATTCATAGGACAGTATACCTAAGCAATCCAACCATAAATAAAATAAAAGAAATTAATAGAATTCATGCAAAACATGATAATGGCCAAAAAAAAAAATATTTCTTCTATGATTTCTACAGAATTTTGATATTTTTTTCTCTTTACTAAAACATCAATAATTATTTATGAAGCAAGTTTGGACAATGAATGATTATTTATTTGCTATTTTCTACCGAATTCTGAGTTTTTGTTTTTTGTCTATATTTAGTTAATTGAGATTTCTTCTATGATTACTTTGCTGTGAAGAGAGAAAGGAAGACAAAGGAGACTCCGGTCCGCCTGTATCTTATCGTGTTCAAGAAGAAAATAATAAAAAAAAAATGGAAAGAATAATGTTTAACCTGTAAAGAATAAGTAATGTCCATCTTTAATTTATTTTTTATTTTTTAGACACATGTTTCAATGACATTGGACCACATCAGATGGGGGACCCAAGCATTATCCTATTTTGTGTGTATGTTTTAATCAAAATGTTAGATCACAACTCCAAATATACACGCACGCAAAATGAAAAAAACACTCTTAATATTTAAATTTTTGGCAAATATCATCCCTAATGTTTATATAAGCGCATTAATTTTGAAAAAATGATCAAAGAAGGGCTCGAAGTCACTTTTTTTCATAACAAATTTAGTCATTTGCATTGCACTTAAGATATAAAATTATGAAAATACTTTTATCTTTTTCAATAATGTCCTTATATATAAGAAGAATTAAAAATTAAAAAAGGACACTTTAGTCATTTCACATTTAATTATTTTTTTATCCTTTTTTTATTTAGTTATAGAGAGGCACTTAGTATTTTCAACATTTAGGTACTTGTTTGCTCAAAAATTATATGTTAAAAATTTTTTAAAACGTATAAAGAGTTATGTACTCTATATGCATATCGTTGAAGTGCTTTTTACCACAACTAGTGCAACGGATGAAAATCTTTTACAGTGAGAGAAACTCGGTTAATTGGGTTGGGTAAATTTCATTGTTACTATAATTGTGTGAAATTATGTGAATTTTCACTTGTTTAAAATTTGTTACCTTTTATATTATTATAATAATGTGAGTTAGGTGATATCCATCCACGGAATGGGAACCACAAGGCTCGACTGAAGAGGACTTTGATCCTAGGGATGATGGAGAGTATACAATAATAAGGAACCCTTTTCACATTCACAACAAATAAAGCAAATTGTTTTTGACCGTACTGGAGACGGGAGGATTACTCTGAATTGAACTGCAAATCGTTTTTCGAAATGATTTATAGTGGGTTGACCCACTTTAAGACATCATACGGTAGCACTAAGTATGTCGAATAGTCTGACTAGTGACTGTTATTCACTTTGGATCATGATTTACATTCACTTTGGATCATGATTTACATTATTGATTTTGGTATGAATTACATTATTGATTTTGGTATGAATTGCATTATAACGAATTTAAACAAATATTAATATAAATTGATCGAACTCATAAAAAAAAAGTGTTATAAGCCGGCAAACCATGCTTTGGATAGCATTGTACATACTTTATACTAATTACATATATGATGGTATTTATATGAACCCTCCTCGGGATGCCTTTCTGTTTTTTTATTCGTTATTTCCACTTTGTTGCATTTCTAGCACCATCGGACATGTAGTTTCTAAACTGAATAAGATAAGAATCCAAACAATCTCTGCAAGCAATATGTTATCAGAATTTTGAAACTTCATACTCGAATAATATTTGGGGTCGTTGATAATTGGTAATTACAAATAGACCCAAAATTCTCTACCTTACACTAATTTTCTACAAATTCTGCAAAAGCAGAGCACATTATTAATCAAGAAGAAGATGTTGGAATCCATTCATCACCTTGAATGAAATTCTGCACTGAATATGAGTAAACATGCTCAGCCGGAACTCGGCTACTCCACGTTACTCTCTCTGACAAATCAGCTCCGGTCCCAGAATTCTCGAATTCACCGTAATAAAGGGTCTTCAATGCAAAATCACCACTCCAGGGCATCCATCCCGCTGGTGTTATAAGAGCCTCCAAGTTACAATGTATGAACACTGTCCTCGAATACTCCTTCCATGGCCTCCCCAAGAAATTCCGGTGTACTTTAGGCTTGCTACGATATAGAGCCATGTATTCTTCAGTGCCATTGAGCACACAATTTTGGAAAACAAATCCTGTTGATTGAGCAGGGTCAGTTCTGCCATGTGCTGTCACGGCATTACTCTCACCCTTTTCTGGTTTGACTTGCCGGGGACGAACTAAGATGAGGCAGTCTTGGAAGATGGAAGCTGAATTTCCAAAAATGAAGTCTACATTGCCTTGGATGAGGCAAGATTTGTAGAATTGGCGAAGGGAGTGGGCATATAGAGTGTCTTGATTGCCAATGAATTCACAGTTTTCAATAACTGATAGATCACTATCTGATCGGAAGGCTACTGCTTGGTGGACATTAGGGCCTGCCGTGTTCTGGAAAGTGAGACCACTGGCCATGAATCCATCACCAAGCACAGCTGCAGAATGACCGAAAATATTAGAAACATCTCAAATACAGAGAATTCATTAAGAGATCTCTTCAATTCCTTCTTTGGTGATTCTAACTTTTCTTTTTCATTTCCTTATTCCATACTATAAACAAACACTATATAAAATTTCATGGTAACAACAATAATTGAAGATTTATGTGACAAATTACGTGAATAAAATGTGACAGTTAAGCTGTTCTCAAGAACCAAGAATTTACTAACCATGTTGCTCATGTCTAATTCATGGTCCTCCCAAGTCCCAACACAAGGTAGGAGAATACTTGGTGCTAATTCAATTCCCTTTTCATATATTTGTATTTGAAGTGCCTTTGGAGGTAGGTGTAAGACTCATCAAACATAAGGTGTGTTAAATCACAATGATCTTCATGTTATAAAAGCAATCATATACATCTTAAATATTTAGTGCACCTTCAACAATGATTAAGCATGGATTCACAGAATTAAACACTGGGATTAAGTCAATGATAATGACGATGATGACACAATCTTCTATACACACATCAAATATAAAAAAATTAACTTAAGTGGTGTTTAGGACCACCAAATCCACCCATTAGTATTTATGTTAATTAATTTATTGTTTCATCAATTATTCTTTAGGGATTTAAATAATAGTATAAAAGAAGGCTTTTTAAAAAATTTAAAACTAAACATATACTCCAAGGTTACAGCAATTAACTAAGAATATAAAAGCATAAAATATAATTAGGGGCAAAAGGTCTAAGCGTCCGCTTACCAACTGTTGCTGTATTGTAGGTTGAAATCCCAGGCTGACCCGCGTTCAATGACCCTGTAATAACGGTTTTGCCCATTCCATCTCCCAAAAACACTACATTCCTCTTTTCCAGTGGGACCCGAACCGTTTCCTCATAAACTCCCTCCTTGATCCAAATGACAAACCTCCGCAACCCCTCGTTGTCAGGCGCTGCGTTCACCGCCTCTTGCACCGTCCCGTAGTCGCACTTCCCACCGCCACCACCCTTGCAAACCGTCACGTCCGCCTTCAAGCCAGACGGAAACCCACCCTTATACCCGAACCCATCACCCGGTCCACCCACACCTTCCCAGAACCCGTCCCGCTCCGTCATGGGCGGTTCCCACCTCGCGGTCTCATTCCCAAACCTATCATACGACACCATCATACTCAAAGCGTTACTGGTCAAACCGATCAACGAATCTAAGAACGCCATGGTTTCGTTGACCAGTTGACTATCGTTCGCATACTTCAATGCGGACCAACAATCATACTGGTACAATAGGCCCGCGCTCATCCAAGCCCGAGCATTCTTGATTCTGCCACGTGGCAGAGCGTCAGCCGTCTGTGAGGTACGGTACTCGGAGTCACGGAGCACCTCTAAACAGTTCTTCGCGGCGGAGGAGCGGTTGATATTGTGGGCGGACGAGTCCAGGATAGCCTGGACCATGGACTGGGCGGTATTGAGGTTTTGGGCGGAGACCCGCATAGCTGATTGGATGATTTGAATCGGGTTAGGGATTGGAGGGACGTGATTGGAATTGGCCAATGAAGCCTCACACGTTTGTGGGTATCGCGTGGCCTTGCATGCGAGGTGGATCTCAGGCGGGATTGAGCCCACCACAGAGGGCTTGGGAGAGGGTGGCTTTGATCTGGGTCTGGTGAAGCGCGGCGGGGATGTAGGGTGCTGGTGGTGGGTTGCGGAGGAGAGAGAGAAAAAGATGAGGAGAGAGAGTAGAGCGAGAATGAAGACGGAAGCCATTGAAATTGTGAGAAATTTCAAAGTGGAGGGTTTGGGGTGGAAGGACAATAGAGGGAGTTTCACAGACTTTTTATGCTGCATTGTATACATGTTTGTGTATATATATATATATGTGTGTGTAGACGATGATGATGATGGGGTTAATCGGAAAAGATTTGGAATGTAGTGATATGTCTGATTGCGAGAAGGATTGATTTGGGAATAGTAGTTTGGAGTCACGGGTGTGTGATTGCTGATCTGGTTGTTGTTATCAAATGTAACGGGCGTGGCCACTAACAAGAGTGAGAAGACGAGAGAAGGCACTATTTGGTATTGTGCAGAATCTGCAGATACATTTGGTGGGTTGGTTTTAAGTTTTTCTCCATTAAATGGTATTAGTATATTGAAGTAGCCAATAGGCATGTCACAATTGCTATAAAAATAAAAATTTAAATAAATAAGGGTATGGCATAAGCACTTTTATATTGTAAAATTCATCTTTACTAATATTGTAACGATGTTGCCGAGATGCTAAAGGTATGGGTCCCTAATACCCAGAATATTAACTTATCAATTAACCAACCATCAAACATAGAGAGGCTTAGGGTATCTTTTTGTATAATTCTTCTGCACTACAGTGACATTAGAGTGATAATTTGCTCTCCGGAGATGACAAAACACAACCCAAGGGGGTGCGGGCCCACAGCTGTTAGGGCTCACATGTCTTGTTCAGTTTTTGGTTTTTACTTTTTAGGTGCCATACTCTACTTGCGTCGCTTCAAAGCACTTACATTTTCTCTCTATACTCTATACATTGAGTAAAAGGAAAATAATAAATTTCAGGATCCGTTTGATAAAAATAAAAACCTTGAGCATCCGGATTTGTAACTAATATGATAATCAATGGTTGAGATAAATATTCAAAAAGAAAAAAAAAAATTACTCATTTTATTTAAATAATAACGGGAGTCTTTATTCAATTCTATAATTACCCAAAATCTTTATAATTACCGTCACACAATAATCTTTTTAGATTCATTCTACTCAAAATCATTTTTCTGATTAACTATCACTTGATTGCCAACCCAATCGCAATTCATACTTTATTTTTTATTTTTTAAATTTCAACAACTAAGACTTGTTCGAATATAAAAATTCATTTCCTTCCAATATAGTTTTATCCGGTTATCTTTAATCATTTCTACTTATTAGTGGAAGGTCGTATCCCTCCATTACCGACCTCCCAAGGAAAAGAAACCGTATCTTTAAAATCATGTCCTTTGGTGAGCACATTTCTCCCATCCTGATGCAATCCAGTAAGGCCATTACTTGTACTTTTGTCACTCTTATCTGATAGATATCTCACACCATAACTGCTGTCTTCATTGGTGATTTTTGCAATTCTAGCTCCACTCCCGTGTTTTGATTATTCATCAGCATGTAGTGGTACGTATGTCACATGTTACCTCCTGTCATTCAGCAAATAGACCTCATCGATCACTATACATTGTGACTTTTTCTTTTGTCCTTTTTAAGTTACAGTAAATGTACATTGAATAATATACACTCATTATTCACAATATGTCACTGGTGAGACCAAAGGAGAGATTAAACTCATACCATTGGATCAAAGTCTTTACTAGAGTCTTTCCCATTTTGTTGCACCAAGTTATTGTTGCTACGAATAATTTGTCCCAAATTAGGCGCAGCAAAGTTCAACACGATCCACTAATATGATTCGGCACAAGATAAGTAAGTTTGAGCTGACTTTAAATAAGTTTGGATCGTAAACAAGTCGACACATAAATACTAATGATGAACAAACCATGTTTCTTCAAATTCTTCTGGCCTCGACCCAGAAATCCTCATGCAATCAGGGGCGAAGCTATTAAAGAGCTAACTTGGGGCTATAACCCAGGTCCAAAAAAAATTTGATATTATTGTGCATTAGTTCACAACCCTGTTCATATACAATACTACTCTTTATCTTAGTCCGGTTCATATACAATCCTACTCTTCTTTTTAGCCCAATCCATTTTGCAATCCTATCTCACCCCTGCATGCAATCCTACAATTATCCTCGTCCATCTTGCTTTATGAAAAATTGAGTTGTCTTTCCAAATGCGTTACCGCACGCTACTAAAAATTAACTTCGCTTTCCAAACACCCAAATGTATATAATCTAGCTACAAACCCCATAAACACATTTTCTTGATATGTTAAATGCTGATAATTTAGCCCAATCTCACATGTTTTTCCATCCAACTTGTACAAAGTCTATACCTTCTATCCTTTTATGATAATGAAGTTTTCATAGTTCATAATTTTACTAAATAAATATAACTGATCATGCCTAACAAAATCAAACTATTCAAGGTTGGACACATATGCAAGAGCAACCAGTAAGTAATTAAAACCCAGAATGGTTTGTTGCTGGTTTGTGGGGAATTTGGGAAGAGATGAACTCTAGACTTCATGGATCTCTTTGTCAATCTCCTGCTGATTTTGCTAGGAAAATGCCATTTGAAGTTTTGGATGTCCACAATGTATAATTTTTTGATCTTTAGTTGTACCCTTTTGTGAACTGTACTACAACAAATAAGGGTTTCAGCGGCGGTCTAAACCGCCGCTGTAAGGGATCAAAAACGCCGGAAAAACCTTTATCGGCGGTTTTGTAAAACCGCCGGTATAGACACCGCCGCTAGGTTTCACCGGCGGTTTTTATGTACCCGCCGGGTTTGAAATAAGTACCGACGGATGCATACAACCGCCGATGATAGATTAAATAGCAGCGGTTATGGCCGCCGGTGAAAGATTAAGTAGCGGCACTTTGAAGCGCCGGTAATGTAGACTTTTTATTTTTAGGGGCGTTTGAAACTGCCGGTGTATTGTAAGTAAACTGTCATTTACCAGTATACTCCTGCACTTTGAAGCGCTGGTAATGTTTACTTTTTTACTTTTAGGGGTGTTTAAAACCGCCGATAATGTGTTAATTTTTTAAAAATATATATATATATATATTATTTTCTAGTTTAATTTACATATTAGTAAATATTTTATTTTGTTCCCTATTCAATGAAATCAAAGATAATTTACCAATCACAAAACATCCAACAACTTAAATTTGATATATTACATATAACAAAGTTGCATTAAAATTCAATAACATCCATAAAATATAAGTTTTGTTTCAAAATGTCAAGTGCTAATAAAAGGTTCAAAAGAAAACACCAAAATCTAATAAAGCTTCAAAAGGAAATCATTCAAAATAAAACATCAACATTTCATTGAGAATATGAGTGAGACTATGCGAAGGTCTTGACAATTAATGGTTCAACTTCACCTCTCGTCTTGCTTCAAATTGCCCTACATACATTTGCTTCAACACCATGGCAACATGAATCGTAAAAAGAGAGCTCACCACAACTCAGATATTTGCCGCCCACCTTGACCACCACCGCCTTTACCGAGATCAGCGTCCCCCACCACCAAACGCACCACTAATCACACCAGTACCACTGTTATCATGAAAACATGAGTATATATGTGGAAGATAGGTCTTTGAAAAATGGAGGCCTTTGTCTTCTGAATAATACCTAACCCCAAACACGTTTTGAAAAGGTAAGAAAAACCTAAGCCCAAAACTATATCGTTTATTTAATTAATTATTGAAAATCTAAACTTAAAGCTAATATATGACGTAATATTTTTGGTAGTTTAAACTAAAGAGCCAGAAGGGAGAAAATAATATATATATATATATATCACAGTTCATGACTGGCGGTGGGAAACAACGCTGGAGAAAGTAATTTCAACGGCACTAAATATTGACTTCTGGGAAAACCTAAAATTACCGCCATAACTACCTTAATATATTCCTGCGGTTTAATATCAACCGCCGGAAAACCAATATTTTATGACAGTTTGATAAAAATCGCCGTAAAAACAAAATATTTAACGGCGGTTTATTACAGACCGCCAGTAAAATTACTTAACAGTGGCACTTTCGGTATTGGGTAAGTAACAACGGTAGACACTTTAAAAGCGCCGGTAAAGGCAATATTTCTTATAGTACATATACATAAGCTTTCTCTTCTCATTTTCAATACATACCAATTATGCAAAAATAAAAATAAAAACCGAGGATATATACAAAAATTATTTTTACTTGAGGAGAGTGCAACCACTTTTCTCGTATCCTTCGTGCGTAGCAACAATTGGTAAAATTGTTCCATTTGCTATAACAACTTCCTTCGTTTCTACCACATTGATGGTTCAAATTTTTTCCGAAGTCCGCTAATACAATGACGAGCGTCTCGTACATTAAGTTAATTGAATTATTATTTTTTTTTTTTCACAAATCCAGCGATCGGCTTGAGACATGGTACTCACAATAAAAAAGAAAATTAATCCATGCAACTTTACCAGCAATATATTACACTTACAGAGTAACTCAAACATACACCAAATTTTGGAAAAGCAGACCCCATTACAACAATCATTGTAACCCAATAATTAAGATGATGGAATCCATTTATCACCTTGAATGAAATTCTGCACTGAATACATGTTAATACGGTCAGCCGGAATTTGGCTACTCCACGGTACTCTTTTGGACAAATCAGCTCCGGGACCGGAATTGCCGAATTCGCCATAGTAAAGTGTCTTCAATGCAAAATCACCACTCCAAGGCATCCACCCTTCTGGTGTAATAAGAGCCTCCAGCTTACAATTTATGAAAACTGTCCTCGAAAACTCCTTCCAAGGCCTCCCCAAGAAATTCTGGTGTACATTAGGCTTACTTTGACGTAGTGCATTGTACTCGTCCGTACCAGTGACCACGCAATTTTGAAAAACAAAGCCGGTTGATAGGGCAGGGTCAATTCTGCCATGTGCTGCGACTGCTGTCACGGCATTGGCATTGTTGTCACCGGTTCGGGAGCTGATTAAGATGAGGCAGTCTTGAAAGATTGCAGCTGAATTTCCCATTATGAAGTCCACATTGCCTTGGATTCGGCATGATTTGTAGAATTGGCGAAGGGAGTGAGAGTATATAGTGTCTTGGTTGCCAATGAATTCACAGTTCTCGATAACTGATAGATCGCTATCTGATCGGAAAGCTACTGCTTGTTGGGCAGCTGAGCCTGCCGTGTTCTTGATAGTTAGACCACGTGCCATGAATCCATCACCAAGCACTCCTGTGTCAGTACAATCAAATTTGTGCTGTGAGTATGGCCTTAAATGGAGCACAATAAATACATATAATTCATGGAACCATCTTTAAATAATTTAATTAAAAAAAAAAAAACTCTGTTCCATGATTGCACATTTTCAAAATTTTAATTTGTTCATATAAGAATCAATTTAAATAAAGAGACATCATCCTTAGGAGAGTTCAAATGCAGTGCATCTTTTAAAACACGGGTACCAAATCAATGACCAAAATTTTACTGAAGTTTTAACCATCCACCTACCTACTGTAGCTGTATTGTAGGTATTCATCCCAGGCTGGCCCACATTCAAGGACCCTGTAATGACAGTTTTGCCCATACCCTCCCCCCAAAACACTACATTCCTCTTTTCCATTGGGACCCGAACCGTCTCCTCAAACACTCCCTCCTTAATCCGGATCACAAACCTCCGCACCCCCTCGAGGTTGTTCGGTGCGGCGTTCACGGCCTCCTGCACTGTCCCGAAGTTACATCCGCTACCGCCTTTGCACACTGTCACGTCCGGCTTCAAACCAGACGGAAACCCACCTTTATACCCCAACCCAGGACCCGGTCCACCCACAACCTCCCAATCCCCGACCCGCTCCGTCCCGGGCGGTTTCCACTTCCCGATTTCATTCCCAAACCTATCATACGACACAATCATGCTCAGAGCGTTGGTTGTCAACTCGATCAACGACTCAAGGAACGCGACCGTTTGACTATCGCTCACGTTCTTCCATGCAGACCAACAATCATATGCGTACGTCACGACAGCGCTCATCCAAGCCCGAGCGTTCTTGATATCGCCACGTGGCAATACCTCAGCCGTCCGTGAGAGACGGTACTCGGTGAGACGGTGGATCTCCAGACAGTTCTTGGCTGCGATCAGGCGGATGGGATCGCCTGCATACGAGTCCACAATAGGCTGGAGCATTAACTCGGCGGCTTTGACTTTTTCGGATGCGACCCGCACCGCCAATTCGATGATTTGGATCGGAGTCGGGTTTGGAGGGACGTTGTTGGAGTTGACCAATGGGGCCTCGCATTTTTCTGGGTTTCGTGTGGCCTTGCATGCAAGGCTAATCGCTTGTTTGGCTGAGATATCAGAGGGTTGCGCTGGGGATGGGCGGCGTTGGTGGTGGGGGCGGCCGGGATGTCGGGGTTGGTACAAACGTTGGGGATGACGGGGTTGGTGGAGGCGTTGGGGATGACGGGGTTGGTGGAGGTGGGCTGCGGAGGAGAGAGATAAAAATATGAAGAGAGAGAACATGGAGAGAGAGGAAAGATAATTACCCATTGTCACGAAGAGGAATTGCAGTGTAGAGGGGGGCGCCCTTTGGGGGTGGAAACACAATGGAGCTCTTCCCATGCTGAATTATATATACGTGTATATCTATAGTATGTGTATTAGTGTGTATATCTGCAGACATTTAATTAGATATAGGTCAGATTCATCCATTATGGAGTGTTGTACTTTGGTCACGTGACTCACAACAAATATTCAATTGGTATTTGGAAGCAGCCAATAGAGATCTGCAACAAGTCCTTTTTAATGGAAATTTGTTTTGATGTGTCGGCATATTACATCGAGAGAGCCAGAGTTGCTAGTAGCACTCCGCAAATTTGCTTTTAGCGCTCCACCTCCTATTTTTAGCTTATGGCCGCGTGTCTCTCCTCTTTTTATTCTCTTCCGCAGAAGAGCCTGAAATGATTTGCAGCGATAAAATTTTTAAGTTATTTTACATATATATATATATATATATATAATAAGCTGATAATTCTCAGTAACTATTTTTTTCATTCCCTGGATCTGAGTAACTATTTATGACCTCATAAACTTTATAGTAATTAAACTTACCATTACAATTTCAGCAGTTTCAGCAGTTTAAACTTACCATACCAAAAGTATAATTTTTGGGTTTTTTCCATCTCAAAGAGGAGGGGAGGGAGGTTCAGACACTAATATGCATAAAATCATCAAATGAGATCTATGAAAAAAACAGAGCAGTTTTGCATGGAATTCAATGTTCCATTGGGCAGAGAAAATGTAATAACAATTTCTTTTTCTTTTTCTTTTCGTTTTTTTTTTTCTTGTTTTTTTTTTTCCTTCATGTGTAATAACAATTGGGTGCCTAAAATTAAAAGGATTAATAATGGATCTCTCTAGTGTGATCGTGCATTTTCAAATCGAGAACTCGAGACAATAACAACAATGCAACAAAATATATAGAGATTCAATAACAAAAAAGTATTTTCTATTTAATGGTGTGATGTCCTCAATGCAAACGCACAACAAAGTATAATAATGTAAATACAGAACAAGGTATTGGGAAAAAAAATTGTACTAGAAAGATCCGAATTAGTTAATTAATTATTTATTTATTTTGCTTCTTTCATGGACATCATGAAGAATAATTATTTTCCTAAGAGTTAGCAATAGGTGAACATCGACAATAAAATAAAATAAGATAAAATTATATATTATTGAAATGGAGAATCAATTCATACCGAATAAACTTACATAGCATGAACATATAAATAAAGGTATAGGAATGTGAATCCTGATCCCCTCCTCTTTAGGGGTTCTGTGCACTGATGCACCAACAAGAAAATTATAATTGATTCAATAAAAATTAAGGGAAAAATAAGGCAAACAAAATTAATATGAGATAAAGTTATTAAAAATAATTTTAAAAATTAAATATAAGAGTTAAGATAGCTTGTAGAAAAAATATATATATTTGACTAACTTCATTCATATGATCCGGAACGGACTTGGAAAATTGTGTAAGGGGGGCAATAAGGAATTTTCTTTATAATTTGGGAGGGGGTAGAATATTAAAATTTCATAGGTCTATAAATAAATAAAAAAAGAGGATCACTACTATATAATACTAAAAATAAAAATAAATAAATAAGTGGGAGCAAATCGAAATGAATTTTCTACAAATGTTTTTGGTAACCACTAGGCTGATTTTCTTCTAGCATGAATGGATTGTCGATTTGCATTTTGAATGATTTTTTTATTATTTTATTCAAAAGATTTTCAAATCATATTTTGTAATAGTCCTAATTTTGAGTCGTTACAAATTCAGCATTAAGTGTCAATATACTAAGAATATAACGCATTTGAAACAACTTGTACAACATATGATATCATTACAAAGATGATCATAAATTTTCAAACATGCTACTTATTCTTTTGTTTTTAAATTTCATTCGTCTTATTATTTATTTAATTTTTAACTTAGAGCCTACAAAGTAAATCACTAGTTCAGTGATAAATTAAAATGTTGGAACAGAATATATGATTTCTAATGTCTTTTTTTTTTTAATTTATTAGTCTGGCATCAAGAGTTGTAGAATGATTTTCAAAAGCAAAAGTCATAATCTTACAAAATTTAGGTAAAATGCAAAATGCGCCTCTCTGGTAAAGTTCTTGTTTTTATTTTTGGCTGTGATTTCATTTACGTGAAAATGATAAGTTTTGAAAAGTTGTGGAGTCATTTTTGTCAAAATTAAATATATTTGATAACATACATTTACTGTTGAATTTTTTGAAAGAGAAAAAAGAAAAGAGAAAATATGTTTGGTAATATTTATTTATTTATTTTTATTATTATTTTTTAAATTGACTCTTTTATTTACAAGTATAATTGAAAAATAATAAAATAACACTTTTAATTTTACTATTTGAGTATAATAATACATACATATATATATATATATATAATTTATTATTAAGTGTAATTAAAAATAATAAATAATATATTTACTATTTGAGTATAATTAAAAATTAATAAAATAACATTTTAAATTTTACTATTCACTGTAATAAAATATTTAAAAAATTTTATTTACTGTATGAGTATAATTGAAAAATAATAAAATAATATTTTATTTACTATTGGATTATAATTAAAAATTAATAAAATAATGAAATAATATATTATTTACTATTTGGATATAATTGAAAATTAATAAAATAATAAAATGACATTTTTAATTTTACTATTAGTGTACAATAAAATATATTTTTTAATTTTATTTTTTATTTGAGTATAATTAAAAATAATAAAATAATATTTTATTTTATTTTTTTATCAAACACATTTTTTTGCTGCTTTAGAAAAAAAAATTTAAAAACTGAAAATGGCAAGGTTACGTCCTTGAGATTTCGTGGGGTTTGATAAAAAATATTTTGTTTTATTTACAAGGTTTAGTGAATAGTGATTAAAAGTCGAAACACCAATTTAGTATTTTATTCAAACATCAATTTAATATTTTACATGTTTTCGAAACAAATATTGTTGGTTTATTTTCTTTATTTTTACTAACACATATTTTGTGTTTTTAAATTTTTTGCAACAAATAGATATTAATGTTTTCTATTACTATTCAACACACCACACAGCACAATATGAAAAAAGAGACGGTATGAAAAAAGAAAAGGCTCTTAAAAAAGTCCAATTCCTATGAAAAACACATGAATTTTGGTTTATTTTCTCTTTTAAAATTATATAATTTTAAATTAGTAAATGCTACTACGTGGTAATTTCTTTGAACTTTTTTATAATTTTTATAATTTTTGTCCTGATTATGCAAAAATAAATAAATAAATAAATTAACGAAAAAAGGATTTCTAAAGTGTTTCTACCAAAATACTCCGTGTATATAGATAATTTATCGACAGAATGCAACCGAAGCAAGAATCTATTCTCTCTCCCTCTCTCTCTCTCTCTCAACAGACCAGGGCTCTCAATGGCGGACTCCTTAACTCGTTCTCATGTTGAAGCCAGACTCTAGGGTTTCTCTCTTTGACACTGCATGGCAACTTCTCTTTGATTCCGCGTGAGTTATCTTTCGATTTTCTCTTACTCGATTCTGTATAATATTTGCTGCTTGTAATACACACATGTATGTGTCTTTATAATTAAAGGTTCTAGGGTTTCAATACTTGGGGTCTCTTTGTTTTTTTTTTACCCTTTGCTAAACCGAAACGGTAATGCTGTTGCTGAACTTCAAAATAGGGGCTTTTAGGGTTTCATTGGTTATCTAGATTCAAAGAATCTATACGATTCATAGATTTTACGTTCCTTGGGTTCCTTTCAGTGGATGCGTGCGACTTGAGCTTCCTCTTAAGAAAGCCCTAATTTTTATGTGTCACTTCGTCCATTTTTTTTTTTTTTTTTTTTTTTTTCCCTTAGTGGTAATTAACAATTTTATGGGTTTTGAAGTAGCTCACTCTTTATATATGGCTGACTATAAGGCTACTGGAAAATGAATTTGCTGCTAATTATGCTGGTAAGGTGTCCTTTACTGCAGTAATGCCAATTGCAATCTTGTTGAAGGGTTAACTTTCTTATCTGGCTATTTTCTGAAAAACAATAACTTGGGTCTTCATATTGCTATAGATAGTCTAGTTGTTGCAAGGTGTAGTGTTTGTTACTGTCTGCAATTGTACACCTATGTTAATATTGTGCAATTAGGAAAATTTACATGCGGGAGAAAATGTAACATCAATGTAGTGAAAGCAAAATAAACAACTCTGTTAGAAACTAGTAGAACCAATGGGTCAGTAGCCTAGTGGTATTAGGCTCCTACTTCCCAAAGGAAGGTCAGGGGTTCAAGCCTCAGTAGAGGCATGTGTGTGAGAGTACCAACTAAGGAAAAAAAAAAAAAAAAAAAACTAGTAGAACCTTAAATTGCCGTGTAGAATTTGAACATGCTAACTAACTCTAGGATGCAATCTTCCTTGCGGACCATCCTTCTTGTCTTTTCAGCTTTCCACATTCTTGGTCAATAGAGTTGTGCAAGTGCTGAATCAATCCAGTAGGCAGTTGAATTTCCCATACATTGCCTGGTACATTCGCTATGACTTCTTTAAGTGTTTTGACTTCATAATGAGCAATCTTTTATTTTAACCCTTTCAAGTTTAAGGTTCAACTGATTTACTTTAAAATCTGAATGTGGTGACTGGTGGTACAATCTGCTATGAGATAAGGAAGATTTCGAACATTTATGTTTCTCACTTCTGACTACTAGCTAGATACACCTGCTACTAGCTAGATACACCTGCTATGAGTCATGACCAATGTCAAGGATGTATATGAGAAATTTGTATTGGTTAAAAGTACACAAGGAGAAGTTCATCATATTTGTTGGTTTTCAGAAGTAGTTTAGCTATATTCAGATTCTGGATATCTGTAGATGTTAAGTATTTAATTAAGAAATATCGTTGTTTGGTGATGTAAAGGGCACTTGCTTCAATGCCTTTTTGAGTAGTTACATGTTGGAGAGGTCAACGTACTTTGATGAACATAGGGTAATGTTGAGTGTGGAATGTGAAGGTTAGGGGAATCATGCTAAATATGTTTATTATTGATGATTTAATGAGCGATATTGATTTTCCTGTTAGCTTTACTGATCATACTTGATTTCACTTTTACGTGTGGTAGTAACATTCTGATATGTGATAGAAGTTAAACTAATTCTTATCTTCAGTGCATGTCATTGCATGGGATGTCAAGTGCACAATACAATATTTTATGGCGACGTATTATATTTCTTCGCTATTTATAACCTTCAATTTGGCAGACCTACAATCTTTACAGAAACTAGACATCAAATATATAATCATGTTACGCGAAAATATTAGTTTCTTTCTTTAGGCTTTATTAAATTTCCCTAGGTTAATTGCTATATATAGAGGCTTGGTATAGGGTAAAGAGTTCCATTGTTGTGCTTTAGTTCCATGTATCTCTATATAAGTACGTTTAGACGCTAATATTCAGATATAATTTTTCTGCAGTACATTCATGGGGTTAATGCATGGAGGTTTTACCAAGTGCCTTCAATAGTAGCTGATGCAATTATATTGGAATATCCTTCCCCAAAAGCAACATTGTGCGTTGACACATTATTGGGTTAAACTTGAAGTTCTAGAGTGGAGATTGTATCAAACCTTCTTGAGATAGCAAGATAAAAAGCAATGTTGTATTACAAGAATTTGGAAGAATGCAACGGACTGCACATTAAGTGTCATTTGTATACCATGTTACCTGTTGAACATTAGAGTCATGCAGAATTGAAGTTAACTTGAGGAGGTTGGCTATGAAGGTGGAAAGATATCTTATATTGCACAAAAAGGCTGCAATGCTGCATTATTTATTATGAGTGATTGACCTTTTTGACCATAAGAAAGTTGTTGGTACATTTGGAGGAATAAATTTTGGAGTAATTTGTACGAAAAATCTGAACATTTTATCAAAAGTTGTATAGAACATTTAAAACTGTTTGTTATATGAAACTTTCGGTCAATTGGAAGTAGAGAAGTGGCCGCTGCAAGAAGTTTCTTCTAGTATTTTGTCTACTTGTTACTTCATAATTTAAGCTAGGTTAGACATGGGACTTGAGAGTATAATCATTGCATTGTTTCCGTAAGTAAATCAAAGTTGGCGTCAATGGAACTCATGAATGCTATTCCAATGTTCAACATTATCCATTATTTTTCCAAAACAATACACAATATTAATAAGTTAAATGATATATTTTACAGCTTGCTGAAATAACGCTGATGAGAAATTGGGTCATTGAGGTGGTTGAAAAATCTGGGGTTTTTAATAAGAACTAACATTTAGCATTTTTCGTTGAATTTTCCATTATTTAGGCTTGATTTGGTTTTTCCTTGGATGTCAAATGACATTTCTATTAATGATATTGGAGAACTGGCCATTGATAGAGAGCTATTACTCATTTTATATGAAATTTAATCTCCATCTAGGTAGTTAAACATATTTTACTTAAGGATAAAATATATATATATATATATATATATATATATATATATATATATACAGAATTGTTCGCAAGAAAATGCATGCACACTTGAAGTAGTAACCGTCAGATTCTATTTGGCAGTTAAAAAGGTAGTTTACGTTTTTATATCCAACGGTGATGATTTAATTCGTGTATAAATTCCTTGCACACCAATGAGCAGGTGAACAGTCGTATATATATGTGTGTGTGTGTGTGTGTGTGTGTGTGTGTGCGTATACTTGTAGAATCCTTTTGGTTGTTGAGAAAAGTAAGTTAAGGAAAGGATAAAAAGAGCTGCTTTTCTCTACAACTATTTCGTTTAAAGGAAAGTTTGTGGAAAGTAAGATTTTAACATTTCCACAATGCATAATTCTGTATAAAATGTAGGAAAGGATAAAAAATGCAGTACTTGGTATAAGTCCAATATAAGTGGGGCACATATACAGACGTAGATTGTGCTATTATTTTGCGCAAAGTGGCTGCTATGTGTAAAATAATTGGTGTGGCAATTTGTTTTTGAAGGAGAAAAAAGTTATTCGTGAGGCCCACTCTTTTTCTTGATAGCCAAACACTCAAATTAGTGAGGAAAAACAGTTCCTACTTTTTCTTTTACTTTCCTGTTATTGAGATGCTACACAATAGTGCTATATGGAAACATGGTTTGGCATTTGTGAGCGATTAAGTAATAAAGAATCATTCTCTGATTTCATATCTGAAAATTACTGTGCAATGCATGTATATAACTTCAATAGTTTATGATAATATATGATGGATCCAATTTCTTTATGATAAAATTTTATCAGTCTTAAAAGCCTTTAACTTGTAGTTAAACGAATAAATTGGGATATGCTAATTTAAGCTGGGAGCCTGGGAACAATGACAAACTAATGACAAGTCTTGCTCTCGATGCTGTTGAGGCGTGGTACATCCTGTGTAACATCTGGAATGAATTCTGTTTCTCCTTGAAAGCTCTATATGCTTGTTTATTTATGTGTTCTGAAAGAATGTAATAGAGGATTTCTAGAGGGCTAGTTTTAGTGGAAGTTGGAGGCATTTGATGTTTAAGGGCTCATTCATAGAAGTTTTATTTTCATATAAATTTATCCATGATTTTTTTTTTTTGTCCTTTTCTTTTATGCACAAATTTTTCTCTTTTTGCCTAGGTTTCCGCAGGATTAAATTTTAATTTTCTCTTATACAGTTGACTGCAAACAAAGTAGTATTTCTCAATTTCTCTGAATGATCTCTATGGTGGAGATTTTCAAAAGATTTGTGCATATTTATTTGTTTAGATGCAATATATATATGTTTTTTGTTTTTCACTTTTCTTTTTTGATTTTTGATGGGAGTTGGAAATTTTTATTAAAGAAACGAAGAAAGAGAAGAACTCAATAGGAGTGGAAGAGATTTCCTATAGGATGTAGAATACAAGAGAAGAAGGAAAAAGACAATTCAAAACGAAAAGCAAGAAAGGAAACAAAGCGCGAATAGAGGAGGAAGTGATTTTTAGGATAACATACTAATGAGATGCTCTAAAGGGGCAGACTCCGAACCCTTCAATAGATATTGAGTGCTTTGCAAATCTAGGGCTGAGATGCTGTATCATTTATTAATCCATTGCCCCTCACTTGTCGATATCAACTTATTGATGATTTCATCCATTTCTTGCTTGTTTTCTGGAATTCATGGTTGGAAAGAAATGCTTGAAATTCATAAGACACTTATACCTCTTTGGAAGAAGTCTGGGATGAAGTGCACTCATGTCTTCCCTCTGTGCTACTTCCAGTTAAAAGTTCAAAGGTATCTCTATTGCTGGATTAGGATTTGAAATCAACTACATTACCTATTGGTACCTGTTTTCAGTTGATGTACCTAAATTCAGCTTGGTGGCTATTTGATAGGTAATCATGCCAACATATAAAGGGCATCTTAGAAATCAAGAAGGCAATGTTATCACGTATGTATCAGCCCTTGTTCTCCTTTTGAATGCTCCTATCGTATAGTATTAAAGTTTAGTTTTCTATAAAAAAAGAAAAAGAAAAAGAAAAAGAGATTTATTTTAGCATATAAAAGAAAGGAAATGAAATAAAAATATACAAAAGAAAAAATGTATTAAACAGTTTATTAGCTAAACAGTAGGAATCCCTTGGTGGTTTGTGACATTGAGGTCTCATTGGGATTGAGTTGTAGATATATATATATATATATATATATATATATATATATATATATTTTTTTTTTTCTCCCCCTGAAAGAGCTGAATATGCTAATTTGAAAGCCCTGCAAATTTTGTTTTTCTTGTGTTTAAAATGCCATGTGAGCTTGTGGAACTGGAACCTGAGTTCTAAACTTCCTTTAGAGACCCAATATTTGTTTTCCCCACCAAAGATATGGCTAAAAGCTGAAGCTTTTAAGAATATGATTAGACACGTATTCTGTTTTTTGCCACATTGAAAGTACACCAGGAAAAAAGAAAATTAAGTTCTCTTCTATTTGGATTTTGGAAGCATGTCTATGGTATTTTCCTCTGCAGAAATGTTTTCCAAGTGAAAGCTTAAGTTTGGGGAGGAAGCAAATAAATCATTGAATTATGGAAGTGCAAATGGATTGTGCAAAGGATTTGTGGAAATTTTATAGTAGTGTCAGGAATATTCTTGAATTGGTAAAAGAGGAATATATGTACATGGAGGCTCTCTCTCTCTCTCTCTCTCTCTCTCTCTCTCTCTCTCAAATAAAAATAAAAACTTCCATAGAACAGTGATACCATGTCATTTCGATGACATGGTATTAGTATTACTAATGAATTAAGTATTGACATGCAGTTATGGGGCTCACCAAATATATGCATACATGTGACTCCATTAACTGCCATGTAATCAATTAGTTGTATTGTGTGGACTCCACATGCTTATATGACATGATTGAATTGGTTGATTACACCATGTCAGCAATATGATATGGTATCAATGTTGTGACTTTCTCCCTTTCCCAAGTACTATGATTGTTTAGTCTATGATTGTTTAGTCCCTTATTGATTCTAAAATTTTGCAGCCTTGGATCATGTTGGTAAAGATTGGCCCGAGCTTATCTTTGACTAATTATAAGTTTCACTGAGGCGTAACACTATCCTTGATAGAAATTTCCCAACTATATGGGGAGAATTCAATCTAGTGCAAAAAGTAATTTTATTCAGTGACATTTTATAAAATTGGAATAATACAAAACAAAACTTAAAGAATAACTTGAATGGATATCATGTGGAGAAGGCATGACTGAGTTAATTGTATAGGTGAGCTAGTGAGGCTGGGCAGGCCTGTATTTATGATGTCAAGCTTAACACTGAATCAGCTGTTGGAAATTGAGTCCTGCCCTCAGGCAGTGTAAGGCAAGGTGTGGTTCACTTTAAGAAGCTTATATAGAGGCTCACCAATGGCGATTTCCATTTGGGGTGGGGGGGTGACTGTAGCTTAAACTCATGTTTTGTTAGTATGCAGAAAGCAATTGTTACATATGTATACATTTATGTATAATATGTAGATGTTGAATGTGCACATTAAAATAATAGTGCATCTTATATCCATAAAATTCTCTTGGGGAAATTGACCTACAAGGCTACAAACCAAACTGGGAAGTAAAATAAATTGATTTATGAATATTTGAATAGTAACAGCATTGTTGTTCAGCCGCTTTATGCAGCTATATATGTTTGGAAGACGAAGCAAGAAGTGTCTATAAGGTTGGAGTGTAGGTGTTATATTTTTCCCCTGAATTATTATTATTGTTAGGGTAAACTGGAAAAAACTTTTCATGATTTAGTAAAAAAAAAAAAAAACCTTATACTATTTTTAAAATATGCAGATATTCCCGTGCCGTTTACAATAGTGACTGTAAATTGACATTTTTGGACCTGAAATCTCTATAATACCCTTTTTTATTGATCAAAATGACCTTGGATAATTTTTAGATCCATAAATCGACCCGTAATATAGCCCTAATTTTGTGTCATTAAGTGTACTTTTGTCATTTTACAACCAATGTACAACTTTTAATTTTTTTTCTTCTTGAGGGGCAAAATGGTTAGATGTATGACGGCACTTTTACAGGTTGGGGATAAGTTGAAACTTTCAATAGTTGAGGGGGTTAGTTGCATCACCGGGGGTGTATTTGCAAAACCCTGAAAGTTGAGGGGTTTTTTTTTTAGTCAACCCTTATTAATATCAATATTAATTTTTTGGTGGGTGCGCATGGTGGGCGGTGCTGCACTACTTCTGGATTTTTTTTTCGGCCTTGAATGCAAAGGGTAGAATTGGAGCAAAACCTGGCTCCCCTGGTATTGCCTGTAACTCTGCCTATTTTACATTCTGTACTTTTGAAACTATGATTTGAGATGAAAAAACATTTGATCTTTGTTCATGCAGAATTTTAAATGCTCCTCTTGTGAATAATTACTATACTAAGAAATGAGAAATACAAGGGGATATTAAAGGCTGAAAATTTTATATTTAGGGAGAAAAATTAGTCATTAGGATAAGCATCAAACTCCTTGTCTTTAGGTACTTTATTCAATGATTTTCTTGTAAATTTTTAAGACAACATTACAACAATAAGGTTAGCCATTTTTTGTGGTATGGCATCTTGGGTTATGAATGAATAACATGTTGAAAAGTGATTGTAGAAGCCGCAACAAGGATGCAAGGATGGATGATGACACTACAAAAAACATATAATAGGAAATAAATATATTTAAGAGAAGCTATTATTGGCCCAAATTAAATACAAGCTGAGTGAAACTTGTCTAAAGATAGTTTGCTAAAGTGCGAAAAAAGACCAATGGATGCAGAAGTGAGAATTGATTTCGTTTAACTTGAAGGTGCTACTTGGACAATGATACGGACTTTTTTGGGCTAAGTATCTAAAACACCCCTAGGGTTTACTTTTTGAGCAAATAACACCCCTCTTTTACTTTGGGTATATAACTCCCTCAACAATTTAAAAATGTTGTAAAGAATGACTTTTCGGCTCTTACCGTTAGAAATGCACCGTTAAAAAAACTTGTGCCTGGCACATGATTGATTAAATTTAATAAATACCAAAATTACCCTTTATTGATTCCCAAAACTCCCTTCCCTTTTGTATATAAACCTCAAAAATAAAGGATAGAATAGTAATTATACATTAATGAATTTTTATTTATTTATTTATTTTAATTGTAGGAAGGGCATTTTAGTATTTTTATCACCCATTAATGGCCAATTGACGGGAGGTCCTTATTTGCCCCTACAATAAACGTTAGGGGGTTTTCAGAACCTATAGGGGTTATATGAGCTATATGCATACTACAGGAGTGTTAAATGCTCGCAGCCGACTTTTTTTGAAGTATATGCATAGCCAACTCCAAGTAGTTTGGATCAATTTTGTTGATTTGAGTTGAATATGTACAAAATTGTTTATTTTATTTAAAATTTTAAGATGTAAAAGATGTATACTCTCCTTGAAGTTAGAACTTATAAATTAAGTAAAATCCAGCATGTGATAAAGTAACAAGACATATTGAAAGTTGAAATAATCAAAACTGGAAATGCTGCAAATCAATTGGCAGTCCCTAAATAGTAAATACATTACAGTTACTAACAATGTGCTTAATGGGCTTGGTCAAAGTGAGGATGTTGAGATTGATGTGGTGTTAGACAAGAGTGGATTAATATAGAGGTGATCAATCATGGGAGTTAAGATTGACCAAGATGATTTGGGCATGCATAACAACTAGCAAAGATTAGTAACTTCACCAATGAGGTATAATGACATGTTCCTCCTTAACATTAATTGTAGGGAAGGGAAGACCAAAATTAAAAAGGGTTGCATTAGTGAGGAAATATATCATGGTGCGTGGTTTAACTGAAGTTTGGTTTTACATAGCACATGGTGAAACAGGATTCATGTAGTGGACCCAAATTGTTGGAACAAGGCTTGGTTGTTGAGTTGGCCAATAGTGAGCATAGCTAAGCTTATCTAGTGCTCCGAGCTATACCAAGTTCACCCTAGCTCATTATTGATGGTTTGGAATCAGCTAAAGTAATCAATGAACTCGAGCGCTTCTCAAATTGTTGTTTTGTTATATTCGCTCTCAAACAAGAAAAAACAAATTGGGCAAACATCTTCTTTGAGCTGTCTACAGGGAGGGAAATCGACAGACTCAAGCTCTGTTTTCCTTGGTTTAGTTATTCACTCTCAATGAAGAAAAAAGAACAAATTATCATCAAAATGGGTTAACTATCTTTCAATGAGCCCTATACAGTTGCATCCATGTTAGTTATGTTGAGATCTTGGAAGATTTTCATAATAGATACTGTATTAAGAGAACAGTATTCCCTGTATTCTTATCCTATGTTTCTTCAAGTCCAGTACAGATATATTGTGTATTATGGTTGCCTTTTGGTTTGCAAGTGATTGTAGTTCTAAAGGGAATCTGTATGTCAATGTTGAACTATGAGGCTAGACATGAACTTTTTGACCTTGGTACGTAAATCGTTGCTCATTTGGAAATAATGCCTGGGTTTTTTAGAATGTTTTAGAGGATACTTTTCCACTGGTGAAATGTATCGCTTTTTGTTCATTTATTGTCCTCAGTCATTGAGTTATTGAAAATAATATCTTTCACTATTAGTTCTATGTGCGTGATAACTCAGGTCCTCTCTTTGTAAATTGAGTTGTTGTGTGTTTTTTTTTTTTTATGCATGTGTCGAGTTCAGTTGAATCTCTACTTTATAATTCATTATTTTAGTCCTATTTGTTTTCTGTTGAAATGTTAGAGATTGAAAAAATTGCTAAGTCAGCTTCCTTGTGGTATTATCTGGGGTGTTCATTGTAATTAGAGGGCTTCATTCTAAGAGTTTGCCAGGAAGCGTCTTTGAACTTTTTTTCCCCCCCTGAACTTCTTGCTTGAATTTATTGGAGAGATCAATTGGTAATGTAAAATGTTACATTGTGCCTTTTCCTTTTTTCTTGTTTTCTATGTCTTTTAACTTTTAGTCAAATTGAGGTGGATTTTGTTTGTTTTATTCGAAAGTAAGACAGTGATCTAATCTTTCCTTGCTCATCATTTTATGTTGGAGTGGCAATACTCCACTGTATAAAAGTTTCGAACATGCAATTACACCAATTTGTGTAAGCTTTATCTTGATTTTGGAGATTCAAACCTTGTAGTGGAATTGCATTCTGCTGAATTGCAGAGACCAGAGAGATGGTGAAAGTGAAATAAACTAGAAATTGATCTTATTTCATCCATATTTATCTCTGTTTTGTCTTTCTTTTGTCCTCCAGGTTAAACCGCATTTCATCTAGAGAAAGTAGTGCTGCTTTTGGTGGAAGAAAGATGAGTGGAAGTGCCAGGAAACGAATTTCTAAGTGGGATCTGAAGGAAGCGCCGGAACTTTCAGTAGGAGAGAGACCTGATGACGATTGGCCTGGGAAAGAAGGCAAGTCTGTTAGCCATAAAGAATCGCAACTTGGGTGGCAACCCACAGAGTTTGCTGGTGGTAATGATCCAAAGTGGTACAGTGTGGAAGCCAACAATAAAGATAGCAGAGAATTTTCAGATGCCACAATGACATGGGATGGTGATGGAAGTTACGGCACAAAAATGTCCCCTGGTCTTGATGACTGGAGGCAACGAAACCGCAGTCGCTCCCCTAAGAGCAGTTCGGGCAGATCATACAGGTCTGAT